TATACCCAGTTATAAGAAACAATATTACGTGAAAAGTTTGACCTGAAACAGGCGACAGTTACTCTCAGTTATAGTATGAGATCGTGAGGACAATGTGACGTCTGAATGAAGTTTTGCGTCTAACAAACATTACCTGAAATGAAGATAATTTTTGAAAAGTCAGTCTTTCACATTACAAAATGTCTGTTTGACTTGTTTCTAAATTTGCCGGAACAAATTGTGCGATAACAACCCATTATTTTTTTCTGGCGCGTAGTTTTATGCGAGAAAAAATAATCCAGACCGTTGTGTTGCAATGCTTGGTGCCGGAGTAGTTCACTTTCTCTTTCTCTCATAGTCGATCTCAAGTTAGATTTTATCAACTTCAAAATTTTTGAAAAACTTCCTTCGCAAACTTAAATTAGTGTTAACTTAGATCGTTTAGGTCTGAGTATCTCTGAGAATAAATTAAAGTGACTTTCATGGTTCGTTTAAAACGTTTTGCCTCCCTCCAGCAACGTGCCGTCCCTGGATTTATCCATAAGGTCCAATGGGTAGCTACGCCACTGCTTGCCGTTGACTACTTGGCACTTTGAGAAGTCAGAACCGTACATTAGTTAGTCAAATTTGTATGAAAGGCGCACTGCTTGATTAACGTATTTGGAAGAGTAGGGCGTCAAACCCTCTCAAGACGATTGTTCGATTCTTGAACATGCTTGTTCAGCAAGCTCTTTCTTTTCACAAACGATAGGATGAAAAATTATATGAGCAAGTAGGCAGGGTGGTTTATATATATATATCTAATTTTGACAGCGGTAGATTTTCCAGTGGTATCGGTACATCTATTATCTCAAGTGGAATTTTGCAATTTGCGAATTTAATTAAGACTCTATATTTGTGTGTACTTGGCGCATTAACCACGTAGTATAAAATTATTGAACGACTTTTATGTGGAGCTCAATTAGGTATGTTTTTATATTGAGTTTTTATTGCAAGGAAACAAGTTGACCCTTTCACCTGTTCCCAAAAATAGATATTTGCCGCGTAGTATGTGACGGGGGCTTCAAAACAACTAAACAGGATTTATGTTAAGCCACCATCGCACAGAGACGAATCTACGAAAACCCTAGACTTAGAATTCTGATCCGCGTAACTTAAATGTATACTACTTTGATCATACTTTGAAAAGCAGCAGCATAACTAGCCAGAAATCCGCAATATTATACTAGTGTTTTGACATTTAGATGTTTTGTTAATATTAATGGCACTCATAAATGCTCCATTATACCAGCTCTTACAAAGAGGATTTGAATATCAAAAATTTACGATAAAAAAATCATCAATTTGCTACAAACTCTATTAATTGAACCACCAATTAGCGGCTTTTTAACCATTGTACAGATATTTTCAAGGTATTCTACATACGCTTTAAATAGTGTTTCAAAAACGGCTTTCAATACAAAGATGAGCTTCTGGCGGACAATGTTTTTTTTTGTCATGGGTTTCCTTTTATTGGGTAACCGATACTCAGTCAATAAAATCGAGCGAGAATGTTAATGTCCGATATACGTATAGATTGAAAGAACTAAATCAAACATTATTCGGGAAGTTGGTATGTTTAGGCAAATCTGCTATTCATAATTTCTTCCGGTAGTTAAACTTAAAAATACGAAGCCTATAATCATAAATGTAAAATTCGTTACCGTTACAAAGATGAAATAAATTGCTGATAGCAGTTTCCATGGATATTGAAAGATCCCCTTTATTTTGGCAGCTGAATAAATTATACCCAGTTATAAGAAACAATATTACGGGAAAAGTTTGACCTGAAACAGGTGACAGTTACTTTCAGTTACAGTATGAGATCGTGAGAACAATTTGACGTCTGAATGAAGTTTTGCGTCTAACAAACATTACCTGAAATGAAGATAATTTTTGAAAAGTCAGTCTTTCACATTACAAAATGTCTGTTTGACTTGTTTCTAAATTTGCCGGAACAAATTGTGCGATAACAACCCATTATTTTTTTCTGGCGCGTAGTTTTATGCGAGAAAGAATAATCCAGACTGTTGCAATGCTTGGTGCCGGAGTAGGTCATTTTCGCTTTCTCTTTCTCTCATAGTCGATCTCAAGTAAGATTTTATCAACTTCAAAATTTTTGAAAAACTTCCTTCGCAAACTTAAATTAGTGTTAACTTAGATCGTTTAGGTCTGAGTATCTCTGAGAATAAATTAAAGTGACTTTCATGGTTCGTTTAAAACGTTTTGCCTCCCTCCAGCAACGTGCCGTCCCTGGATTTATCCATAAGGTCCAATGGGTAGCTACGCCACTGCTTGCCGTTGACTACTTGGCACTTTGAGAAGTCAGAACCGTACATTAGTTAGTCAAATTTGTATGAAAGGCACACTGCTTGTTTAACGTATTTGGAAGAGTAGGGCGTCAAATCCTCTCAAGTCGATTGTTCGATTCTTGAACATGCTTGTTCAGCAAGCTCTTCATTTTCACAAATGATAGGATGAAAGATTATATGATCAAGTAGGCAGGCAGGGTGGTTTATATATATATATATAATTTTGACAGCGATAGATTTTTCAGTGGTATCGGTACATCTATTATCTGAAGTCGAATTTTGTAATTTGCAAATTTAATTAAGACTCCATATTTGTGTGCACTTGGTGCATTAACCACGTAGTATAAAATTATTGAACGAATTTTATGTGAAGTTCAATTAGGTATGTTTATATATTGAGTTTTTAACGCAAGGGAACAAGTTGATCATTTTACCTGTTCCCTAAAAATAGATATTTGCCGCGTAATATGTGACGAGGGCTTCAAAACAGCTAAACAGGAGTTTTCAGGCTTGTCCATGAGAATGATATTACACACGACACACATTTGTGTTTCCCATGGGACACGAAAACTGTATGATTTTGGGGGAAATGATGGTAAAACATTTCATTGGGGATTTCGTGTCCATATATTTGAGCATAGCTCTCTTGTTAGTTATAAAGAGCAAAATATATTCAGCATTAACAATATACTTCGTGAAGGGGCTGATGGGCACATGTATAATAAGTATGAATATAAAGTTAACAAAGTCCGTAAATTTTGTTGTTTTGCATGTCTATTCGTTCACATAGTCCTATTTAGTAGACGCTAAACCTAAATTTAACAATTTTTATTGAATTTTATTCCAATGGAAATCCCATGGGACAGGCATGATTGACATGGGATGGGATGGGAATGGGACCGAAAAATAATGTCCCATGGACAAGCTTGGGAATTATGTTAAGCCACCATCGCACAAAGACGAATCTACGAAAAGCCTTAGACTCAGAATTCTGATCCGCGCAACTTATGTTTATACTACTTTAATCATACTTGAAAAGCAGCAGCATAACTAGCCAGAAATCCCCAATATTATACTAATGTTTTGACATTTAGATGTTTTGTTAATATGTATAACACTGAAAATGCTCCATTATACCAGCTTTTACAGAGGGCATTTAGATATCAAAATTTTTTGATAAAAAATATCAATTTCCTACCAACTCTATGAATGGAACCATCAAGTAGCGGCCTTTTAGGCATTGTATATAAATTTTAAAGCTATGTTACATACGCTTTAAATAGTGTTTCACAAACGGCTTTCAATACAAAGATGTGCTACTGATGGACAATGTATCTTTTGACATGGGTTTTCATTTATTGGGCAACCGATACTCAGTCAATGAAATCGAGCGAGAAAGTTATTGTCCGGCACGTAGATTGAAGGAAATCAAGCATTACTTGGCTAGTTGGTATGTTAGGGTCATCTACTGGTCATCATTTCTTTCGGTAGTTATATTTAAAAATATGAAACTTATAATCATAAATGTAAAATTCGTTATCGTTACAAAGATGGAATAAATTGCGGATAGCAGTTGCCATGGGTATTGAAAGATTCCATTCATTTTGGCAGCTGAATAAAATATACCCAGTTATAAGAAACAATATTACGTGAAAAGTTTGACTTGAAACAGGTGACAGTTACTCTCAGTTATAGTATGAGATCGTGTGGACAATTGGACGTCTGAATGAAGTTTTGCGTCTAACAAACATTACCTGAAATGAAGATAATTTTTGAAAAGTCATTCTTCCACATTACAAAATGTCTGTTTGACTTTTTTCTAAATTTGCCGGAACAAATTGTGCAATAACAATTTATTATTTTTTTCTGCCGCGTAGTTTTATGCGAGAAAGAATAATCCAGACAGTTGTGTTGCAATGCCTGGTACTGGTTTAGATCATTTTCTCTTTCTATTTGTATGTCGAAAACGTTCGTAGTCTTATACATTTTTTACTTTTATTCTAGATTAACCGGCTTTTTATTTCCTTCTGCATTATTAAGAAGAATAAAAGAAATATTTTATGATTTAATGTTTTGTCTAAATTTGGATAGTCTGTTAAATTGATATTAAAGATATCCATAAGGTTTTGATAAAAATGTTCGCAGCCCTAAAATGATTATTATTCGAGTTTTACAGAAAAAAAAATACTTTTTAATGATTGGTGACGAATGAGAATAGAAATTGCATAACTTTAATCAAGAATATACTTTTTCATGAGGTGATTAGATTCTCCATTAATTGAAAGTAATTGAGGAAATTTAACTGACAACAAGATTAGATCTATCAACCAATCGCAGGTCTAGGTATTTCTAAATTGAGCAGGTGTACGTACCACACTGCATGTGTGGTAAAATTAGCGCAAAAAAACAAGCACGGTAAAATGCTTATGTTCAATATTTTAGACTTCAAATTACATCAACAATTTGCAATATTTGACAGTTTAGTAATAAGTTTTGCTTTGTAAACACTTTATCGTTTATGGTACGATTTTTCTTTCAAATATTCCTATTGACTGGATAAAAACATCACAGTTTGAATCGCACATTGTATTTTGCCTCGTATGCTAATGGAATGTATTATTTATTATTCATTTTATGTACTTGTTTGTTTTTCTCTAGTTATAGGTAATAATGAATTATACGAAAGTAGGGCTCACTATAGTTGCTATTCTGGACGTAGTTGTTGTTTTAGTGTTGTATTATACTACGTTAACAACGGTCAGTGTGTATGATTATACAAAGGATACAAAAGTGGAATTCGATTCATTATATTTTTCAAATGTAACGGAGGAAAATCATTCTATTGAACCTAATAATTTATTTGAGACCTCAAAGTTTCTGGGAGATATTAGCAGAAATGCTACAGTTTCAACGCATTCAACACTTCCAATTCCAAAACAAAAATATGTATTGGACCAATTTATTGGAAACACGAACTATTCTATCAGTGGATATAACGGATCAAGAGTATACAATACAAGTAAATACAACAATGATACAGGAAAATTTTGCATGGAAAAGCCACCTCGTCTAGTTGGAAAAATGGCTATTCCAAATAACATTCTTCCTCCATCGTGGGAAGAAATTCGAAAGCAAAATTTGAATATACGGGGCGGAAGTTATATGCCTGAAAACTGTAAAGCGAGATATAAAATAGCTATAATAATAGCCTTACGAGGCAGGGAGGACCAATTGAAAATTCTCCTCTATCATTTGCATCCGATTTTACAAAGACAGCAAGTCGATTATACTATATACACTATCACTATGGCCGGAAAAGGCGTTTTCAACAGAGCTAAACTTATGAATGTGGGATTCGCGGAAGCAAATAGAGGTAAACTATTTTTCAATTTTGCTCTGGGTGAAGATTTACTAAAAAGCAATTAACTTATAACAAAGTACATCAATATGGTAATGGTCATATTTTTAATACGCTTTGTTTGTGGGTTTGGGGTACATGTGTTTTCAACGATAAGACCGAAACAACCACAACATTCGCTGGTAGATAATATGTATATATGGTAGGCTGTTACAAATTAGAAATATATACCGGTAGATATCGAGTTTTCAAATTCCGTAACATCGCCAAGGGTATTTTGCGAATGTGTGGTGAGAACCAAAAAATGTTGAGCAAAGTACAGGGTATACATAAATTGACATGCTATGCTCTTTGCCAGTGTACATTTGGTCAGTGATTCTCGTTTTTTATTAAGACCGACGATACGATTGCTATATATTCCATGACGTGGATTTACTATTGGAAGACGATAATTGTTTATATTGGTGTTCGAAAGAGCCAAGAGAACTCGCTCCCTACATGGATAAATTTGGGTATAAACCCTTGTCTTACTCACTCGGTTGCCGTTCAAGTAATGGTGAGTAGCATAGCTTTTCAGCATAAACTTTAATTATAGGGATATTCTGCTTAAAGAAGAGGTAATTACCAAAAATTACCAGTTTATATTATTGTTCTATTTTATTGTGTCCATACAATAATAATTTAGAGATTAATCTTATTCACGGCATTGGTTGACCCGATACTGATTTTTGGAATTTTAATCGCGAGTTCCAGTTTAAATCAGTAGTTGGAAAATCAAGAAAATAAGAGTTAATATATTTGTTGTTGTTTTTGGCACATTTCGAGCTCTTTTAAAGTACCGAATACCGAATTTTTTTTACCGATTTGTTTGATATTTCAAATTCAATATATGGTAAACGCGCATAGTCTGAAGTTACTAATCTAATAAATTCAGTCCATTTTTTGCTTTCTTTTGATCTTTCATATATAACATAAAACGAATCAAGCTTTTGTGAGATAGCCATGGTCCTTCAGACGGTATCGTCATTTTAAAGTTAGCTCTGTCTATTCCGGGCAAATGCATGAATATTTCTTGTCTTTTTGGACAGGGCCTATGTGTACCTATGGATCGTTTTATCATTAGTATCTTGTTGTTAGTATGTCGTGAAAAATCGCTTTTCTCTTTACTAGACAAATTGCTTTAAAATTTCCAGTCGATAAATTGTTTGCTGTATGATTCTGTTCATTATTTTTGTCGCTACGAGGCTATTACTTTTATCTATTTAAAAAAAATTGTGGATTCTATGGGATTCGTCTTTTGTGTGTTCTTACATCATCAAAATCAAAAATGGCGCACCTTGTGGTAATTCTGCGTTCTCGTTCTTTGTGATTTGGTTGTCAGTCCAAGTCAGGAAGAATACGGTACCGTACGTGTCATGTCTATATATTTAAGCATTACGTCCGTGTTTCTTTTGTTTTAATTTTTTTGTGCCTATTTCCCTGGCAAACAATTTAATTTGACTCACCTATAGTATCGACAAAATTACCGTCACTTTCAAAAGAAAACGCACATGAGTTGTACTGTAGGATGTTGTGTAAAACCCTCCGCAGTTTATGGGGATTAATTCCATTCATTGACGTCTAAAAATTACAATGATCCGTTTCTGCCCAATTATAGTTGTCATTCCGGGATAGGAGATACCTTCATAGGTGCCATTTCAAAATATTTACTCATTTAAAACAATATATTGCAATTTAGTCTAACGATCATTTTAGAAAAATTGTCTCCATAAACTAATAGATTTCTAGAGCACTGATACATACAACTGTGAAAGCGATTGAATTTCTGTATTAGAGTAATTTTGAAGCCGTTTGTTTCATTCCAGCGCCACGGATAAACAAGTACTTTGGCGGAGTCGTTCAGGTTTCGCACGAACTTTTCCTTGAAGTGAATGGTTTTTCTAACATATTTTGGGGTTGGGGAGGTGAGGATGATGATATGTATTCAAGATTGTGGAGTAAAGGTAAGGACGTGGACTCAGTTTTATTTCATTTTAGTGTATTTTGAATGGATTTGCAAAACTTGAGAAATATTTGGATCTGAGAAAAATATCTGAAACTATGAGAATAAGTCAAAAGTCGAAATGATCCCATACATACAAGATGCAATACATGTAGGATACTGCAAAAAAATAACTTTTATATAGCTAACTCAATATACATATACAGCCAATGTACTATGCATATATGTGGTAACTAATTATCTTATCCCAGGATGATTGGCAAGAGTTCGATAAACTCGTGAACCGACTGTGACTCGTAAGCGACATATCGCATTGGCTGTATAGGCAAATTTATTTGGCTCTATAAGTCTATACAGTGGTGGGATTCAATATTTTGTCAGCCGGTTCCATCGCGAAGGTCATATTTTTCAGCCGGTTCTGTTACAAAAAGTCCTATTTTTTTTTAGCAAATAAACTGATTATTTTTAATTACGTCCTAATTGACATTTAAAATAATGGTTAAGTAAGCATCATCATAAGCATGTCAAAATTAGCATCGGGATTTTTAATGATGTTGAGGATTGTCTACATTTGCTGTATATATTATATACTCGTTGATAATGAACCTAAAAACCTGGAGGTTTACCTACTTATTACGCAATAATTCAATTTTCAGTCAAAAAGAAAAATTACTACAATTATAAAAATTAACATAATGTATAACTGTTACGCGCGAACTTGATCATTTCACATTTTGAAAAAAACACGTGAGCTACTTGATCTCAAAAATCGGCGTGTCAGATAAGATGCAAAAATTCATTGACCTTAACCAGTAATGCTAACCGGTTCGCTGATCTCATAAAATTCCGTGAGACGGTTCTATAGAACCGGCTGAATCCCACCACTGGCTCTATATGTATATATATGAGTTGGCGGTATATGTATATTTTGGCTGTATATGTTTATCACGGTCGAAACTCTACTCGAGTAATCCAAGAATTATTTTGTTATATTGTAATTACGTAGGAAAAGAGCTTACCGTATGTTTATATACAGTATTCACTTCTCTTTCTGTATTTTTTCCTGTTACAAAGAACTATGCTATCTTTACCTTTAGTACAGATTTTATTAAATTATTTGTAGGAATTATAACGAAATTATTTTATTTGGAGACTACGAGTATATGATAGCAACATGTACGCTGTTGCTGTTTTTAATAATCAAATTGATCAAAGTTTAAAATTTCTTTCAGGTCATGACAGCGTTAATCCATATGGAAGGCAATGTTCCTATAGTATGATAAAGCATGAGCACGAATCGACCAATAGTGTCAACAAAGCTAGGTTCACTCTTCTATACCACACTATATCCCGAATGCAAAATGAAGGAATGAATACTTTAAGGTCAGATAATTATTTTTGGCATCAATTTAAACATATTATATAATAGTGCTTATTCAATCAATAACCTGGGATATCCGAACCAACGCAATAAAAATTTCTTCTTTCCAATCTCTTCACAAAGCATAATATAATACTTGTTATAATAAATGAAGAACTCATGAAATTCCGTACGTACTATTCTATACCCTATAATTTGAAGTAAGTAAAGTCACCCAAGCGAGTCTCCACACTCCAGTAAATTTAATCCCTAATAGTCACTCACAACCTATTACCTGCTCCTTTTCAGATACAAACGTATTTCAACTGAACGAAATCAACTTTACATGAACATCACAGTTGACATAGGAATACCGTCTCAAAAGATGAATCATTTTATGGAATCAAATTTTGATGGAATTCCTTGCAATAAAATAACAACACCATGGGACTGATAAAGATTTTGATTAATATCATCTTCAATAATGTCATATCTGCTCGAGGTTGATTAAAACTTCGTATGCTGAGTGGTGGATGATAAACAACACACCTTGCAGAAAATTCCCAGCAGTTTCAGAATTTTAAGTGATATTATTTGACAGTGACAAGAACCTTCTTTTAAAACGATACACATTCATAGAATCAAATTTTGGAGTAATCACCTTAATTAATGCAGAGGACAATCAATATTATGGAATTTTTCTAAACACACTAAAAAGTCAACTGCGTTTTCGTTTGCTTCGTTAATACTTAACAATATTTCACTCACAACTTACGTCTCCCCTATTGTCAACTCAAAGCATATTTATGTAACTTTTGCTTCTTCATTTCAATCGCTTTTGATGTCATTTATTATGCAAACATTAAATTTAAACTAAGGAAATGCAAGAATTGTTTTGAAATTGCTCACAAATTTCTCGACCTCAGGGTATGCTATTAGGCCAAAATACAAACTAAACAACCATAAACATTATTCGTGAGTGGAAACTTTCTTGTTCCTGATTGGGGTTGGCCATGACAATCTATATTCATTGTTTACATTTACCATTTTGGGGGTTTGTAGAGATTTAAATGTTTTTGTTTTCATCGTATTCGTTGAGTGATGATCCATTGTTGTAATGAAAGAAAAACTAAAAATTCGACAGAAAAGAGAATTTTGAGGCACAAACTTTTAGGCGATAGTTATCATAATTTGAAAAAGGATGATTATAATGTTCACGCTTTATCACCCAATCCGCTTATCTTTTGTTGTCTCGTAGTATCTATAGCACCAAAATTGTACACAGGGGGGTAGGTTAATAGATAACCCAACAAAGCACGAGATTAACCGCCGCTATTTCTGTTTCTTATATATATATCTCTACATAGTATTCGGAACAAAAAACCCAAAATAATTTAGCACACAAACCCTATAATTACCTTACATCGCTCACATTACATTTTGTACCAATTTTTTAACGCTCTATCAATTTCGTAATCGCTCGGCGACTGTAGTATTCAATTTAATATTAAATTGGAACTTTTTGAGCCATGTGGAGAGGAATTATAGAGTACTTTTCGCTTTGTGATACAACAATTGATCACGCCATTCGCCCGCTCACGACAATTAAGTTAAGCCTAATGCCTATATTCCCGGGTAGTGTTTGCGTTTTATTTCCTACTGGAACAAATATGGAATCTTATATTAAGAATTTCAAGATGGTTCAATACATGGCTGAAAAGTAAATTCTTTTCTCTCTCACACAATAAAATATCTCAATCACATTGTTAGTAAATTTGTGACCAGTATAAATGACAAGAAAAATAATTGAGAAAAACGAATCAAACCTGAATTCAGAAACAAGAAAGCAAGCAATACCAAAAGGAGGTTTAAAACGAAATTCAAATAAAATGCTTCTGCTAAAATATGGTACACGTTCACTCACCTGAAGACTGTTAAAAACTACTAATTCAAGAAGAAAACAGTGAAAACTCGGGTAAATTATGTTCGCTGAATAAGCAGAGAATTTTTGTTTTCCACAGTATAATTATTAAAAGAGATTTCGAAGTTGACTATCAAATTATTCATCAGATGCAGTCATATCAAAGTGTACCGCCAAGCCGAATATGCCGAGTGTGATTTGTAGTATTAGACTACGTTTTGTGATGCAGATACAGTATTGCGTCTTCTCCCAAAATCATGTACTTGTCGGTATTAGTGTGCATACATCGAAGATGATCTTTAGTTCATTTGTACGAATGGGAATTCGTTATGCCAAGGTATATCACACGGACAACCTCTTGTATTAGGCAAATTACTCTCATGCTCGACTAAAGAATAATGGACAGATTTTTGCAAATATCTTTATGCGTTATGAGTAAGCATAATATGACACCGTTAAATGAAGTGTACATGTGGTAAATCGATTGATAGCTTAGAAAATGAATTCATATACATTATACTCCATCAAGTAAAATCCATTAATAAATTGAGATGTGCTTATGTCTTTATTTCTTAGTTTACATGACTTAAATTGATGTTTCAATTAGACATTTACTTTTATATGAAACAATTGTATTAAAGACAAAATAAAAGATGTGTCCTGGACAGAATCTAATGACAATTATATAAAACCTAAATTGAAATTGAGAAAAATATTATAGACACGGATCACGGATACGTATCCTTATTTTTGTCAGAGTTTGTACTATATTGAAAAATAAACAATACCCAAAAAATAACTACATCGTTTGTCCGAAATAAAATTATCACATATATGGTCTGGTAAAATTATCATCAATGTCATCCCTTTGAGCACGAGCTTTAATGGCCGTTGAATGTCACCAAGTCGTAAGCAACAGTGATTTCATTACAAATGTAACGCTGTGTTAGTATTAAACTATTGTTAAACTAGTATTATTGACTCGAACGAAATGTGAAATATTCTAAGCAGCAACGTGCCAATATTCTAATATTATTATTCTCAAAAAATCAAATAATTCCGCTCAGTTGAGCTTTTAGCATACAAGTAGAATATTTGAACTTTTTTTTAGCCTTGATTTACTTTGCCTCAACAGTGTAAACATAAGTGCACCAGGATACATTTAAATTTTAAAGGTTCAATGAATCAACTATTTTCAATTCGGTGACTGCGTATCATTTCAACTAGCTTTTATGGCAATATGTACGTTTTATTACTTGGTATGAAATTTACATTTGTAATTCTCTAACTGGGGTTTTATTCAGTAAGCGTAGATATTGGAGTCAGTCATTAGTTTATTTTTACACACGCCGAAAATACACATTGCATATACATGCTCACGTTATGGCTTATCAAATTAGTGTATAGTTTAAGATGGCTAGGCACTTAAAAACTATTGTGTACACCAAAGTTAGAAGTATTTTGATTAAATGACTCAAAATATCCTTTCATGCCCGTCTAAGACTGTAAAATACTTCTGTATTCTGCGACTGTTAATAAAAATTAGGGCGTAAGGCGTTGTGCCCAGGATTGAGATAAATCGTATCTACTTTTGAAATTTTGTCATTGTTTCAAACGTAGAAATAATGCTGTGAACTATATGGTAAAATATTTCATAAACGTCATTGTGATACTAATCACAGCTTAGGTTTTATGTTGCTATAATCTTTCTTCTTATTGAGTGACGTGAATATGTATATACAATAAGGTTAAACAACCAAAAAAAACAAGAACAAGGTAAATGAAAAACATGACTAATTTATTGAACATTGAATAACAGGAAATATCAGAATCTTCTTGTTGTTTTTGTAAGTCGACCGGGATAAAACAACATGTGATATGTAAAAAATAATCACTAACGGCAAAAATCGCGTATCATCAGCAATGCCGAAAGTTCGTAACCGATATCTACAGGACGTGGTGAGGTGCTTCAAAGGTCTCTTCCTTAATTTCATAACAATACAGTGTAAAGGTGTCACACCTCAGTAATACAACACACTCATGCCATTTTATTTTCAAATGTGGTCAAGTAAAGATCATCAATGAGGAGATGGTAGGTTTATAGTTATTAGTCTGATTATGGAAAATCGGACCTCCTGAAGTATGCACACCAAGATGGCGCACAACCTGACCTCAGGTTGTGTACCAGGTTGGGGTTCAGGTTGTAAGACATCTTGGTGCGCATATTTCAGGAGTACCGTATTTTCTCAATCAAAAGGTGAGATATTCAAATGGTATAAAAAGTAAGTTTAGTACTCTTTTTGAGGCTGTCAAGAAACAAAATTATATATTTGTTGGTATCTTTTTGTTAGAAATATATAAGAAAACCAGTTATGAATTGTGTTTTAGAATATCTATATTTGTAAATCAGAAAATTCGAAATGTTTTTCCAACCTAAGGTGCAACTGCAAACTTCGTTTAAAATACGATCGTTTTTGCAAAATAAAACCTTGTGATGTTCAATTCTATCATAGCAGATATCTGAAGTTTTTCTCTTTTTTCGACTAAATATAATAGGTATAATACAGTCGCAGATATACATATTTTTATGTTTTGGCCAAAAATAAAACTTACCTATAATAATTCTATTCTTTGTTCATTCTAATTATTTGCGCAATGCTGGCCACCTTCTCTCTAGATACAGAACATGTCACTGATTTTGATATATATTTACACTGCTCAAGAGTCTAAGCTAAAATAGCTCAATAATCAGTTCAGTGGTCTAACATACTTTAACTTCTGGTTAAACACTAAATATCATTTACAAAAAAAATTATATTCAATTGTCAAAAAATTGTACGAGATGAAGTTGTTAAAAATTTGAAAATATTTTAAATTGTGAATTGAAAACACGGTTAATTAATGCGAGTTCTTACTTTTGAAATATCCTTAGTTTGGTATTAGCAATATACTCTATATATGAATGAACCGAACTAATATTATAAATTGAGAATGAATCAAGCGTACGAGCTTGAATACAACGACACATATGAAACTGCAATCCGTTACGAGAATCAACGAGGTAAGATTTCATTAAATTTTATTTGTTCTTTTAGGCAAGATTGTAAGTTTGACCTTCAAACGTTGGTTTCTGGCTTCAACCTATGCAGGCTACATGTGAGTCCACAAAACGCACGACAGGGCCAAATATTGCACGACAAATTTTAGTTGTTCAGTTTAATGAGGGATTGTTATTGCGCAGAATTTTTGAATATGATTGACTATTTTTTCATTTTACGATATCATCAAAACAAAATGAATAGCTTGGTTGATAATAACACATTTGTGTGGCTTCCGTTCAAAGCGAAATTATTGTTTTTGGTATTTCGGAAATTTGTATAATACTTAGAGGGTACAAGCTTACACCATTTGATTTTTCAGTTGCTGTGGGAGCGAGGCCTATTCCGACAATTTCAAGTGATCCCAAAAAAGAAATTCCTGTTAAAAATGAAAACAAAAACGTGAAAACTACCATTCACTATGTCTTTGTTTGGATTGGATTTGCAATGCTGGCCGGAATGCTTATTGTTGTCATTGTACAGCAAAATAAACATTACCAGGTATTGCACATTATATTTTGCATATATTATCTCACGTTGCCAATTGCAATTAACGCTGTGTCTGTGAATCATTTCCTCTTATTATAGCAGAAAAAATCACTCAACCAATTGAAGTACTGTATAATGTTATACATAGACCCGATTTTGAACTTATGTAAAGCATGCAAAACTTTTATATTTTCACAACTTTTATTCAAATTCAATCTAGGAAGACGGTCGTCTTAAAACTACTACTACTGTTCAGCAAACAACAACTCCTAGCAGCAGATTTGCTAGATCTTGTCTTGACTTGAAAAACCAAGGAATCCAAGTAGATGGAATTTTCACAATCAAACCGGATAACAATTCAGAAATACAGGTTGAAATTGTTCACGAAATTTGTTTTTGATTAGTCGAAATGGTTGAAATTAAATTGTGATTAAGGTATACTTTTCTCGAATACAATAGCCTTATTTTGCAGGCATATTGCGATATGTCAACTGACGGTGGAGGATGGACTTTAGTAGCAAGTGTTCACGAGGATGATATTGAAACAAAATGTGGATCTGATGATTTCTGGTCAAGCTATGTTCCTGAAAACCAACAAGCTCACGCAGGTGTGAGCAACTGGGAAAATGAAAACGTTTTTGGGGAGATAAATAAATGTACAAGCAGTGATTATAAAAACTCGGCTTACTTTTCGCTCAATGTAAGTTTATTTTTCATAAAACGAGGTCCACACTATATGATACACTATATAGATATTTCATATATTGAATTAGATACACAATAACCTCTAGTGGGCGTGGCGTAACAATTTTCGACGTCATAGTTAGAGTTACGTAATAAGGCCCGCCAAAATATACTCGTCCAAAACGCTCAAACGTTCACCCGAAATCGAGCAAGCTCTCGTTACATCGTCGCAACGTGATCGTAGCGGTTGGTTAGTCATTAGTGAGTTCGTTATCGCTGGCGCAGATGCCACTTTGGACGATCGTAGCTATACTTTGGCAGGATATATGACGCAGAAAACGTTGCGTACCGATAGAGCATTTTGGACTATTTTATCACAGCTATTTCTAGACAATTTTTGATTACTGCCATTAAACTACAACTCTTAAGAAGGCAAGAGGATGATTGACTTATTTGATTCATACTCAAATTTCGGAATCTTGACCAAAAACTAACGAATAGCATTCAAAATTGCGAAAGCTAGGTATTGTTTGAAACCACAAAATTTGTCCGAGTGACAAAAGTGCCTGAGCGGATGCTTAAGGGTTTATTGTTACGTCACTTTTTGCATCTTCCTGTTGGCCAATGTCACGAAATGAACAAGGAAGTCGATGCTCAGTGAAACATCCCTTGGAAAACAATTCGCCATTTTTTCGTGTTATTGCGGGCCTTAGCGCATCATCCTCCGCCGTTTTTGGCTGCCGGTGAAAACTGAAACAACAATAAAAGTGGTCACCGGTAAAGCCATAATTTGTATATACAGAAGTAATATGTTAATAATCATATATATAGCTTATTTCTGAACAACAGTATGCAGGTAAACAATATCTGAATGATATTCTTAGGCTTCGGACGTTATGATGTGGCAAACTCTGGAAGGATCGTCCGTTGCGCATATGAAAGAAAATTCCACTTTAAGATACAGAACAAACAATAAGTTCATGACAAACTACGGAGGAAATCTAAAATATCTATATGAAAATCATTTACCATTGAAAATTACTTCAGGTGGGGAAAATATATTCATTACACAGGTTTTATTAATTACAATTTTTAATTATAACTTGAGAGCGTAAGTGGAATGACTTATATTTTGCAGATCAATTTTCTGTTTCACTTTTTATATACAATCTAAATAAATAGACATTATGATACTTTAGAAAAGAGAACAGCAAAATTGCTAGATGCTTTGGTGAATAAAGCTGATGAAATGAAGTCGAAAATTCCTGATTGGTATGAATACACGTACTCCAACACGTACCAAATATCAAACTCAATGCTGTACAACTCATATGGAAATCTGGTGATATTATATTCACTGCATTCTACAATCGGTTTATAAATCGTTTGTAAAATAATAATACTTCATTGAACTTCTTAGTCATTTTAAATAGTCTGGGTATTCGAATATATTTGAGTGCTATATGTAGTGTGAATATTTTTTAACAATACAAAACAGCTCAAATGGGAACAATAATTAAATCTGGAATTTGTGTAAATTGTCCAGGTGATTCAAATAGTAAACCTTATATGTCATAAAACTGAATTTGGACAAAGAGTTTAACAAACGAGAACCTATCGAAGACTTCAAAATTCCATTCCATGATAGATATCTACTGAAATGACTTGTGGCTTTTTACCGATAACACATAAAAAAATCGTGTGCTCCAATGGGTCGAATACAAACTCAATAAAAAAAAAAAAGCCAATGTTTCAAATCGGTAGCAATAATAGCATAACATTTTTAGTGGCATGAAATAAAAATTGGGACACATTATTGATAAAACATATAAGAAAATTACAGAAAGGTATGGAAATATTTAGGGTAAGGAAGTATTTATATCTTGGCAAACATATTGTTTCCTAATTATTGGTAAACTCAAAACAAAACAAAAAAGTTTCCTCAGTAGCTAATGTTTTTATGGGCAGCACAATCTGTAACTGCGTGGACATTTTTGATAGTGAAATAAAACTCGTTTCATTTCTTTTCTAAATTAGTGCAGCAAACTCTTTAGGCAAGATCAATATTTTATTTTCATAGATAACATTCGCAAGTTCGTACAGATCACAAGGCAACCTGTTTTATCAAAAGAAATACCGGTAAGTGTCAAACGCTAAGTTAAAGTTACATTTATTTTACAAAAAGTGAACCTGTAAATCGTTTTACTAAATGGTTGTTGTTCGCTTTTCTTTGCAGCTAATGGGCCTATCGATTTCAACTTGAAGTATCGAAAAAAAGTTAAAGCTGCTAAAAGATTATTACCTTTGTTTTATTGACCCTACATTTCATCCTAACTATTATGTTTTAATTTATGAAAACGCTCTTCATAAAATAGGGGTACATGCTTTCGTCACGCTTGTCTACTAATCTCTCTATCAATAAGCTCATTTAAGTATAAACACCTATATATGTATTATTCGCTGATTATTTGGTTTCTGCGAGACTAACTACTTATGCTTCTTCTATGCTTTTGTGCCGGTGGATCCGTATGCATATATTGATGGGATGCTGCAGCAAGAGTAGAAATAACAATCCTATAAGTGATTCAAGAGTCTTGCTGCAGACTAACACAACAATATTTCTGTAACGTTTCGTTTGACCAAGGTCAGACTTCTTCAGACATACATAGTTCAACTCTAACATGAAAAGCAGTTACATGTATCTTTGGACAATCAGTGTAAAATTATTTAACATGCGTGACTCCCATAATTTTACACTCATTGTTCAAATATGCATGTAACTGCTTTTCATGTTAGAGTTGAACTATGTATGTCTGAGGAAGTCTGACCTTGGTCAGACGAAACGTTACAGAAATATATTTGTGTTAGTGTGCAGTAAGACTCTAAAATCACTTAGGAAATGTATTTTTTGTTATTGTTTTATCTAATATTTCATTTTTCACGACGACAGATTCGTTCGCTCCAACACCTATTTGAACACGAGCAAGACCCAGCCTTTTATCAAGGTATCTGTGATATCAAACGATGACAGGAAGAGCTCATACTTCTACACACAAGTAATTTATATGTATTTATTCAAGGGTATTCTCAATATAAAATGCTAAAATTATTGTTATGATTCTGTAAATAGGTATATTCTCGTCAAGACTCATTGACGGCAAAGAGTCAGTTGGAAAACACAATTTCAAAAGGAAATTATGAAATACAGTACAGTGCAACTCAATTTACACATCCTTCGAAAGCCACAGTTTGCGAATATAATTTTTTTGTTTCCAACATTAGAGTAAGAATCTGAATTTGATAGCCTTATTTATAAGTATACACATAGTGAATATTGATGAGAGTACATACATACCCTAATATTTTATAAAAAAAAATTGATATAAATATCACATTGGCTACATTGAAATCAGCGATTCGCGGTCGAAATATTTTTGCAGACATTTCAGTGGACAGTTTTAAAATAATTTAAAATCATATAGTAAATATAGATAGTATGAATATATCTTGAAAAATGTCATATTGTACATTTTTGAAGGATATCTTTCATGTATAGATTATATTTATTTGTGCACAGGATTGGAAATCGTATAAACCCACATCCATTGTTGACAATCATTATATATATTCATCTTCCCGAAATATACGATGTACTGCAAATGGAAACCCATCTAATATCGTAATGGGATATCTCATGCTTACGAGGTATGCAATATTTGCACGAGTTTAATCCTATTATTATTATAAAACTTATAATGTTGAAAATTGTAAATATATGAAATAATCCAACCACCTGAATTCGATATTTTGCAAAGTCTGTCATTTTAGATAGCGTAAATCTTCAATATTTATGAAAATATATCATATGGTGTCAGCCACGCCCAATGTCGGATAAACCCAAAATATCACATTCTAAACAATTGAAAGATTTTTAATTTTAAAACTTACCCAAAATTAACTCAATCTTTACTTTTATTATCTATATCAAGTCAAGTCTCGATAATTTTTTGTTTTGGAAATTCAGTTCAAGTAGTCTCTACTCTTTTCGTTAAGTTGACTCAAAAGTTTTTTAGCGACGGGGAACTCGCTTCAGTGATTTTTTTTTACATTGTCTTTTCCCCCATAACATTTTATTGATCTTCCATCTGTATGTAGGAAAAATGGATTTAACTTCACAGTTGATCAACTAGACAAAGTATCAAACGTAATTTTAACAGCGGTTGAATCTGTGAAAGATTTATTTAACGGTATGTCATACATTCAGGTTTTATTTATATGATTTTAATTCATAACTTTTGTTAGTATATAGTATATATTGTACTTATTTCTCAATCTTACATATTTAATATATATATATATTCCCAGAATTCCCAGGGAACGATGCTGCTATATCACCAGTTACATTTGACAAAGGAAACATTGACTTGATTGTAAACATGACTCCACCTAGTATGCGTCCATGTGTCGAACCAGGATATCTGCAGTTTCGAGCCTACAATTTGACTGGATATCCAAATGCAATTTGTCCGGGAGTCAAGTAAAATATTATTGAACCCATTTAGATTTAAACTCCAATGCTATTACGCAATTTTATGAAAGACATTGCAGTATATATAAATAAAAGCATAAAGACAAAACTACTTTACAAAACGCCAAGGTCTATAATATACAGGGTGCCGAAGAAATTTCGCCCGATTTTATATTAATAACAATTAAAAATTTCTTTGTCTTTGTTTATTAATAGTTCTTGTTGTGCTTGTAGTTTTCATTTATCATACAATAAAAGTAATGTGATTACTATAAAATCGGGCGAAATTGTATGGACATCTGTATAGTATTGAACTATTTGTACACGTCTTTGCTCACTAATAATAAGTTAACAGCAAATAGTGAAGATCAAGTAAATTGAACTACCGAAACATCAATTGCTATATATTTATATAGAAATATATTTTATGCAAAATGTGATACGGAAACAAACAAAAAAATTGTTCTCTAAATACACTGTACCCTCTCCTTACACTGTGTACATTATTCTTAAGAAAAGACAATTACCTGGTCGCACCTTTCCTTTTTATACTTGTTCACATGCCGTTGACAATTTTTTTTTTTACCCGAGTTCAAAATTGTATTGACCATTATATTCACATGCAAAACTGCTTGGTAAAAGCAAAAAGAAAGCTGCACATCTATATTTTGGTACGCCTCTTGAATATGTTCATACGTTGTTTAGAGTGAAAACTGTTTCACCGGAATACGTATGTATTGGAGGATTGTCTGGGGATGTCAGAAATTATGGCACTTGTGGAGATTATGCAGGTACAAAAATCATGCTTGAGTATATTTCAGTGTATTGCGTGACCTTCGATTTAGGTGATAAAAAAATTAGCCTTACAGTTACGTAAGCAATTTCGTCGTCAAAACGAACAAGAGAGCAATGATCAAATATATGGACACGGAGCCCAAAACGAAGTAGTATCAAATCCTCAACAGTACCGACAGTCCACCTTATCAGAAACTCCTGATCACGAGATCGTTGAAATGTGATCGCGTAACCGCCACACAGGGATGAATTTTTAATTTTGATTATCTGGAATCCTTCACACAAATCTTCATAGTAAAAAACAACGAATTCGAAATAGCCTAGATCCTTATAGCGTCAACGACGATCTTTAACTATTGAAAATTTGGCCACTGTTTGAAGAGAAAAGCGATTTTTTCACTATAACAACAAAAATACCAAGGGGGAATATTAACAACAAGAACAGTTTAACAAAATGAACCATCGGTCCACTTTGTGTCCAATTTCTGCTGATGCTTTCTAACCCCGGATGCAAAATTCAAACTGGTAGATCTTGGAATGCAGCATAATTCACTGGACACGGCACATTGAGTGGAGCTATGGGTCGCTTTGCCGAATTCTCGTTGTTATTGTGAAAATAAATTTCATTCTCAACTAATGAAGCGAGTGATTTCAAATTAACGGTATAGTCACTGTTTCTTTGTGCTCATATATTTGACCACTGCTCTCTTTTTTTAACCATATTTTCTCAAACTTCAATACAGAAATTGAATAGAAATATATTTTTTATGAGGCGTAAAACCGATGCGCCAAACTGGAAAGACTAAGCTTATCTCGCAACTTTGTGGCTACGCCTGGCGGCTGTTTATGCAGGGATGGGTTGGTTTTTTGTCCGGTAAAAAAATATCATTGAGGTTTGAAATAAACTACTTTTTGTAGGTTGGTCTGGGAAATCCGGTGACACGATTCAGCCATCAATACCATATGGATATGCACATTCCAGAAAAGATATATCCTCTGTTATCCTGATATTTTATCGCTGAATGCAGTTTTTTTCAATGTATAGTTCTGCTTGATGCTTTTGAGAATCAATATATAATTGCATATATTTCTCGGCAAGCTTTTTATTTTTGTTTGTTTGTTTCATCTACAATGTTTATGTTTACGGGATCGAAGATTGCAATATCCATTATTTTTTTTTGAACTATTGAGACCTTCATCGTGTTTTGCGTATACATGTAGTGAAAACTATTCTAAAAATTTCCTTTTTCTGATATTTTAAACTTACTTATAAATATATATATAACTTGTATTTGCACTGGGAAAGAGATACTTTATGCAACGTCAAATAAAAGTAGTGATATACCCAAACCTCCAATCTCACACGGAAAATGGAAATTAATATATATATACCCTTTTTCACGATATTTATTATGAGAATTTCCACATCTTTGTACGAACGAATCACTAGAAACGCTTCCTTCCTGTCATATACACATTTGCGATCGCATTTATAATCGATTTTATTTTTTGCAATGCAACGCAATTCAATTGCGTATGAACTTGAATGTTTGAATCTATCACGATGTTGAAAGTTTATTAAAAATAAACATTGAGAATTTTTTTAACATAGAAAAAGGCGAAAGATTTTTTTTAATAGCTGAGGTTTTTTCTTTTCACCTAGCTATTAATTAACTACATGTATCTACTTTTTAATTGTTTTCTGTAGCCCATTCAAAGTTCAATATATTATACTTTCGAAATATAATATATTATGAGCACTCTCGACATCAAATTCAGAGACTGGTATTGGCAAATTAGAAATATTGGTAAAGATAACGAGCCATTGTAATACATGCAGCGTAGGCAGTCAGATAAAGTTTAGGTTTCAGTTTGAAGCCAGTAACCATACTTTAATTTATTTTAAAACATAAGATCAACTGTTCTCGTGAGGCAATCTGGGTAATGTGTTGGGAGGTATAAAGCGCTCACGCGTATTAGTATCCACAGATTTTAGCACCCGTTTACAGATTGCACCCGCTAACATTGGCACCCACTGAAAAGTGCATGTCGTAGTTTTGTACATCTTAAACTCTGAGTAGGCTTACATCGAAATCAGAATTAAATTTGATACTAAATTACTAGATGGCAAAAAACTTACCTGGGCATCAGTAAGTCTGCTGCGGTTTGCTATCTTTGCAAAGACGACCATATTTCCATTTGTTGCACTAAACTTAGATGGAATAGCATCTACGATTCGTAGAGAATCAGTCCATTTGCTATAATTGAATATAATCTAAGAATAATTTTTTACAAAGTAACCTATGGGTTCTTAACCTAGACACTAGAAATATTCTTACTATATTTTAGCATTGCAAAATTTGTTGCTGATTTTGGGAACGATATCGCGATTTGGCGCAAACAAATTAGTTTAGATGTTCACAGACATCATGTGTCCCAAAATATTTATCGACCAGCCATTCAAAATCTCTTATACTGATAGCTAGTCCAGGGCTACTCAAATGGCGGACCGCGTTCCGAATCCGGACCTTTCGGGTATTCGCTACGGACCGCGCCTTCATTTTGGACCATTAGCCCCACTTTTGAAGTTTCCTTTTTTAAGATCACTTTTATAGATTTAAATATATATGAAAAGAATTATAACGCCATAATAAACAATCTTGATTAGCTAATGATCATTAGTCGGCCGAGGAAGTGCGTGTTTAAAGATGCCGAAATATAATTTCTGGAAAGACCGGACCCAAATATTTTTGAAGTTTGTATGCGGATATTCGGTAAAATAGTTGAGTAGCCCTGCCCTAGTCTACCGACGATTTTTTACTTTCTTATTATTGAAACAAAACTGAAATTCCTTAAAAGACAAAATGCAAGGTTTTCAATCTATGCACCTGTGCTAGATTGTCATACAGCTCACATTGCGTGCAAGTTTGCCGAGTTGAAAGAGAAGATGGACAGAAGATCTGGTAAAGTACTGGAAGCTGAACCAAAATTTTTGAAATCTGGTGACGCAGCTATGGTCAGACTTGTTCCAAGCAAACCAATGTGTGTCGAAGCGTTCAAGAATTATGCTCCGCTTGGTCGTTTCGCCGTCCGCGACATGCGACAGACTGTTGCTGTTGGAGTCATCAAGGAAACTACCAAAAAGACCGGGAATGTGAAAGAAACCAAGGCAGCAGCTAAGGTCAATAAAAAAGCAGGAGCCAAGAAGTGACTGGAAGCATCTGGCGCCCATCAACAGCCTAGACCTAAAAAAACAAGGTTATTTGTTTTATACCTGAATATCGGGAACTAAAAACTATCAAAAATAGCAAAGCCACGAAAACGTGCTAACGTTTACAATCAAGTCTTTGAACCACTCCTAAAATTCCAATTGTGACGTCACACAATAAACAACGGAATCTATGATCGAGATCGCTCGTTCTTCCGATGGGAGAAAAAGTGTGAAACAGACTCCATTACAATCTTTTGTATTTGGAGCAGATTGCCAAATAGCCTGTTTCGCAGCATTAGAATTCCAGTGAACACGTATGCTCACTTTTGAATCGTTCTAAGTCGGGTTAGGATTTCGGGACCAATTTTTGAAATCCCGGTATCGGGATATCCCGGAATTGAGCCGTATAATCACGGGATTGAGCCGTATAATCCCGGGATTTTTCGGGATTAAGTAATAGATTAAAACAACTTGCATGATAATAAAATCACGTATTTATTTCATGTAATATCGACGCAGAAGTATTAGAGCATCTAGGGCAGTGGTTCCCAACCTTTTTTTTTATATCGCGGCACACTATTTAGCTCGGCACACCTATCACATAACACAGAGTGCGATAGTCGAACGCGAACAAATGGTTTATAGTTAGACTACCGATATTAGAACTGTTTTCCTACATTAATTAATGTAAACGAGAGCGTCTTCGGAGCACCTTACATTTTTGTAAAAGTTGCGAGGCCGCTCGTGTAATAGTGCCCCTATAACGCACCGCTGATCAAGCGCTTCGGTTTTGGTTGCCCTTCCACGTCGCGCCCTTATTATTATCGCATGTATTCTCACTTTTTCACAACTTAATTCATTTTTGTTACAATTCAATGTTTCTCCCATTGCCAAAATCATTCAATAATGTTAATGTCGTCAGTTGCGAGAGAAATGAGAGTGGCAAATCATTACAACAATTAATTATTATCGATTGAAACACTAAATAGGTTTAAAGTTTTTAAAACAATTTTCGCTGGACGTGTCTTCTCACGTTATGAATTTCGTGCAAGGCCCGAGCATAATTTGATGGCAAAGATCATAGCATTTACTATGTCGAAACGCTTATTCGATTTTTCAGACCGCAGAAACTATCCAAAAAGATAACCGTTTTTGTGTTCGAGATATGAAATTATCGTCAATTCCAGGTATGTTAGTCGTTGATTCCACCATGCTTTCGTGAAGTAGTGCAATTTACTAAATTCATGAAGGTTTTATTAAATTTCATTGCATCAGTGTTTGGATTACCACGCGTTTCGTCAGATTACTGGCGGGATTACAGATACCAAGGGTGGTCAAGATAGTATTTTTCCGATTTAAAACTTTTGGGTCGGCTTTGATCTTTCTTGTCACCGTATGTAAATTAACTGTCGCAATTTCAAGCTAAAAATATTATCATTTCTGACAGCGGAGTGTGGATATTTAAGAATACAGTAGTCGACCTTGACCTTGATTTTACTTTTCGAAAGTGTGACTGTTTTATTTTCGTATTAAGTAGTGAATAAATCCTGCAAAGTCGTTGTGTGAATCCTGAATGCTATTTTGAGTTCAAATTATGATTAAATAAGTCGGCAATAATGACAATTCTACTAGTCAAATAATAATTCCTTGGTACAATTTGAGAAAAATTTCGCACAATAATTCCACTTCCACTCAAACTGTAAGCGTAAATGACTTTGTTGTTGGAAATTTCAATGGGACGACCCACTTACTAGGTGTCTTGGGGAAATGGAAAGATTGGCTATCTAAATTACATTTATTAAAGGGACTCTCTCTTCTATTTTTCGATATAACATATACTTACAAATGTAATCTCTCTTGCTCCCTTCAGCCCATGGTATTATAAAGACGCCATATATATATATATATATATATATATATATATATATATATATACATGTAGCATCTAATCTAGCAACACGAGAGTATGATAGTCATTGTAGTCAATGGTGTTATCTGTCGAAAGCGCGCCGATTTCTCGATTTCTTTTGTTCATGCCTCGCCGATTCTCCTTTGTGTTTCTCCCATGTAACCAGAAAGGCGGCCGTTGTGCTAACAAAACTATTATTCCTTACCGTCACTCAACTATTTTAATTGAAGACCTAGGTACTGAATTCAATGGATATGAGTGTTCGTAGACGTAGATCAGGGCTGGGCAATTATTTTTGGTATCGGGCCACATTGAATACCGGTATTCAAAATGCAGAGGCGGGCCGGACTAATTTCGCGTTTTTATTGTATTTTATTACATATTTAAATACGTACTTTATATAAGTAAGTATATAAATGAGTACTATATCACTTTGTTAGGGGTCTTACTACTTACTGAATACACCGCGAAACACCGCAAAGAGCGCGAAACAGCGCAAAACAGAGGGAAACAGCGCAAAACAGTGGGGAAACAGCGCAAAAGAGCGCTTGTTTTGAGTTGGAGTACCACGGCAGCAAATTAAAAACACAAACCAACGTATGTAGCCAGTAATGCTGTAATGGCAGGTCTGCCCCTGCTGGTGACACATTTTGGGTACCATAATTTAGAACATTTTCCATATGGATATGGTTGGCTTTAGGGTTAGGGTTAGATCAAAAGGGACCTCCAGAAGTATGTGCACCAAGATGGCGCACAACCTGAAAATAGTATGTGTGTGTGTGTGTGTAGCGGATTCAGGTTGTGCGACATATTGCTGCACATACTTCTGGAGCACCAAAGAGGTAGATAAAATTTCGCATGATGATCTATAATCCGGTACATAACCTTGTAAATGTACCGGAAATAGCGCCATAAAACCATGGCGAGAGGCGCCGTGGTTCTTTCGTGGCAGGAGGTAGTAATGACTGCGTCTCCTGTTTTCCGCTGTTTCCCTCCGATTTGCGCTGGTTTCCTTCTGTTTCGCGCTGTTTTCCTCTGTTTTGCGCTGTTTCGCGCTCTTTTGCGCTCTTTGCGGTGTTTCGCGCTGTATTCAGTAAGTAGTAAGACCTCTAAAGTTAGAATTTTTATTCAAAGCGCATTTAATAAAACTCGTTTAAAACGTAAATCTGGCGATTTCGAGACAATACATTGGATCAGAGAAACAGAACGCTCGTGTTTTGCGATTTTGTGAATTCGACAAATCTGATCTGTTCCTGCAACACTGACTTAGCTCTGCTTTAAAGATTTTACCATCATGCGATAAAAGTACACCGAGTAAAATTCTTTTTAGTTACATAAAAATCGATTGAGTTTACCTTACATTAATTATCTTATAAATCAGGCCCCGTCGGTAGTTTTAGAATTGATCAAAAGGTACATCGCGCCCACGATAGCTACGCAATTAACATGTGTGCCGTGGGCACCAAAAATATTTCTAGTTTCCGTTTTCAAAAAAAGCGTTTTTAATTTGTCGCGAGCCGTTTGAATCGTAACTTGTTTCTGTTCAATTTATAGTATTTTGAATTGCCGCTCTAAATCTAGATTTGGGTTGCTTGCAGATTCACTCCTTTATTTATCTTTAGCATTTCGTCGCAGATGGTTATATAATAACTCGTTTTTTTCAATGGTTTCACAGTTCCGTATACAAGACATACATATGTTAAGGAAAATTTGTGACTTGAGGAGACTAATCGCCGACGTAAAGGTGTTTACGTTCTAAAATCTAAATAACACCTCGAGATGGCGAAAACAATCGGCGATTTAAGGGAAATTTAGTCGAATGTCATTATCGACTTTTTCATTGTCCTAAAAATTCTTTTGTTCGCAATCAAATTATATTTTATATGTAAATGGAATTGTGGAAATGGAATGGAAACAAAAATGTGTTATTTTCGATTTTAGAATGTATTCGGAATTCCAGATTCGAAAACATCATTTTAGAATATATTCGGAATAGTTTAGTATTCGGAAATGGCCATCCCTGCTTGCAAATACCGATGGGAGAGGGTAGCAAACGTGTTAAACGTATAACGTACGCTTTTATAACGTATGAAGTTTGTTTCAGTTTTGTTTTTATAACGTATGGAGTTTTTTCAGTATCAAAGAATTCCGTATAGCTTATCCTCAGCACCACGATGCTACCAGAAGGTAATAGTCAGTTGCTAATTCCGACATTTTAACGAATATTCCTATTTGTGTCAACATTTTGGACGGCAGATCTATTCATGCATCTATTCGGCTTCTTGATGAAAATGTAGTTGAATTTGTGGGCAATCAATTAAGAGCTGATGCTGAATTTTTGAATGAGCGTCCGATGTACAGATGAATTTTGATAAACTAAAACGAAAACTGGTCGGTACACTGCCAAGTAATACAGGACCGAGAGAAATCTGTCGTCTTGTACGTCAAATACGGCGCTGTTCTTTGTAGATGGAATGCTATATCCAGGTCTTCAACTAAAATCGCGCACTGGTTCACATTCGTGCTCATTGAAGTGTGGTGGTTTCAATATTGATCCCTTTATTTATTTTGGGTTTTTATACGCTACGGCAGTAATTCCCAAACTGTGGTGGAATATAGGTGGTACGCAAGCAGCTCGCAAAGTCCGTCCAGAATAGAGAAAGGTCTGTAGTCTTTTCAAGAAGTACAAGTTATGTTTTACACATTATTTAGAAATATTACAAAACCGATATTGCGGTAGCGTAGATACAGCTTGTTGTTTATCGGTCTCGCATGCTGCGGTCAAAGTTTCCAAATCAGGGTCATGAATGTTATAATATGGAGAAAAATTTAAACTTTATTAATTTCACATAATGAAAAAAGATGCTATTGAGGTTTGATTTTTGATTTTAACTGCCCAAGTCAGTTATGTACGAGATTATCCTTACCTAGGGTGCTTGTCTCTTATTTGAGTGGTAACGGTTTTTAATTTGAATGTGAAATTGTTGTTTAGTGATGTTTAATTGAGCGGCACATTTTTGCGATGAAACATTATTTGAAGTTATTATATATCATACCGTGCGCTAATTTTTTCGCTTGGTCATTTCACACGCATATTAGTTACCATAAATATTGAGGTTCGTCGCTCGCGAAGGACAAGTTGCAACTAGCTTTGCAGTAGTTTGAGTAATATAAAGGAGTGCTTCAGATACATTATAGTTAAATGAAGTTAATTTTGGCTGAAACACATATACATTTAAGTATGAATATGGGAAATTTCCAGCAAAATACTATCTTCTCACTGCCATAGGTGTAATGGTTTAATCATATTCCACATCAGTCAGCCCCGGAATAAATTCATAAATGATGTAGTCAAGTTAGTTGGTGCCTAATATTTATTAAAATAACAGTGTAGAGCGAAAGGTCTCGCTTGTGATCTACGTACATTTGAACAGCATTTAAAGTAAATAGATCTTTCGAATATTCTGGTTATAATGTTTGCATACCCAGGATTGTGTCAACAATGCTCACAGTCAGACCTACATGATCTTAAAATTACAGAAAGTACTTGGTAATATGTAAAATACAGTTGAAACTAAAGCTAAACCGTCGACGTGACTGTTTTGTATGCTTATTTTTACAGATATTAACCAGTTACTGAGCTCGACATCATGCAAATTTACTGCCGATGTCCGACACGGGTGAAATTCACTTATTTATTTTGCTTTTCCTTGACTCTATGCCTTGTTCTCAAGATAGCAATTTATATGTCTTCCCCTCCCGTAACCAAACAAAACATCGCAAAATATTTCGAGGCAACTTCAAACAAACTGACATTGCTTGCACACAAATACAACTGCGAAGCAATTGACGAGTTTCTCAAAAACGGCACAACCCCTAGAGAGCATTTGGAATTTCTTGCGAAACCCTGGAGAATAAATGTATCTGCTTCTCCAGCTAGTTTATTTCACAACAATAACGTTGGTAAGTTGTTCATTTTGTCACGATTGTCTTTTACTGTATATTTGATAACATATAAAGAGGCACTTATTTGTATTTACAGTTGAATTATGGTCATCTATCGCTGTAGTCAAATCAAGTATTATGAACGAAAATCGCAGGTTTGCTATTCGTGAAACATGGGGGAAATTCAAATTTATTGATGGAGTTAGACTCGAAACTGTATTTATCTTGGGAACTACTGATGATATTCAGCTACAAAAAGAAATAATAGAAGAAAATGGAATATACGGTGATATACTTCAGGTTGATCTACCAGACACCAAAGAGTAAGTATGAACACTGGGTATTCTAATCGAATAAAAGCAAGTGTGTCTCAACGGAGCCATACAGAATAGTTGCAGTTAATCAATCATAATATTGATGTACATTACTAATTCACAAGCAATGACGTATGGTAATAATCATTCGGTATAGAAAATTTGCAGCCGATGGTTTAGGACTTAATGGAATCATTTGCACATGGGTTGTATTATTGAATCAAGTATTGGCGAAGTCATACAATGATAACTCGTAACTTGAGAAGCTTGAAACATATTTCAAGAGAGAAAACAAATAGCAAAGCGTCCTAGATTACTGAAACATTTGAGTCATACACAATCATACACAAACAGAAGTTTAGGCTTTAAATAAATTTATTTTATTTTTAAGTTGTGTTTTTAGTCTTTAGCTTAATTAACTCTTTATGTTAAAAAAAACGTAATTAAGGCGGCTTCGGAGAAAAGGTTGTAGCATACAAACCAAACTAGGTGCTTATTTATTGGGTGAAGATTCGAAGAAATATTAAAAATAGGCTTGGCAACTGCAATCTTCTTCAATAACATATTTTTGAACATCCGTGCGCTCTGACAATGTGTGTACTCTGAAGACGTTAATGATATCATACTTCCTATCATTTTCTTAGAAATGTTCCTGCAAAGACGTTGGCGGGAATGAGATGGATTTCTCAAAATATCCCAGACACCTGGCTTTACTCTTCAGTAGACGATGACTTCATCCTACATCCACCAAATTTCATCCGATACGTTGAAAGCGTGAAACGAGATAGAATTTCCAAAACTCTACCAATCATGTGTATTTACGCTTACAGAAAAGCCGAGGAGATTAATAGAAAAAGAGGCAGTCCTTGGTATATTTCACCAGAGCAGTATGCAGCAAAGAATTGGCCCCCGTACTGTCGCGGTGGTTGGTATACAATGCCAACGGAAACCGCTTCAAAATTGTATGAAATATCAAGAACCACTCCGTTTCTAAAACTTGATGATGTTTGGATAACAGGTATAATAAGGCTTATCATGAACGATCGTGAAAATAAACCGGTTCCTCCAGGTAGCCATGTCTCCGAGTACGGTATTACTTTTGCTCCCCTGGCGGATAGAACGAACAATCAATTGTATTATAATCAATATGAGAATGATTTAGGCAAGGTGATAGTCAGCCATACTTGGTCCGGTAATTATGGCCTGTTTGCACATAGTATTGAAAATGATATAGAAAATATTTGGAGTAAGTGGGAGACAGCGGTATTGGAGAGAATGAAATATTATATTCAAGCGATTTAAATTAAGAATGAAGCGGTAACTTTAATTTACCAAGTTACAGTGATGGAAAAAAAGGCCTAATGGCCTATATATGATAATAATGGTTTATATCTTGGTTGCTAGCTGAGACATTCCCAAATGGCATAAGCATCTTAAAGATGCTTCCACTAATAGGAAGGTGTAGTCAAAATCCCTACGACGTCGAATTTTATTGTTTGCTCAATTTTATTTATTTGAATTGCTGTGATAATTTGTGCAACCCTCTTGTTTGTAGTGCATGTGATTATGTATGTTTATAAGACGTTGCCCATATATGGAACCTTTTTTTGATTTTTACTTGCATATCTTGTACATGTTTCTCCTTTTACGGAGACAAAATTTGTGCGGACTTTCAAATTACACAAACAAATAAAAAAGATTGTTTATCTGACTGGTCGAATAATGCACTGCTGTTCGATTAATATATGGACCGGTGTACTTTTCCTAATAACACATTAAGCATCGCAAACTTGATAACCATAATATGGATGAATATAATATTTATAACCGACAAAAAAAGCATTTTCGCAGCGAAAAATCGATGTATTTTGTCATTGATTGAAAACTTATTTCGGTACTCCCGTAGTATGTGCAACAAGATGGCGGACACCGGAACGTAGTATATGTATCAGGTTAGGGTTAGACCATAATTTCAGGAACAAATACTACGGTAGTCACTTGGCTAGTCCCCGAACTCGAAATAAAACTAAAATTGGAATAAAATTATGGCCTAAACCTAACCTGGTACACATACTATGTTCAGGTGTCCGCCATCTTGTTGCACATACTACGGGAACGCCACTATTTCAGCAATACAATATAACTCTTTCCTAATACTTTGTGCACAACGAAGCAGTATGAGCGTTTAACCTTGTCAACGATTTCATGTTCAGCATACTAACGCTTTTCGCATTTGTACACGCCGATACCTTTTGTTAACTGTCTAATATATAATACAGTGCATGATGTAGCGTCATACGACGTAAACCGCACTGGGTACTTATCTGTTGGAGTTTATTTATTAGTATTATTTATTGGTCTCTGCTGTTTAAGTTTTAACCACATTTTAGAGTTGCTAATGTTAATTAAAGTGAATAGTAACATATGTATGTCACACAACCTCCCTTTATTCTCGCAGAACTGATATTGTTGTATCATATAAGCTTAATTTCAACCAAACTGTATCTAAAATTATGCATTTGAAGGTTTAAATCAGACCGAAAGACCTTTAACAACATAAATCATTCTAATAGCGACCTGCGATTACCTGCTATGCATAATGAATGGCGTTACATTACGTAAAACTGCGTTTTCTTATTTCAACCCCAAACCAATTAGCTATATAAAAAGCAGTGCTCAACTTGGTATTACTCTTGAAAATTCGTGCGATTATATACCTAGCATGGTGATGTAATTACTTAACAATTGAATATCGTTGTTTGCGGTATATTATTGGATATTAAATGCATTTTTTGGATATCCCTATTTTGCGGAATAGTAGAAACACTGACATGGTTACAAACGGGCAGCATAGAGGCGATGTGCGAATATAAATGTAAGGCGGTTGCACTGTGAGAAGAAAAAATAGTTCTTGCGTCATTTTACTTCGTAATACACAGCGATATTAGAATTGCACGGATTCACTGCCACATATGGGGGATAACCAAAAAATCAAAAATTGCTGTGATAAGACAATTAGATAGATGAATTCATGATATCAACCCTCATCTGATTGAACCAGAAGTGTTTTATTACCATCAATATATTTTATATCCTGATTAAAATTTAAATTATAAGGATGTTTTCGTTGTTTTGCGTGAAATGGAAATTCTCAAAACTTAAAGCTATATATATTTGGTTGTCATTATTCGAAATTGATAATATCGATAGATAAATGCTAAATTTTGGTTTGATCATAAATGTTTTTTTTTCTCCCAAGGGTGTATTAATAACATTATTTGGGATCTTTAACTTGCCAAATATGATTCATAAGTAGAATTCAAGAATCAATGTGTGATCATACTTGGTTGTTGATACATTATCAATTAACGAATAGTACATCATCTGCGTAAACGATGCTGTCGTTCACACGTTTCTCGTCCTAATTTAGAGGAATAGGGAAACGATATCGCGTTAAGCATGTTGTATTTACATGAAAACGATTTTTGGATTTCTCTTTTGAATCTCAGAGAAATTGCTTTTACTGCATCGTGCAATAGGATATCGTGCAACCATATTGAAACAAAGTGCAAAACACCAAATACAGTGGGGTAGATCCAAAAACTTAGTTATATATATATATATATCAGACAGCAAAGGGCAGGAGCAGGTACCCATGAAAACAAGAAATGTCATTTTGAAAATTGCTAGTTATATTAGAGAAATATTAGTCACACGAAGTAGCAACACGTCACTTTTATTCTCAAACTGTATCAAGCCGTCGGAATAATTCATCTATCGGTTAAAATTCTTATTGTATCATTCGGTAAAATGGATAGTGAGGACTATTATTGCTGCTACGTTTGATCAAACGTCAATGCTAAAATATTTCAAATTTAAGCTAGGTTTTTACAGGCTAAGGGAGGAATGAGTGCCAACTAACGTATGGTTGCCTTGAGGTATATGCGTGTTGAGAATATGTAGAGCACAGTCATTAAAAAGGTCTAGAAACCCCAAAAATAAGCACCAACAAAACAAATTGCTGAGCGGATAAATTCGGAAGACGGGTCCGTGTGTTTTTGATAGAACTCAGTATATATTGGCTGAATAGTAGGATTTTAGAAAACGAAACGTACTACAGGAAAAGATCATTTTCGGTATCATATAAACTAAGATGATAAGAATTCGATGAGTGAAAAGGAAAAGATGGTGTTCCACTCGTGTCTAATTTGTAATCTAATAATAATATCATGACATGAAGTTTTTCCTCAATCCTCAACATTTACGTTAAGATTTTGCGACCGTTTTTAAGTGGAATTCGCTGCAAAATATGACCATAAGAAAATATCTAGCATGCATAGAAGATTATTAGGCGTACGAAAGATTACAGTTTGGAAGCGAACGAACGCTAGTTAAAATAGGTTAAAGGTGGCAGGCGTTTCTCACATTACTGGCACAAGCCCACATTGGCTGGGCCATTTCGCAACAATTACCAATAATGTAAAATGAAATAATAAATAACAGGCCAATAGAATATCTGGGGCTTTAACTTTCTGTTTTTGGATTTAATAATTTTTCCAAATGGTGGTTCAAATAATCCCCACTGTGAATTGCTGATTTAAATTTTGTACAATAGTTAGACAAATAAAGATCACCGAACAACGTTTTCACATCTTCACCAGATTGAATATTTAGAATGCTGACGAAGGGATATATAGTAATTGGCTTCCTAGTTTCGTGTATCCAACAAATTTTATGTTACGGAATTGACAGCAACAATAATGGGATTCTCGATTTCGACTGCAGGCCAAAGTATGGATGTGAATTTTCCAAATGCGACCCAATCCCTCCGCACATGTACATGATACCTGGATTTAGTCCAGAAGTTTACCGAAAACATAGATACTACTACATTACTTGTGAACCGAAGATAAATTCCACGGAGGCACTACGAGGAGCTAAAGGCGAAATAGGTACTCGGGGCGAACCCGGGCCTCGTGGGGAAGTAGGCCCAGCAGGGCCACCCGGGCCCAAGGGAATGCCCGGATCTAAAGGAGAGCACGGGTTTGGAATCCCAGGAATGATGGGCCCTAGAGGAATGCATGGAGTTCCTGGGCGTCCCGGGCCACCTGGACCACCCGGAGCGCCCGGTCCTAATACACAAGAAGTTAACGTGATGATTGGAATGGAGGTGAAAAAACAGCTGTTAGGTATGAAAATAATGATTTTTCATGTAATAGTTATTTAAATATATTGTGTTGAGGTACAAAAATAATCTCCTAGGATTTATTCAGACTATATTGGGTATGGGTGAAATTTAAATGCAATTCGTGACTTAAAATAGGCGATATTCAATGGTTCTAATCGTTGAATATCATAATTCCTGGTATTTTTTTAGGTTGTTGAGAAACGCTCCTAACAATACTATGCTTATCCCATTCAAAAAATCTATCTTTGACCCATATTTGGCTATTTCTAGTTTTAGTATCTGGCTTAATAAGACAATATGTATAATTTATTTTGCAGCAATCAGGAATCTCTTCTTCAGTACAACTGGTTGGTATAAGGCGGAAAACAATCTATGGTACAAACTGTTCAAATACAGAGTTGATTATCAAACCGCAAGAATTCATTGTATGGATATAGGAGGGAGATTAGCTTCAACAGGACTTCGTGATGAGAACTACAGAAAGTAAATTATGCAGTTATTTTGCAATACCTTTTCCCATTCTCTTCTTATTTTTATATACTCACTGTGTTAATATAATATTAAAATAATAGTATCAAATTTACAGAAAAATTTTGAATGATGTTGTAAAGCCAGTTGGGTTTTACACCTGGATTGGTATGGACGACTTGCAGAAACAATACTTCTGGTTGTGGTCAGATGGAACACCAGCTTGGCGCAGTAAAACAGATTGGAGAGATGGAGAACCTGGACAAACTGAGGGAGAGAATTGTGTCGGTCTTCACGTAGATTTGCATTTAGTTGACAATGTATGCTCTGCATCATGGTATTATTTATGTGAGAGCGGATACTAGTTCTGAGATATTAATGGTACGGTATAAATTGAGCAAATGTGCCAATATAATTTGATTCTTGAACATTGGTCTATTGGGTGGGAATTTAGAACAAAACAATTTTGTTGGGAACTAAATTGACGATAAAACTTACATGCGATTCCAGGAGAAATTATATGTTCTCAATATATTATAAAGCCTGATTTTTGCTATGTTTTACAGTCATTTAATCTGATTGTTCATATTATTCGGGTATGGAAATTGATTAATTGTGAGCCATCCATAAACGTCTTCTATCATATGCCCCAGCAGTAACTCAGTCCCATGTCATCATGTGTGTTATTTAAATGGATGAAAACCGATATTAGTCGTGTTCCAACGACCCCACCACATTTATTGTGCTTGACTATTTACTGCTATTCATTTAACAAAACATATCAGTACAAAATTTGCCAAAATTGTTTTCACTTTTTTAATATGAAAAATATTATTATGATTATGTTGCCATTATTCTATTTTCTTTATTACTAATACCTATCTGTCATGCATGCAGGTGTTAATCAAGACTATTGCTCGTATTGTTATTGTAAATAAATTTAAAAAAAACTAGTGAGTTCTAGGAGTTAGATGGCAGATAGAAATAAAAATATGACAAAGATTATAAAACAAAAATGATGGAATAAATTTGTAAGGTTGGAATCATTCTATTCATACGGGATTGGGAAAATACTTTGTCAATTAACATGAAAAACGAGAATACCTACATTTGAGAATTTTAAAAAATTGATTTGGACAGGCGTTCGTTGAGAAATTTGTTCTGGTTTCATCTTAACTGTTATGCCGAGAAAAGGCAGGACGAATAAAACATCGTTACTATATTATGAAAGGTATTTTTTGAAAGAAAATTTTATTTCAAATTTCATACCATAAAACGTAGTGCCAATTTTCGTAGAATGATAATATGATCTATATGCATTTCACGAGAATTTGATACAATCAAAATCACATGCGCTCACTTGGAAAACTATACAATCTGCTTACAGTGAAGAAACGAGAAATCCTAAATCAAATACAGGAGAGCAATGCTCAATTATAATGACATGGAATCCAAATGAAATATTTTACCAACAACAAAAGCAACAATTTTTATCCACCGAGAATTTCAAAGCAATTGGTTCAGTAGTCGGAGAAAAAAACGATTTTTTCACAACAACAAGTCTATAGAATACCAGCAACAACACCAGAACGATCCATAGGTCTATGTCGTGTCCAACAAGCGAGCAATGCTTAGGTTCATTTCGTGTCCAATAATATCTATGCGAAATACTAAAGAATGGAATCACGTTATCATCAAGTTATCGTCAATGAGGGTTTTACCGGCACAAGTGCCACCAACTAACAACGAACAATTCAAGGTATGCTATCAATTTAGTTGGTTTGAAACTAATCTTTTTTCTATGACCTTTTACTGTTGGATTCCAATGCGAATGATGCAGGGCTGCTGTTGTAGTGAATGTAGTCGATTATCAATTATGTTAGTTGGAATAATTTTGACATCAGTCAGATCGAAGGCTACAGAGATTCGTTTGTGTTAGTATGCAGCAAGACTTTTGAATCAATTAGCTCGAAAATTCAACGTAGCCTATTATATAAATGCAAAAAACATACATAAAATGTTAACATTTTATGTAGGCTATTTTAACATGCAAATAAACTCCAGATATAATTTACTCACTCACGCACTGACAGTTTTAGTCAAGATTTATGCAGTTCACATTCAAAATACAAATATTAATATGATTAAGTACAAATGTGAAAATTAGAAACTCTGTAGTAACTCGTAAATTATGAACACGACACAAGCACATATTACACAGGTATATGCATTGCATAGTCAATAGTATAGGTTTCTGATACTATTACTTACGAATTACGATTGGCGTAAGATCGTTTTATTAACACCGGAATTTAGTTAAGATTTTATGAGACATGCTAAATAAATAAATAAGAGGTTACAAATATGAAATCATATACAATCCACGATATGTCGAAGTGGTATTTCATATTCAATGGAAGGAAGGAAGCATGTGTCATGCCTGATATTTAGCAAATAATATAAACAACTGTATGAATTTCGAGTATAATAGTTAGATGTTTTCAATCGGACATTTAATTTGACTGCGTCCTTATACTGTAACAACCCGTATGCATCGAAGTTTATTTTCTACAAGACCTTTCGCTATAGTGAGTTACAGGTTTAGGTTGAATCTCGAATGCTACATCGTCTATTAAAACAGCAAAGAAATATTTACAAGAGTTGAATGTCTATACTGTATACCTTATTTATGAATGGTTAATTACTAACACTTTAATCCAGGTTATAGATTTGAAATCATACTTTAGTTAAACGATGCTAATCTAAGGATATTACTTAACCTGCCCTTCAGCTTCACGTTAATGAAGATTCTTTAGAAAACTCACCATCAAACAAAATTTTAGTTATAGCTTACGAACTTCAGTTAAGTTGGTAGCATAGAAATTGTGCCCTTTCTTTGTGATAACCAGCGTTGCCATCAAACAGTGTTGTTGTAAATCTCTAATAAAATATGTTTCAGAGTATAAAAATATTCATAAAAGTATGTATCGCATCAATGTCGTCCGTTCTCGGATTTTTGGTTGCCATGGTCGGATTTATGCACGAGGTCAGTCTAACTAAATGAGGTCATTACCAAAGTCATTTTAAGCCCAGAATTATACCAAAACGTTGTAAAAGCCTACATAATTAAAATCGCGTGTGATATGGTCCAAAAAATCAAGCAGAATCTGACCTGAGAAGTGTTTAAAAAAAAACTGACCCGATTTACAACTTTGCGATGCATAAGATACAATAACTGGACATAATTTATGCGCTGATTTCAAGTCATTTAACTTGAGTTTAATAATATTGTAATAACTAAAATTTATATCATTTTATCCTACAATTGGCGCAGTTTTCAAGATTACAAAATGTTGTCGACTTATTTGAAGAGCCAAATATTAGTATGAAATATACAATATATATGTTATCATAAAGTTATAAATAATAATAATATAATGACCAAAATAAATGATGATACGCGACATAGGCAAATATTTTCAGCTGATAACCTTAAATGTGTTTCATAGTTGTTAAATACGTGAGTGTAGCATGGAGATAGATTAGTAGATATGACGTTTGCTTTTCTTTTTCAAAGCACTGACGATTGCAACGAACCAACCAACAATTACAGCGAATAAACCAACGTTTGCTGCGCATAAACCAGAGTTTGCTTCATATCTACCAACGTTTGCTTCATATCAACCAACAGTCGCTTCAAATCTACCGAAGTTTGCCTCACATCAACCAAAGTTTGAACCAAATCTACCAAAGTTTGCTTCACATCAACCAAAGTTTGAACCAAATCAACCAAAGTTTGCTTCACATCAACCAAAGTTTGAACCAAATCAACCAAAGTTTGCTTCATATCAACCAAAGTTTGAATCGAATTTACCAGAGTTTGCTTCACATCAACCAAAGTTTGAACCAAATCCACCAAAATTTGCTTCACATCAACCAAAGTTTGAACCAAATCAACCAAAGTTTGCTTCAAATCAACCGACGTTTGCTTCAAATCAACCAATAGTTTCCCAAAATCTACCAACGATTGCTCAACATAAACCAAAGTTTGCTTCAAATCAACCAACAGTTGCTCAAAATCAACCAACGTTCGCTCAAAATCAACCAAAGTTTTCTCAGAATTAACCAATATTTGCACCAGACCAACCAACGCTTAAACCATAACAAGGATAACATAAATAACATGACATAAATATTCCAGATTGTATGATAAAAGATTCCAGAGCACCATGTTTAAACTATATCGATATACTTTATTCGTGGTCACGTAAAATCTGTTATTTTACAAAGTGACTATTATTATCCAGGAATATATATCAAGGAATTTGATATTAATCGAAATTGTTGTGGTTACATTATATTTTTTATCTGTAAGCATAAGTTAGAGTTAAACTAAAGGTATCAAACTCATTGAAATGTATTCCCGAGTTCATGAATATTATACTACTCGAAGCACAGTCAAGTCACAATCAGACACATTTATGTTTTTCATCAAATATATTGGAGGTTGAATCGGATTTAATCAGATTACAGTACTAATCAGAATTTGGCTTGTAATGCGTTCGTTAAAATATACAGCTATACGATATGTATGTGGAATCAGGTTATGTGCGTGTCTTGACTTTTATCAGTCAGAAGTATAAGATTTCAGAAAAAAAAATCGCCACCACCTTTCTTGTGCTAATTTTTTTGCTGCTGTTTATTTGACAAAACATTTCAGACCAAAATTTGTTTTACGTTTTCAATATGATTATTACCAATATATTATAATCAAGTTAATATTGTATCTGTCATGTATGCAGGATTAATCAAGACTATTGAGCTTATTATAAAAATAAATTTAAGCAAGAGAGCCATGCTCGAATATGTCGACAAGGTGGGCAACACAAAATATTTTATCTCATCAATTCCCTGAAAATCATACACGGTAAATTACCAGTAGCCGTATCGGGAGGCGAAGAATTCGACTACCCAGACAACTCATCAGAAACAACTCGACTACTCAGGGTACTGACGAAAATCCATTCTTCATGATTAGGTTTCAACGTGAATTAAAACACCAACTGATCCGAGTCACTTATGTATCATCAGACCAGATCCCACAGTCTACCGTTCCTAATAAAAAGTTCCCACTTTCGCTAAGCACGAGATTCGCCGACTTTCGCACAGCATAATGTCCGCTGATAAATTCCAATGACGTCATAGCACACAAAGAAAAAATATATATCTTTCACCACTGGAAATTTCAAAGCGATTGGTCCAGTAATTAGAAATAAAAGTGATTTTTCCTAACGATAGAAACAAAAATATCATGAACAACAACTTAATAACAAAACGAGGACCTCCTGTCCCGAAGAAGTGGGACACGTGGTACAAGTGGGACACGTGGTACAAGTGGCACACGTGGTACAAGTGGGAAACGGGGTACAAGTGGTACACGTGGGACAAGTGGGGCACGTGGTACAAGTGGGACACGTGGAATACGACATTTTGAAGACACCGCCAAAAACAACTGATGAGTTGTGGAAATTAGGTGATAGAAGGGAAGTAAGGGGAAGATAAAATTCCGAAACAAAAATGAAAGTACAAATTTTGCACGGGATGGATAAATTCTGTTATAAAAAGCATGCGTTTGTAAAACAATTACTGAATACAATTTATACGCAGATTTCATTTCATTGGTTTTGAGTTTATTTACGGATTTAATAATATTACAACAACTAAAATCTATATCATCTTTTTACAATTTACGCAGTTCTGAAGATTACAAAAAGTTAACTTATCGACTTATTTGAAGAGCCACATTTTAATGTTATCATACAAGCGAGCGATGCTCAAATATATGGATACGAACATCAAAACGAAGTAGAACCACAGAGATATATAAATAGAGTGCGCTTCTTTCTCGTTTCCGCGAGATTATTTGAAGGCTCTCTCGTTTTGACGATAGATTTCCAACTTTTCCGAAGCGCGTAATGCATTTCTTATGGGATTTGGCAGAAATCAATCATTTGCGTCGATTTTTCTCACATATTCGCCTGATCTTGATTCGTTTCTCATTATGTATCAAACGCTAGTATATCCCAGCTCACCATACGGTGCTAATTTTGGCAGTTTTATAAATTTGTGAAAGTCGTGGTTAATAATATGGCCAACGTATCAGTCAAAGGCGAACAAAAACGACCACAAAACATTAGTCAAGATGGCTTATTCGAATCGCTTCCCCATTTGTATATGGCCTTATTTTATCGCCTTACGCATTTTGCGTAACGATCTCAATATCATTGCGTGGCCTGGTTCCATAACACCCTAGCTGTACATGTAAATAGAACTAAAGAGCGCTCCTCAAGTGTATGTACTAATATGGAGGTAACTAATATTGTTCGCCTACTCTACACCAATTTGTGTAAAGCAGGGATGCACGACCTTTTTGCTATTGGAGGCCACATTGCATTTATTTGTATTCGATACGGCCGCAAGGGGGCTGAAGAGCACGCAGAACGCGCGCGATTTTTTTTTGGCTTTTATGACGCCATAACCGCGTATTTGAACCATGCGAGGTGCAGTCTGCCCACCTATAAAGTATGTAGGACTACTTGGAAGTATAATATTCGCATTTTAAACGGATTTTTTTTCGGTGGACCTATTCTTGAGCAGATATATTGCAACAAGTTGCATAATGGTTGCACAATTTTGAAAAAAATTGAAAGTCGGGGATGGGAAGATGGGCGGTCGCTCCCATTTTCTTGTCCCCAAAAGTATAATAAAATGTCAAATATTTTAATGAATTTTTTCTATGAAAGTGTGCAAAGCACTGTAGCAATTCAATGACTCCCTTGGTCTTGCACGTGGACAGATAAACTTGCAAAGTCAGGTAACTGGCTGGATACCATCAACCTTAGTTTAGACTCCAGCTTGACGTCTAACAATCTGGTTCGGTACTCATTTATCAGGTACGTCATTCTTGAAACGTTGCTTCGCATGTGTAAGTACTTCCAAAAAGAACGAGAGTTTTTCTTGCCAATTCTTGTAGCACTGGATATTCAACTGTGCTTTTAACGTGTCCAGCAGATTTTTCTCGTCTTTAAACTTCTGCACATGCTGTCCATCATGCTTTTTGCACCAGCATTGTCGCCAAATCCTATATTTTGAACTTTTTTTTTTCATTGAATTTTGTGTATGGAAGGCCGCATTATTTTGTCACGACGGCCGCATACGGCCGTGCGCCGCAGGTTGTGCACCGTTGGTGTAAACGGAAGGAAACCATGGGCACAGGATATATTCACTTGGCTAACACACACACAATTCCCGAACTCGTAAAAGAACTAGGATAAAGAAAGTCGGAATAAAGTTATGGCCTAACCTCAATCTGGAACACAGACTACGGGAGTACCAACTAAATTGCGTTTCGCCCTCTGTCGAAGACTTGGGGATGAAATCTTCCCCGTGGAGGTTATTGCATTTTTATGATATTATTTGAAAACAATTGTTTCCACTTTCTCACTTCTTTCCGGCTTCGCATTTCTTAGCCTTAGACCTCATAATGAATAAGGTTGATGCACTACTCGCAGCTGCCGCTGGAACAAAAATTAGAGGTACAACGTCTTGGGCCTTATCAACCAAAAAATTGTTCACTGAAACAGTCCCATGACGGAGGAAAGCGTCGGCGTACATTCTGCGCAGAAACTTGGTATAAAAAACACGAATGGTTGTGTTACAGCGAGGACAAAAATGCACTTTTTTGTTTTTATTGCCTACTTTTTGCTATCGCCCGTGACTCACGTTGGTGTAAATTTGGTTTTAGAGATCTTAAACATCTTTCCGAGCGTGCCAGGGATCATCAATCTTCTATGGAGCATCTGGACAATGCAGTAAAATACCGAACATTCGGAAATGTTAATATTGCAGCACAGTTGGATGAAGGACGCGCGGTTTCTATTCGTCGGCACAACCAAAACGTCGAGAAAAACCGCCATGTTCTCGGTCGATTGATAGATGTTTTGAAGTTCATTGGTTGTCACGAGCTGTCCCTCCGTGGGCACGATGAACGGGCTGGCTCTTCTAATAGAGGGGTATTTTTGGATATGGTGGAATACATCGCATCCCTAGATACAGTATTGAGAGATCATCTTGATGCCGAAACTGTTTCGAAAGGGACATCTAAGGATATCCAAAATGATTTGCTCGACTCAATGTATAAAATTTATTTACAAGACTTGGCTCTGGAAATTGAGAATTGCCAGTTCCTTTCGATTCAGTCTGACGAGACAACTGACATCACGTGCGTTTCCCAACTGGCTGTGATTTTTCGGTTTGTGAAAGATGGTAAACCTACCGAGAGATTTCACAGCTTTGTACCAATCGTTGATCGCACGGCTTGCGGGATATCGGCTGTACTGAAAGAAGTGTTACAGCCTTACAACGCGAAGTCAAAATTGATAGCCCAAACTTATGACGGCGCGGCAGTCATGAGTGGGTCGAAACATGGTGTTCAAGTTTATATAAAAGAGGATTTTCCTCATGCGCATTTTTTACATTGTTATGCACACCAATTTAACCTCGTTATCAAAAATATGTGTCTTGATACCCCTCTTGTCCGTATATTTTTTGCAAATGTTTCGGGGTTTTCTTCATTTTTTTCCGTTTCGCCGAAGCGCTCTGACCTCCTTCGCCAGATATGTAGCCGCCGTCTCCCAGCTTGTGCACCAACACGTTGGAACTTCCTATCACGCGTGGTGCAGGGCGTGTCCGAAATTAGGTCTGAGCTCATTGAGAGTTTCAATGGCATTCAGAGCTCTCCGGTTTGGGACGAACGCTCTGTGAGGGAGGCGGCAGGTCTAAAGCGTCTGCTAGAAGATGGTGAGTTTTCATTTTTTCTCGCTTTTTTCTCCACAATATTCTATCACGTGGATGTATTATACGGCGCATTGCAGTCAAGGCTAATGGATGGAGCGTCTGTGCAGTCGTGTATTTCAGACTTCTGCGATGCTGTATCTCGTATCCGGGAAACATAAAAATACGACGACACATGGAGTGCTTCTTTACGCCGCGGGCAAACAACGCAGCTTTTGATTTTGTCTGCAAAGGAATGCTGTGACATTCTGGTGAATCAGATATGCGATCGTCTGCGCACTGAACACCTTGCCGCGTTCTCTTTGATAAACCCAAAAATTTTTCAAAATTTGCACGTCAATTTCCCATCCATTTGTTGGCTACTGTCTCCAAATTTTACCCCATGATAAACGTGGGTAAATTGGAAAATGAATTGCGATGTATATACACCAATCAAACTTTTTTAAAAATCACATCAACTTGCGCGCTCTATGAGTTCCTCATAGATAACACTCTAGTAACTACCTTTGCGGCGTCTGCAAAATTTCTGGACATCATTTTGACGACGCCTATTTCTTCCGCCGACGCAGAGCGAACATTCAGCACGCTGAAGCGTATTAAAACGTATCTCAGAAACACAATGAAGCAAGATAGATTAAATTCCTTGGCTGTTTTATCCATTCACAAAGACGTTATTTCTGGGATGAATGACTTTAATCAGCGCGTTATTGAGCATTTTGCTTCCAAGAAACCGCGGCGTGTTGGATATATGTTCAAGCAGTAGAAGTCTAGCAGCATATATATCTATGAATGAGCGACGCATGTCCTTATCTTTGCATTAACTTTCCTTTCTTCATAGTAACGTTTTAAACCTTATTTTAGGTTTTGTCTGCTTTCCCGAAGTTTCTGTTAATATGTCATTGTATTTATATGGGTAAATATTGCTTTCCTTTTGAAAGAGGTCCCAAAATAAACTATGTCTATATCTATTAATCCCTTGACTTGGACTGGTTTTAAAGACACTTTCTTATCGTTAAAAATTGTCGCTTTTGCCGATTGGTTGTTACCGATGGAATGGTTTTTATACTCATAAAATGATGGGAGAACTCACAGCGCTCATCCTGTCTCCGTAGATGGGGGTGACTTGGTCCCGCAGTAGCTTGCCCCGGTTGTCAAAATGACCACGCGCCGCCACTGGGTCACAGTACACTATCGAAACCGCAGTCCCGCACGACTAACGCAAACCAAGAACTGCCACAATGTACGCACTTTTTAAGGACAGCACACAAAAAACGATCTCTATAGTCCAGTGATTGGAGAGGAAAGAGACTTTTTCACAATAATAAGAAGAAAAATACTAACAACAAAAATAAGAACAATAACATAATAACAAAACGACGCATGTGTACACTTCCTGTTAAATAATAATATAATAACCATAATAAGTGACGGTACACAACACAGGAAAATGCTGTTAGATAATTGGCTTGAATGTGCTCAATAGATGTTTAACTCGTGAATGTAGCGCTATGATAGAGTAGTAAACATGCATCACGTTTACTTTATTGACACGAAATGGACCTATGGATCGTTTTGTTGTTATGTTGTTGTTGTTCAAATTCAATCAATCAAATTTTGCACGAAATCAATCAACGTTTGCTCCAAATTACCCACAGTTTGCTTTAAATCAAACAACGTTTGTTGATGTTAACAGTTTTGTTCTTGTGTCTTCTGAATTGACAGCTAGATCAATGGCATGAATAGGATAATATTATAATTATGCTTATTATAATCAATATTTTATTATAATTTGTTATATTATAATAAAAATTGAGCTTGATATTTTTCGAAGAAAATTCAATTTGAAAAATATTCAATTTTTTTTATATTTGTACATATTTATACCACAAAAAGTATTTCCCATTTTCGTAGAATTATAATATGGTACATATGTATTTCATCTTTCATGAGAAATCTGCTTCAATCAAAATCACATGCGATCACATAGAAAACCACAAAATTTACAGTGAAGTAACGAGCAATTCTTGTAACCTTGAATCCATTCAATAAATTTTGTAAAAAGTCAGGTTAACGAGCAAGTAACCTTGTCTTCCAAAAAGACAATAGTGAAATCTGGTAACTGGTAACTAACTGGACTTGGCGCGCGGTGACATCGATCCCGAAATTGTACGCACGAAAATTGTGAACGAAACTCATTATCTGATCACTCGCCTGCGACAGCAGTCTGGGTCCGAGGAGCATATTTAATTACAGTTGCCTTGCCCTACTTACCTTTTTGTAGACGGAGCTTCCGAATCAGCGTAAAATTTGTATTGTATAACAATAATCGATTGCACATTTGTTTGGGTATCATGAAACATGTGATGAACAGGCAATGGCCCACAAAATTTCACGTCGCTATGAGGTAATAGTACGTCAAGATGTATCGTACATCGTGCATATACATAATTGTCTTCCAGTCCCCACTGCTCTAGCTTAAAGTAGGCACAGCTTGATTGATACTTTCACGATCTTTTTTTGTAGCGCACAAATTGTGTGTAAGTTATAGAATAAAAAAAACAATATAAAAAAATTTCTATAAAATATTTCAATACAATGAAATTGAAGATCCCCACGTTGAAAGCTGCCCAACACAGTATATATATTCCATTCGATATGCCTTCATGGCCCCTAATAAGAACGCCGAAGGTTGGTGAAATTGCCCCGCAGATCATTGAAAACACAAAGTTTATATTTATGTATGGTGAAGAGTTGAAGATATTATTATTGAGTACAAACGGAAAAGAGGAAACTCTGTACGCTAGGAACTCCGGGCACGAAAAATGCACATACATATTACATAATATGCCTATATGTATAGTTAAAATTATGGGTTTTTGATAAAAATTCATTTTATTACCGCGGTATGCTTTAAATAAAAGGTTAAAAACATGAAGTCTAATAAGTCCACATCATGTCAAAGTCCACCATCAAATACCCAATATAGAAGGAAGGAAGCACATAAGCCAGTATCCACATAATGCATTCCAATAAAATCACTGTGTTATGCCCGACCTTTAGCACTTAGTAGAAACAACTGAAATGAATTTCATAAAATATATATAAATAGACGTTTTTAATCGGGCATTGACTTAGATTGTCTGCGTCCTTATGCTGCAACATCTTACATTTATAGGTATGTATATATATTTGATAGATCTTAGGCTATAGTGGGTTTCAGATATAGATTTCAACTCGAATGCTTTATTTTCCACAAAATTAGCAGTTAAATCGGTACTCCCGTAGTCTGTGTACCAGGTTAGGGTTAGGGCATAATTTTTTCCCGATTTTCCTTATTTTAGTTCTATTACGTCTTACGAAGTTTGAGTATTGTCTGTGTTAGCCAAGTGAATATACCCCTGCTCATAAGTTTCAGTCCCTTTACACAACTTGATGAAAGGTATAGGCGAACAAAATTAGTTACCTTCATATTGGTACACACACTTCTGGAGCGCCGTTGAATCTTTACAAAAATTCGGTGAATATATATTTTGTTTTTATAAAGAGTTAATCGCTAACATTCTAATCGGTGTCGTTTATTTAATGGAATCATAATTTATATGGACGCGACTTATTTAAAAATATTTTGCATTAAAACTTGTGACCTTAACTCAAGTTAGTAGTATGAAAACTGAGTTTCTTCCTCGTGATACCCAGCATTGCGAGTAAATCTGTGGTTAAATGTGTTACAGCTAACAAAGATATTCAGAAACAAGCAACTACCATGAAAAGTATATATTACATCAACGCCGTTTGCTTGCTGATTCTCAGTTACTCTGGTCAGATTAACGGACGAGGTGAGAGTAATTGAGTAGGAGCCATTATGTATTTGAAGTTATCCCCAAACCCAAAGTATTTCAAAACGTTGCAAATTTCGAACGGATTAAATTTTAAAGTGAGGTGATCTGAAAAAATTCCAGCCTAATTCGGATCGAGATGTGTAAGAGAACTGGTACCTAGCTTATAACTTTACGATTATCCATTGACAATTACTGATATTATTTCACGCGCTGTTTTCAATCCATGTCTTTGTTATTTTTATGGCAACTAAATTTTTTTTTAACTGATGAGGTAAAAAGTAAAGAGCCAAATTAGGGAATACGTTATGATATGTCACTTTTTTAGCCTAATAGGATACAATTAAATTAATATCTGTTTAATACCTGAGCGTACCGTGAAGCAATGAGTTCTCATTGCGTGAAGAGAGCGAAAATATAACCTTTGTTTTTTTCTTTTCAAAGCACTATTCGCACCAAATCAACCAATCTATGCACCAAATCAACCAACATTCACACCTAATCAGCCAACGTTCACACCAATTCAACCAACATTTGCACGAAATCAACCAACCTTTGCATCAAATCAACCAACATTCGCACCAAATCAGCCACCGTTTACACCAATTCAACTAACATTTGCACCAAATCAGCCAACCTTTGTACCAAATCAAACAACATTCGCACCAAATCAACCAACGTTTACACCAAATCAACCAACATTTGCACCAAATCAACCAACCTTTGCACCAAATCAACCAACATTCGGACCAAATCAACCAACATTTGCTCCATAACAAGGAAGATTTAGACAACATGATATATCATTCGAGGGCATCATATTTATCCTATAAAAATATGTTTTCTGTGTCACCCCAAATATGTATTTTTCTTCAGTGACTATTATTATTCAAGAATATCAAAGAAAATGGGCGCTGATACATACTATTTCAACAGTTAGCTCCATATTTTTTGGTTACATTGTATTTCTTCGCCGCCATCATAAATCAGTGTTAAATTTATATATATATCATAAGTTCTGCAAACTCATATTGATAATTTATTTCCGTTGGTTCTTGTTCAGACAATAATGCGTCGTAGTTGGGATTATATTGTCAAAATAGTGAAAATTTTATAACTTGGAACGAAGCCAATAAAAATGTTAACCAGAATTGTACACTATAATCGTTAATCGAACTTCCTATGGGATTCCCATTGGAATACAATTTTTTATTAAATTTTTTAAAATTTAGGTTCAGTGGCCATTAACTAGCACTCTATGTACAAAGAGACATGTCAAGTTTCATCCGAATCCGAAAGGTGGAATTATGCTCGCGCTCTAGAAACTAAACGCAGTAGTCCACTTTGCCCAAGGGAAATACAAATATGTGCTCCCAATTGCCTTGCGTTTCCCGCTTGTCCCATGCGTCCACTTGTACCGTGGAAAATGCGAATGTGTTCTGTCCTATCCCATCACATGATACGTTTCCCATGGTTTAGCCTGGTTACCTGGATATCAAGTTGGAATCGTGTCAACTTGAGAGTGCTTGGGAAATAGAAATGATGCGTTTGCCGGAAGTATTTTATATTTGAGCTTAGCCGAGTGGGTGACGGGTATTAGCATCTTCAATTAATTAATTCATGCTAAAGAATTTGCGATTGATATTTTTCGAAGAAAATTCAATTTGAAAAATATTCAAATTTTCATATACATATACCACAAGAAGTATTCCCCATTTTGTAGAATAATAATATGGTATATATATACATGTGTAATTCACGAAAAATTTGCTCCAACCAAATTTACATAGAAAACCACAAAATTTACAGCAAAGAAACGTGCGATTCTTGTAACCAGGAATTCATTCAACAAACCAAACCAAGTCTCCCAAAAACACAATAGTGAAATCTCGTGAATCTCATTCACAAAGGATTTATCGTAAAGACTTGGCGTGCGGTCACATGCGGTCCCCGTAATCGTACGCACGAAGGTTGTGAACGAAACTCATTATCTGGTCACTCATTCGTATCACTCGCCTGCGTCAGTAGTCTGGGGCCGAGGAGCATATTTAACTACAGTTGCCTTGCCCTACTTAATTTTTTGTAGTTGGAGCTTTCGAATCAGCGTAAAATTAGTATTGTATACCAATAACCGATTGCGCATTTGTTTAAGTATCATGAAACATGTGATTAACAGGCAATGGCACCGCAAAGTTGTCAAATTTCATGTCGCTATGATATAATAGTACGTTAAGATGCATCGTGCTGCATATTCATAATTGTCTTCAAGTTCCCACTGCTCTAGCTCAGAGTAGGCACGACTGGGTTGACACTTCGACGATATTTTTTTGTAGCGCGCAAATTGTGTGTAAGTCATGGAATCAAAAACAATATAAAGAAAATTTCTAACAAATATTTCACTACAATGAAATCGAAGATCCCCACGTTGAGAGCTGCCCAACACAGTAAATATATATATTCCATTTGATATGCCTCCATGGCCCCCTAATAAGAACGCCGAAGGTCAGTGAAATTGCCCCGCAGATCATTGAAAACACAAAATTTATATTTATGTATGGTGAAGAGTTGAAGTTATTGTTATTGAGTACAAATGGGAAAAATTGGAAACTATGTATGCTAGGAACTCCGGGCACGGCAAATGCACACACATGTTACATAATATGCCTATATGTATAGTTGAAATTATGGGTTTTTTATATAAAATCATTTTATTTACGAGGTATGCTTTAATAGGTTAAAAACATGATATTTCATATAGTCTACATCATGTCAAAGTCCACCATCAAATATCCAATACAGAAGGAAGGAAAGCCATTATTCACATAATGCATTCCAATAAAATCACAGTGTTATGCCCGACCTTTAGCACTCAGTAGAAACAACTAAAATGAATTTCACAAAATATAAATAGACGGTTTTAATCAGGCATGACTCGGATTGTCCGCGTCCTTATGCTGTAACATCTTACATTCGTGGGTCTATGTATGACAACTTTTAGGCTATTGTGGGTTTCACATTTAGATTTGAACTCGAATGCTGTATTTTCTACAAAATTAGCAATCTTTAAAAGAATTCAGTGATTAAATATATTTCATATTTATGAAGAATAATCAGTAAAACTCTAATGTCTCTATGTCGTATGACAACTAAATTTTTAAACCGATGAAGCAAAAAGTTGCCAATTTATTTAAAGAACCAAATCAGGGTATGAAATAAATCATGATATGTCACTTTTTTAGCCTAATAGGATGAAATTAAGTTAATATCTGTTCAATACCTGAGCTTACCTTGAGGCAATGAATCCGCATTGCGTGAAGAGAGCGAATATATGACTTTTTTTTCTTTTCAAAGCACTATTTGCACCAAATCAACCAACGTTAGCACCAAATCAACCAACGTTTGCTCCAAATCAACCAACGTTTGCACCAAATCAACCAACGTTTGCTCCAAATCAACCAACGTTTGCACCAAATCAACCAACGTTTGCACCAATTCAACCAACGTTTACACCAATTCAACCAACATTTGCACCGAATCAACCAACCTTTGCACCAAATCAACCAACATTCGGACCAAATCAACCAACATTTGCTCCATAACAAGGAAGATTTAGACAACATAATATATCGTTCGAGAGCATTATATCTATCCTATAAAAATATGTTTTCTGTGTCACGCCAAATATGTATTTGTTTTCAGTGACTACTTATATTCAAGAATATCAAAAAAAATGGGCACTAATACATACTTTTCAACCGTTAGCTTCATGTTCTTTTAGTCACATTGTATTTATTTGCCGCCATCGTAAATCAGTGTTAAACCTTTACCATAAGTTCTGCAAACTTATATGGATAATTTACTTCTGTTGGTTCTTGTTCAGACAATAATGCGTCGTTGTTAAGATTATATTGTCAAAATAATACAATTTTATTACTTGGAACGAAGTCAATAAAAATGTTAACCAGAGCTGTACACTATAATCGTTTTTCGATTTTTTTTTAGATTAGGCGCTCGCTGAACTATTCAATTTGACTTGTAAAACCGTCGTTGATGTCTAATAATTCAGCGGGTTCTACACGAAATTCTTTGAATGAGTCCCAACTCCCAATTACTTTTTGATAGTCCCAGGGAGTTGGATCAAACGGACGTTTCCCATGGTTCAGCCTGGTTATCCGGATATCAAGTTGGAATCGTGACAACTTAAAGAGTGCTTGGGAAATAGAAATCATGTGTTAGGTTGTCGGAAGTCTTTCATATTTAAGCTTAGCCGAGTGGGTGACGGGTCTTAAATCTTCAATTGATACAAATTTGGTAAATGAACGAGAAATGAGAATCCTCTGCATTTAGTCGAAGATTTCGTTTATAACTGAACGATCTTAAAGACGTTAATTCAATCACGCCCAATAAATTGCAAAAGTAGTCGGGTTTTTTGTAGATTACACTAGCATGATATATTCACGAACGCTGTCTGCCTAGATATAGCAAAATAAAATAGAGAAACACAACTTAATTGTATTCTATCTTAATTGTATTCTAAGATACTACTGGATGATAAAGCAAAAGAAGAAAAACTGAATATATATGGAAATTCTCATGGTAGAAAGAATAAACAGTGTAAGCAAATAAAAATTTGAAGATCTGTTCACAATCTCATTGGAAACCGAAACGGAACAAAAAATATTTATATAATCGTTTGCACATTTTCAGCAGTATAGTGCTTCCGCCGAAGAAATAGAAGCTTAATTAAGTTTGCGATGATCACAGCCCTGAAACAGGAGATCTGAAAACGGGCTATGTATCAGATTATTAATTTGCCTATCTGACTTAAGGGAGCATTCAAAATAATAAGAAGACGAGCTACTACGCTTGCAAGTTAACTAAACACGAATGAACATATTGAATTCGACATTAGAATAATTAGAAAGAATTCTACGAATCCTGTTGGTGAAAATTTTTTTTTTTTACAAAGCATTCCAACGAAGTAAAGGTCCCATAATATATTCATATGCTGCTTTCGTATTAGGTACATCCATATTTCAGGTACAAAAAATCTGAAATGGATCATTACTCTCGGAGAAAAGAGATGTTTTTAACAGCAAAAAACTTCATCCTAACGACAACAATAACTTAGCAAAAGGATCATAGGTTCGTGTCCATCAATACAGCAGAACGTTAGTAGCCCGTTATCACAGTGCTTTAAAGTTGTGCTTATTGAGATAACTAAAGTAGAATATTCATTGTGTAAAATAATAAAAAGCCTGTGCAGTATAACAAAATGCCATTACCTATAAAATAGTAAAAAATACAATCGTTGACTTCACAAATTGAATGAATGCAAGTATAAGTCTCGTTAAATGAGTTTATCACACCACAGTGTCAAAATGATGTTTTATAGTCAAAATTATATGCTTGCAAAAGAGTGTAGATCGGAGTAAATTCAAATTGTTAAGGCATGTTTGAATGGGCATTATTTCGGTAAGATTACCCAGCACAAGTTTTTTAAACGAAATACGAAACTATAAAATCTATAGATTGTGTTGTAATCTAGCTAAGCTATAAATCCAGAAATATGAGTTGGGATGCAATTGTGCAATGTTGCCTTGTAACAACTGAAGGAAATCCAGCAGCATGCCCAGATTGTAAAAACAAACGGCTACAGGAAGCATTGAATGATTCAAGCTGTAATCAAGACAGGAGAACAAAGCAGGGAAATGACGAATACGAGACTAGAATGAAATTACTACGAAACTAACTCACCTAGAACAATAGCAAACCAATCTGGGATACATGATATAGAAAATAACAGATAAAATTATCCCGCATTATTTTAGAAACTAAATTCCACAGACGCATATTACTAATACTAGTTAATCTGTTTCACATGAATATTCAATTTTTTTTTCTTAAATCACGTATATTGAACGAGCGATTTCAAAAATATTTTCTTAAAAATGATCAAATTTGCATATCGAAGTTTTAAAAACAAATTACAAATAAACAGATATATGATTATACAGTATTTTCAAACGAAATATTTTGAACAAATCGAATCTCATATGCGACAAGAATAATAGAATTTCAATCAGAACTACCAAATGTAACAAAATACTTCATTCTTTCCATGAAAGAGTTCTCCCATTTGCTCCATATATTGCGAATATCATCATCAATATTATGCCGAAGCCAGCCGTAATTTCCAGACCAGGTGTGAGTGACAATAACTTTGTTTAAATCGTCTTCAAATTTATTCCAGTATAACTCATGGTTCGTTCTGTTCGCAAGAGGAGCATAAGTAATACCCTCTTCTGAAAGAAGACTACCGGGAGGAATACTTTTGCCTTCTTGGTTGTTCACCATAACTCTCATTATCCCGGTAACCCAGACATCGTCAAGATATAAAAAGGGAGTTGTTCTCGATACTTCATACAACTTTGACGTTGTTGCAATTGGCATTGTGTACCAACCGCCACGGCAATATGGGGGCCAATATTTTGCGGGATATTGTTCAAGCGAAACGAACCAAGGACTCTCGGGTTGTCTATCGGGTTCTTCAGCTTGTCTATAACCATAGATACACATGATAGGAAGTGGATGAGAAGGTATTCTACGTCGCATTGTCTCTATATATCTAAGGAAATTTGGGAGGTGAATCGCAAAGTCGTCATCTGCTGATGAATATAACCAATTTTGCGGTAAATAAGTCGAGGCCCATCTCATTCCAGCCAGAAGTTTGAGAGGAACGTTTCTGTGTTGAAAAACATTGAAAGTTTTACCTAGTTTGAGGATAATAAATATTTAATTGAATTATTAGAAAAGGTTAATACTACTTTTTTAACATAAAATGAAAGAATTTGGCGCCTTCAGTAAAACATTTAATTTACAATTTAGAATCTTACGAATATCATTAACTTAAGATCTGAGGCTTCGACTGAAATAGAAATAAAAAAGCTCCATTCGATATACATTTATTCTATGTCAATTGCTTTACTTTCTTTACAAACTACTGAAGACCATTTTCATTAATTAAATACAACTTACTCTTTGGTGTCAGGTAGATCAACCTGAAGTATATCGCCATATATTTGATTTTCTTCCGTTATATCATTTTGCAGATGAATATTATTAGTAGTTCCCAAGATAAAAACAGTTTCAAGTCTGACTCCATCAATAAATTTGAATTTTCCCCATGTTTCACGGATGACATTTCGTCGTTTTTTATTCAATAAACTCGACTTTACTACGGTGATAGATGACCAGCTTTCAACTGCAATAAAACAGAGAAGTCCATATAAATGCAGTCTGGAAATGATCTCTAAATATGATAAAACTGCTAAATATCAGTTGGTATACAGCCCTGTACCCTAAGCTTATTATCCGGATGATAAAATTTATTTTATGTAAACCATAAGTTAGCGATATAAATTCAGTTAAGCATGCCAATTGTCAGTGCAATAACTAGATAACTCTCAGAATACATTATACTCAATTTAATAGCTAATTAAATCTACAAATGACCAGAGAAATTGAATAGTATGAATAGGTTTTACTTTTGTTCAACAAAAATACTTTTAATTTTAAACGGTACTCTTTAAGGATATTACATTACTCAGAAATTATGTATATAATAGCGAACGAAACGCCCAAATCTGTACAACACTCTATTTATAAAAACATTGTTTTAAAATGATATTTACGCAAATTCTACATTACATGCGTGGTGATATTAAAATTATACAAATATTTGTAATAAAAAAACGTAATTATGTGGTTTTACTTCTATAAACTGCAGATTTACATAAAGTTCCTTTTTTGATTTTGTCTCAATTTTTAAAAACTCAATTTCCGATAGCATATATTTCAAATTTTTATTTCAAGCTAAATCACGTTGTATAAAACCGATATATTTTTCTCACCATTGATTTTGTCTTTAAATAAACCTGCTCTAGACGATGAAATATTTACATTCCAAGGTGAAACAAGAATTTTAATGTGTTTTCTTTGTGTCGTTCCATTTTTAATAAATCCATCAATTTCATTGTATTTCTTATGGTGTGCTATTAATCTGGGATGTCCATATTGAAGCTTCATAAGTTTTCTTCCATTTGTGCCATTCGAATGCAAATGGAGCATCACAAACGCTAACTTAAACATAACACAGGCAATTATGAATATGCACATTAATATAATATTCCGCCTTTTGTTCGCATCGCGATACCATTTTAAAGACTTCACAAAGGTTATGCACTTATTCCTAACTTGCATCTTCACTGATCCTGTAAAAAAGAAATGCAAAGCATTAAGTCGTCTTTTTAAACGGAAGTTTTCTGCCGACACACCAGCATGATTGAGTCTCGACTGCCAATGTGTACAAATGTAGTATTACAAAAATATTTTACCATTGCAAACTTCTGATGATTCTTAATCTGTACTAAAAAGTCTTCAAACGGTATTATACACTACAGGGTGTCCAAAAAGTTCCGCCCGATTTCATAGCATTACCAATTGCATTTTTGAATAAATTTTGTTGTATGATAAATGGGGACTACAACATTCAACATCCAATTAGAAACAGGTTGACTATAAATCTTTTATTTTAATTAAAAATTTGATTATAAAGACTTTATAATGGGGCGAAACTTTTTGGACACCCTGTATATCGCTGTTAATACGGTTCACTTATTGTGACTCCAAACCAGTCGTTTTTTTAATTACGCCGAATGGATTAAATTAAATTAGATGGGTTGATTATAATAACACTTACATAGATGACCGGCGACTGTATTTTTCGACCAACCGCCTGGCCTGTCAAATCTCTTCAGTAATGACTAATTCCGGTGTTGCGGTTTCAAATGCATACATCACCCAATGGGAACTATCGTTTATAACGAACCCGACTACCCTACCCTATCTCAGTGGTTGACTTGACTGACAAATCCATTCCTCAATGTCAGTCCAACTACAAGCCTAACGAATCATATCCAGGTTTCGCGCGTAGGAGTTATACGCAAATGTAATGCTTCTCTAGAGGTACAGGATGGCAACGATTTTGACAACACAATGCGATTGTATTGAGCTGGACCTATCAAAATCCCATCTCACAAAAAGTTTTTTGAATGGGGCGCCCGCTGTGAACCATCAACTGATTTAGAACGAGATTGTTCCCATGTCAATAAAAGTACCGAATCGTGTGCGCTAAATACTACGATTGCCAGTCACAACAAAAAAATTACCAACACTGTATACACGGATGATATTGATTGGGTTATTCATAAACACCTTTAAAATAGAATCTCGGTGTACATATATATAGCACAATGTAAATATAATGCTGCCAAAAACAAGGGGTTCACAATCTACCGAAAATGCTGGTTAATCATTAAGTTGATACACTGTACACAATACCGCTTTTCTCGCACACCTGCCATTTCCGCAATCAAAACGTCAGAGAAATTTTCCTTGTTTTGATAACTTACTAAACTGACGTCTACAATGTATACAAAAACTTGTGCATATTTAAAATAGGCCTGACCAATCCTCCCTGCTACTGATGTTGCAGGCTTCTTTCGCCGCGCTTAAATCACGCTAGACTCGACTGAAGTAGTTTGGGTATAGCGATTAGCGGTATGGTGCGCTCTAACGAATGGAATCAAATCGTTAAGAGTCCCCTTCAAACACAATGTATATAGCTTTACGATTGTATAAAATGTTGAATGAGTACCGATTCCCCGCAATGTAAGATATAGCTATTAAACGTGCTACCCATTTGCGGCCAATAAAAAGCGAATACGACTAATCTATCTAAATTGGCGACTATTAAAATATACATATGCTGGCAATTGAATTAACTTATACAAAACGTTAAGTTGTCTACGATTTTGACAAAGCCTGGCAAGTGACTTAACGCGAGTGTGAAATAGACATATTAAATGACCAATGCTCGATGCGATTCTGGTATCATTCAGCGGCTTCCTAGGCAAGTAAATTCACATACAGAATCAATATTTTATGCGAAAGGTTACAAATACAATCAATGAATACCGTCATTTCATGACGCCATAACCACCCTAACAGGTAATCGCGTATGCCTTTAGAAATATGGTTGTGCAAAACATTCAAAACAGTGATTTTTTTACCATAAATAGTAAACTAATGGCAGGCAAATTCAATTGGAATTCAGTAAAAGTAACTATTAAACGTGTTTCATTTTGCTTACTTCGCTGCACGCACTAACGACATAAAATTAGAGAAAGGCAATAACAGTTTAGAGACCAAAAATATAAGGAAAACACAAACGTTGTCTTTTGAAGTCTGAAATCCAATATTTACAGTCGCAAAATTGGTTTATTTCATTGCGTATTACAAACACAAAATGTTCGACGATCACAAGTGAAGTGAAATAATATAAAGTACATTTTGCTAAAAAAAACTTCTGCACTGTTTCAACATCATGATCTGCTCTAAATTAATTTTGCTCATTTACTTTCATTGACTATTGACAAGGTCGCGAATTCGTTTAGCCCAGGCAAATTGCCATATGGGATTGAATGAACTTGAATTGAATAGCAATTAACAAAGGGCGCTCTCTACTGATTACTGCATCCTGGCTTAGTGACTCGCAGTTAGAATATCAACCTTAATTAACGCCGATCTATTTATATTGCGAGTGCGACAACGCGTTATAGTACAACACTTGCCAATCAGCACCGGATATTATCAACATGCACTGTGATAGTCACTTGCCAAGATCACTCGTATTCTGGTGTTACTGAACTTAGCGCAAAACGTGTTTTACATTCAAGAAAAATAACTTGGTATAAAACTTTTAATTCCGTGCTGAATATTACGGGCGCTACTGAATTACTATAGCGACCATATAAAATATATGACAGCGATACAGCTACAGTTTTATCAACTATATTGCAACTTGAAGCGCCTCAAGCCATCTTGCTGCGGCATCAGCGTAGCCTCAGACAGAAAATGTATTGATCTTTGTGGTTTAAATTATTCATTCATACCACAATGGCATTGCCAGGCTGCATCACAACCACAACTTTGGTCATTTTATAGGTTTCTGGAGTATTAATTCCATTCCTGTCGACTGAATATCTGAAAATTTGTATGTTTTTTAGTACCTTCTAAATACGATGATGGCTTAAATTTTGCGTGGTTTCAAAAAACTAATCCTTTGCTGAGTTTTTGCATGAACTGTAGACATCACGCAGTTAAAGTTCGTCGGCTTGATGAAACTACAGCTATCTCCAAGCAGAGGGCATGGTACTACCTTACAGCTTAATTTTAGTAGCACTTGTACGGCCATATCACTGGGAATTGGTAACACGTAAGGCCGGAACTGAACTATTCGCCACAACGCTTGTCTGCAGGTCACGGTTTCGTTAAATCCCACTGATATGATACATGCGTAGAGTAGACGCTGCCAACAATTTCAAAAATACTTGCGTATTTTGAAGGTATTTGGGGTGCGATTTTTGGGGTTGGCCTATTTCCATAAATGATGGAATATTTCGAGACTGTCTGGCACGCAATCAGGTTTGTTATCGATAAATCAGAATATCTTGAAATATTCATATAACGTTGATAAATAAAAGACAATTGCCATTTCCACCAAAGTTCAATACTAGATTGCATTCTGCAAACAGCTTCTACTCCCAGCACACATCTATTTGACACCAATAGTGTTACATCATAAATACAAGTTCGTACCCCAATGAACTGCAATTGGCGTGTGAGCTCCGCATTCTATTCCGGTTTTACGCTTTTTTGGTTCCTGTAAACGTTATGTAGATCACGACTTATAGCAATCGATATCTTTGAACGTATGACACGAATCTTACCACTGGTGTAAAAGATTTTTGATCTTTCCCTAACTAACCAATAATTCTGATTCTCAAAACACGCTCATTTGCGTTTATGAACACACCATATGGTTTATTACTCCATTGTTATTGACAAATTGGTTACATGAGGAAGGAAATGAATTGTTCCGTGAGACAATTAACGCGCAACTATAGTTGAGCAAGGATACGAAAAGTTGCTCTTATCATCATGATAAGTGCACCCTATTAAATTGCAGCTTGATGACCAGTAAACTAAATAATCGCTCGATCAACAAATGCTTTTGAAATTGATTTCCTATTCCCCAATTGCGACATGTTAAATTAAATGCACAGTATTTGAAGCAATATGTACCATATTTGTGTCGTCGTTCTTGTTTGTCACATATGGTGGCCGTTGGTTAATTATATATTAGTACGACGGCATCAATTATTATGTAATCTTCATTTTAATATAGAAAATTTGAACCTCCTGAAGTATGCGCACCAAGATGGCGCACAAACTGAACTCGGGTTGGGTACCAGGTTAGGGTTTAGGTTATGCGACATCTTGGTGCGCATACTTCAGGTGTACCGAAAATTTATTGTCGAACATCAGTTAGTATTTTGTAGTGGCCTAACTCGCGTATGAGCTTCAGAAACGCACATCGGACAAAGCGCTCTGAATATGCGTATGAAATATTCCGTTACATTTATTAAATGCTGCTGTCTCAATTTTTCACGAATGGAATAGTGTTTATAAAACGGCCAGGCAACGTCTGATGAAATTGTGCAAATGAAATTACAAGCCACCTCTGGTACGATAACTCAAAAAATAATTTTCTGTAATTCTCTAGTAATTGTTTCGGGTTAATTAGGTAATTTAAACTTTCTGGATCGACACAAATAGTACGTCATAACTTTCATTATATTCCTCCTGATGACGCGACAACGTCGCCATCGTTCGATGGCATCAATTACAACGACGCTAGCCAATCTCTCCGTCAAAACTTTAATTCCTAAATAACTCTTTGGGGAGAAGAATGAGATTGTGTAGAAACTCGACGAAAAGGGAATTATTTTTTAATACTATGCGAATCAAAAATTTTTTATAGACTGCACAATTTGCCGTACTTTGCTCTGTCTTAGCGCCATCGCTGCCGCGGGCCATACAGCTAGTGTAAAAGCAGTCTGCCTTCCTAATATTCTCGGGAAATGGTGGGCCAATTTTAACAGTAATTAGCGTCCCCGTAATTTACTTAAAATATAAACTGATTTAGACATTTCTGTTCGAAAATATCCCAAGGTTTAATATACAACGCAAATATACGAATGCTTGACGAATTAATAACGTTAGTATAGAACAGGTGAGTAGGTATGGCAATTGGCAATCCTTTTTTAATGAATGGGTCACACATTCATTGTATTTTTATCATGAAAAATCGATTAATCAATGTCTGTTTCGTTTAAATGCATTATTCCTCAACTGTTATTTATAAACCTGTGTAGTTATTTATGGTACTCGATTTCATGAAATTCTAGCGTGAAAAAGATAGATTTGATGAATACGAAGAACTAAAACGCACTTACACAAAAAAATTAACTCAATTTTGTGATCTTTAAAGTGTACTTTATGCCTTTTAAAGTTTGTAAAAATGTAGGCATGAAGAAGAAAGGCAAAGGTTTTTCAAGTCAACTTTTACATATCTCTCTGATTTTCTTTTGGAATACTAAAAAATAAATAAACCGCCGCTCGCGAAATTGCCGTCTATTATTACGTAACAATGAAGGCATACACCACGTTACAGAAAGTAAACGACATAGAGAGGCAAAGGGAATTTCTTGATTTATATACACATCATTTAAATTTTAAAATAGGTAACAATAAAACATTTATAATAGATACAATATGTAAAATACTCACTCATATAGTAGTTATGTTTAACACAATTCTGTTAATTTTCGGGGCGCACTTAGCAAGTACCTTTGGGAACCTCTGAGCTAGACTGTATTGTATTCCAGGAACATAAAGGTCCTAACAGCATTGTTATAAGTAGCTGCGCCACTATAGTTGTTTACCTATTATCACTTTGAACTGAGTACTCACTACAAATATCTTTGTCACTGAAAGGTTGGTACGTTTATGATTACACATACTACGTTCCGTTGTCCGGCATCGGGAGTACCGAATGTTGATTATAACGATTTGTACTTCTTTAGGTCAGTGGTTCCCAACTTTTTTTTCAATCGACCCAGATATTGTAAAATTATAATTTTTTAAAAAGCTTGCAAATAAGAATTTCTCGGCGACCTATAAGTTGGGAAACACTGCACTAGGTAACAATCACGAAAACCACTCAGTTTTCTACGGGCAAAATATAAGTCTTTGTGGACGGAATATTTGGAAAATGGGGTGTAACTGTAATTGGAATGTTATGGGGAAAGTCGATAAGACGACCTAATCATATCGCGAACCACGGGCTCTCGTGAGGTTATCAGTTGGGATTTGTTGGTCAGCATTGCATAGGAATATTTTTATCGGAGATGACTTCTCCCCATCTCTGGCCTCTGAACGTCCGCCTCCAGATGAAGTTGCCGTAGAGAACCAAGAGTGATCGCAAGTCGAGTCTGAGACCAATGTGACTCCAGAGATGGTTCGGTCATTCACAAAACCTAAGCTACAGGAGCGAAAGAAACTAGAAAAAAATCCTGTATTTTGACTCGAACTTCTGAGAATGATTTGGCTTTAGCTAGATATATGAAAAGAACGCATCCAGTACACAATCTATACAACGCAAGATCCCCAGGAAAAGTGGTCAATGATGAATCGACCTCATATGAGGAAGATGTTATGCCTATTCACGACACCACTGACGACAGCGAGGAAGACATGTAGAAAAAGGTGGAATCATTCGAGCAGGGTGATTTTGTTACGGTCAGATTCCGAGGCTTTCGATCCATTGGGCACTATGTCGAAAATTTTTTGGAAGTTTCTGGTACGAGCGACGCAGAAACCATAAAGATGGAAACAAAATTTTTGAGACGAGTGGATATGAGAAGAACCAATGCCAAGGTGAAGAAGAAATGGCATAATATTTCAAGAATTCGAAACCTTACAGTCCTTACTTCGAACAATGTTCAAATGTGTGGTGATAGGATTTATAAGAGTTATGAATGAGTTAATAAAAGAGCAAATGTTAGGAGATGAGAAGATTGAAATTCTTTTAGAAAAATCTGTGACGCTGTGAGGTTTCATATCCATCAACTTAAATTTATTTACATAGTTATATATAATAAAATTGTATGTTTATTGTGATAAAATGAAAATTATGATTTACTAGATGAAATTGTTGTTGTATTGTATTCATGTCTATTGCTGTTTTTTTTTCTTTCTTTTTTGAAAGAGAAAAAGAGTTACTTAAGTAACGGTGCCGGTACAGTGGCTGGTCCGTCTGGACGCGCGCGTGTCGTTGTCAAACACTGTGGGACAATGTTTGCGATGTGTTCAATACAAAACGAAGTCTTCGTTGTGCGAGAGGGCGTTTTACTAAATATGTAAATCCCATCCTATTTCAAAAATCAAACCAAGGGTTTTAATTATCTACGATTGCATGATCTATGACAAATACCATTCTGCACACCAGTTTCGAAATTGATTTGTGCATGTTTTATTTCATTTTATGAAGCAGATAACAAATGTATAGAACGGAGAACGAAATATAGGCTACTATAGAAATTAGCACGCTTATGACCGATATAAGATATTATGGACAAAGCTGAACATATAACTTGCAACAACGAAAGAAAAGAGAAAAAAATTCAATTGGTTATGATTCAACAGGACGGCACTAAAGACTTTTAGAGCACCATTAACATTCTAAAAAATAAGAAAGCCAGAGTTTCTCAACAAATCAAGGGTTCTACAAACGCTGGACAATGACTGACCAATCATCCATAGATTATAGTCTTCAATTGCAAAGTGAGCAAAACAAAAAAAAGAAGAACAAAACGAATAAGAAACTGTCAGTCTGTAAATATTAAGCTCAATATTATTTTTGCAACATAATAAAAGGTGCTCCAGAAGTATGCACACCAAGATGTCACACAACCTGATGCCTAACCGGTACAACATACTATGTTCAGGTTGTGCGCCATCTTGGTGCGCATACTTCTGGAGGTCCTAATAAAACTTAAAACTTGATAATACACAAATCTTCAGAGAAAAAAATAGTATGCAGTGACAGAAATTTAGCAGTTCAGCAATTTATTATTACAGGGGTCAGCCATGATCAATATCCAACACATAAGAAAACGACCTGCTCAATTTTCAAAACTTATTTGCATGAACAACTCCAAAGTAATACTATATTAGAGAAGGCAGTTAAATAATCTACAATGAGGCCTGGTACTTAAGGTTGACTGTGGAACTGAATCCTATACAGTGAAAGCAAAAGTCAACGAACAAACAAAAGGAATATTTAAACACGATTCCAGCTCATGGACGTTACAGATACATGTGTAATGCACACGATCAAGTTCACAGTTACATACAAATCACAATGAAAAAAAAATATGACAAAAGCTTTCTTATACTCTTTCAAACATTAACAGACAGGGCTACATTTTTTTTATAAATTCATTCCCAAATTGTGAAGTAAGTAAAAATCATATTTCTAAAGCATATTTTTAACTAAAAAATAATCATTCCATAAACCATTCCCTTTTTAGCATTATTCTGTATTTGACATGGGCCAATAGCATATATAATTATAAGTTTATACTTGGATGCATGCGAATGAAAAATAAGGGGATTGGACAGGTGTTAGCAATGCATCATATCTAAATGTTAATTATAATTTATTTAATTACAACTTCCTCCAATGGCATGAACCATCTTTGAAGAACAGCAGTTGCTATACTTTAACGTCAAGACACAACTTACAGAGGTAACATCAAATTCAACAACAACTATGATTGACTATGAAACATATACATACATATAATTTTTCTTTTGACACATGTAACCAGTTTAACTCTCATATCTTGCATAATAATGACAACAAGAATGAATACTGTAATTTAGTGTAACCTTGAAACACGTCATTTTATAAAGCTGTCTAATTCATTATTTTTTCTTGGTAGAATGAGTAGTATACAGTGAGGATAGGACAAATGAAATTTATATGAAAATAACTCGAAAAGAATTGCAGTTTAGAATACTCAATGATATGCTGGGTACGGTACTTGATAACACAAATATTCATTCTTGCAATAATTATTGAAACTTCTTTTCAAGTTTTATTAAAGATGAATCATAAGTGAATAACCCCAAGCTTCAAAACTATGTCTAGTAAACATGGATTTGATCCCAAACTAACTTAACCTGTATGGTGAAAAGATTCGCTTATAGGCCAAGGCAAACTAAAGCATACCTCACAGTTGCAAAACTTTTCAAATTAATTCGTTTACAATTGAAAAAAATAAAAATATTTAACAAAGTATAAGCCGATTGATATAAACAGAAAACAAAAAAAAAAATACATTTGATTTGTAATTTTTATCCCATTAAATTTGTCAATTTTATAACAAGATCCTGCAGTGTAAATAACGTTAAAAAAAATTAAAAATGACCAGTACCATAAAAAAGGACACCCAACATTGTAAAACACTCTTGAAATTGCCAAAATCGCAAATATGAAAGTGTTAAAATGGGACTACAAAGGGTGGCCGAATTTAAAATGAGTAGGGAAAAAACAGTCTGAATGAAGTCCCATTCTAGGCACCATCATAGGCAGTAAACCCATTTTTATCAATCTAAAAACAATAGGATTCTTTGCTTTATAAGTAGCCCGGCCACCCTTAAAATCACACACCACCAAAATAGCCCACCACCCTGATATTCAAAAGTAATCAAGAGCACAAAACAAGTCATCAGTAAAATTCCTCGACTAGAAACAATCTTTTAAAAGCTTTTTATATGAGGTTACTTCCAAGACAACATTTTCACAAAGAAAAGTTACACATGAAATAGATTGCTTCAAGTATAATAATCATGGCACAGTTTCAATTCGAGTAAAAATTGTGTAAAAATCCTGTAAGAGCTCGACGATAAATGCCACAGACAAGGCGTCATTTAGTAGAAAACCAGTAAAACAAAAACTAAATATGTTCAAAAACTGAGAACTAAAAAAATATCTGGCATGAAAACAAGCAAAAACATTGAAGGCGATAACCAATTTTTCAGAATTCATACATTTCCGTTTTTCCAAGGAATATAATGAGAAAAGTATTTAACAAATGATTGAAGGTCTATAATACAGTATCAGAAAATTGCCATCAAATATGACTGTTTGACAGGAAAGATAGTATGTATAATACAGTGTTGTAATTTTTTTCAACAGCACAGTAGCATCCCAAGTCAAGGACAAGTCAGCATAATAATAAAGCTATATTTCCGGAGCGTCCAACTGGTAACTAACTATTCAAATATCTGTTCCACAGTGGCTCAGCAAGAGGGAACACTGTTCAGGCAGTCGTGCAAGGTAATAGTACTCAGAAGTGCGGATTGCGATGCCCAATGCCTTCACATTCAATAATGTAACTTTCAGTGGATGGGGGAGCTGCTTGAACCAAACTGAATTGAGCCTGTGTCATCATTTGCGCTATGTGCATTGCGGTTTGGGTGTGAAGAGTTATTGGGCCAGTCTTGAGCCTGGATCGACCGGCTGCGAGTGCCATGTATATAATGAGCTGATCTTGTAGATACTCATCGACACAACACCCATAGGAAAGGTTACGAAGTAACATTTCAGCAGCATCAGCACCAACCTGCTCAGCCTGAATTCCTTTTCTACCTAGTGAGGACCCTGATAATCTGCAACCTGTCGTCGTTTCAGCAACCACAATTATTCCTGTGCCATTTCCCACTACAGCATTTTTAGGCTCCTGGAATTAAGATACAAATACAAAAAACACATCTTTTTTGAGCTGAATATGAAAAGTCAAAGACAGGAGAATAAAAACTTACCTGTACAGCTTGAATATTAATAGGCACCTCCCTGTATGTCCTCCACAAAACTGAAGTTGCACTTTTTGCCATTTGTTGAGCTATCTTGAAAGGAATGACACCAGCAACAAAAGCCCGACCTTCAACAGATATGAATGTATCATTATTTTTAAAAAAAATTATCACTCAAAAATAACTGGAATTTAATTGTTATCCCACACTTTAATTAACTAACAGTCAACACCCTTGCGGCCCAAGCTGGAAAGAATGGAAACAACTTGAAATGACATAGCGATTGTTCAGTGTATTCGTAAAATACACATCAGTAAAATATTCTCTTCCTATTTATACCTGTTATCCTCTTGATTGTGCCAAAATTTGTCAAATCAACCGCTCTCAATTGTCTTACAGGTGAACTTTGAACTGTGACTTCTCCACCACCTCTCGGAAAATAACCTCTGGTGACAATTCTGTAGAAACAAAATATTTTGTGCAAAATATGCAGAATATAAACTTGCAAATTGAAGGTAATGAGCACATACCTGCAATCCATACGAACACCAAAAAGCTCTAGCATTGGCTTAAGCACACAAGTGGTATAATCAATTTGAGGAGCCATTTCCGCATTTGTACCTCCTCTCAAAGTCAGATGTGATGTACCAGGTGTAAACATAAGACAGGGAAGTGCTACCTATAAAAATATTACAATGAGTAGTAAGAGTTAGAAGATATGAGAAAAAAATTACACAAAGATCATTTTTGGTTGCGTAATAAAAAAGTGAAGAGATTTGTTAATTAACAATGTCTTTTACAATCAAATCCATATGAAGCATAAAGCCTCTATACAGTATTCAATAGAAACTTGGAACCAGGTGGGACTTGATTGAAAGAATGTAACAATACCTGCAATAAAAGACTGACTGCACCAGCAGTTCCAGTGTCAGCAAGAAAAGTTCCACTTTGCAACATTCCTGGAATGAATGTGACATGCTGTGCTCCTACTTGATCGCCAGTCAACTGTCCAGAGCATAGATCTCTAACTAGTTGCATTCCAGTCATATGCTGTGGTCGAAGCCCAGGATTGGTACGATTTGCTCTAATCCTACTTATTGATATAGGCTTATGCTGAATGGAGCACAAAGCAATCGCAATACGTAAGATCTGACCGCCTCCTTCCATGATACCTCCATCAATTTCAGTAACCTCCATAGATTCTGCTTCATCAGAGTTTGTTGTCCACTTGTTGTAACCGTTAGTGAAAGACATTGTTGGAGTGACTGCCATTCCACCACCATAATTTCGATTCATATTTCCTCCCTGTCATTGTATGAAATGGAGTAAATGATAATGCCATTAATGAAAAACGGATCTAAGAAAGTTTTCAGTCTTTTCGGAACCCAGGATGGCATAAGACAAATTGAATTTAGTTTTTAGATTTTCGAACCTTTCAGGAATTGTTTAAAATAATACTATATAAATACATGTGGATACATCTGTCGACGAAACGTCTGGATGAAATATCTGTGAAACATGTAAAAATCAGGGCATTCTTGGAATGAAAGACCCCAAAACACAATACATTGGTTATCTATTGGGGGTTATTAATATTAGGCATAAAATCTGTGGCTGTATGGAGGTGCATTTATTAGTGAATTAAAATAATTTTAGCTTCATAACTTTCAGGTATTGCCTAATATTACTAAAGTAAGAATCTCAAAAAAGCTATAATGAAATTTGTACCACTGCTCCAAGTGCGGACATATTCATTCCTGTATTGCAATTTATATCTGAGGAGCTTCCTTGACCAAACTTGGAAATATCCAATCCAACCGTGTGACTCATATTAACCTTGCTTTTATCATCATGTTGCTGATTTTCCATGTAGCCATTGAATTGATGAGAGTTGATGTTCATATGGCCTTGGTTTGAAGCCATCTTACCTATCAAGCGAATGCTTGATAATATTAGTGTGGTTTTGATTTTTAAGGTAAAGCATTGATGCCAAAGAAAATGCCTATAAGTAGTAAAAAGTATAATTTAACAAGGTAATGGGTGAAAAGAGCCCCGATTACTAGGTATGTTTGACTTTGGTATCATCAGTGAGGCATCTCTAATCTTTCCTTGGAACTGTGATATCATTATAAAATTTGTGTATTATTTGTTCATAGGTCCATGTCAAAAAAAATAGATTTATAAGATATATAGTTAATTTGCATGGAACACGACAAATAAAAACCCATTCAATTACTGAATTACCAAAAAAAATTCAATTATGTGAATCGTTCCAATTTTAAATCCTTAAATCCTCTAAGTTGTAGCTTAACACCGAAACGGCAAATACAGAAATGTGGTAATAAGAGTGAGAGAGATCTGCATTTCAGCATTTTTATCACAGTATCAATATGTAAGAACTCATTAAAATTGAATACTTGAATTGAATGTTAATAAAGGTTGAAAGGAAACATATACTATTGTCTCAGGAAGAACATTAGTGAAGCTGTGAGTCTATGGTATCTTTATCTACATCGATTACTGGTAACTTCCAAGTCTATTCAAATAGAACAAATCTAACATTGTCATCTCCTTATCCAGGTGGTAACTGAAATAAAACAAACTGTTCCTGTGTTCACTACTTTTGTTTCAAATAGGGAAATACTGAAATAGTAGTCCCGAATGCCAATTCATGAATCCCTACAAATAACAGAATTACTACAGTACTAACTCAGAAAAATAACGTTATGCCAATAAACAAAGAAATACCACTGTAATACTATAATGCTGTTATGATATCTATCAGAATATTGGAATATGAAGGAACTGGCAAAGAAATACAGAAATCCAAACCAAATTCCGAATATACCGGTACCGGTATCAACCGGTCTTGCAAGTAAAACGTATAATGGTGTGAACTATTTATATGCTTCCAAATTTTTAATTTATCTGACGTTTTGTCCGTTTGTGGGGCCGTAGGCTGGTAGGTAGCACTAGTCGATCGACGCAACGAGTATAACCCATGTCAGCATGTCATTAACTTATGTTATACGGTAACTTAGTACAGTACCCGCATTACGGATTTTATGTTACAGATATAGGCTAGACAACCAGCTAAATTAACGTTTAACTCCCTATTGCAGTATTGCGGGGAGGCAGCACTCACATCACAGAGCCACGCTTAGAAATGCAAAACAACGTGTTTCGTTCGTCGCATATCTCTTGTTTGTTTAACCAGAAATATGATGACTTATTTGTTTCGCCATTTGTGTGAAATCTTGCTTCTTATAAACTTCGACATTAACGTACAATTCTATCAAAAATAATATAAAAAGTAATATGAATAAGCTTACCTTATTTTTGCTTGATTACGTAAATACAGAAAACTGATTGATGACAAGTTCAATGCTAATTGTGACGTAACAATTATCAACTAAATTGTAAACACGCTGTAAAATACTTTAACCACGCGGGTTTGTGGAACACCAAAGATGCTTTTTCCGAACGTTGACGAGCTCCGCAAGAATGCAAATGAAAATACTTTCATTATTACACGAATTCCAACCCCGACTGTTTCGAAGTAATAATTACTAAAGTGATGTTTACCTGTTTTCGCGACCACTGAATCGCTAGACGAGTAATCAAAACATGGTGCAATACGACGTGTTTCAATCAACCAGGGTGCTTCCAATCTATAGTAAATGAGTGAGTGACCTTTGTACAAAATTCTCTGTTCATCACACCCATTGCGATCAATTTTATAATCGCATGAGATGGCAGAATGATGCAAAATATTTTTTAGATTTTCGCGGTTCATTCTACAAACGTCTTCTCTTGAGAGGAGAGCTGGAGACAATAAAGATCATATGTAAACCGTACTGGTATTGTATGCGCTCATTTTAAGCCAGACGAACCCAATCCCAAATCATTTTGTATTTACATTTTCAGAAGTATTTTAAATGGTAGTCTATCTATGAGACGTGTTCCAGTGTGTCGCAGTTCGTCTTTGGATTATTGGACACGTAGTGGACATAACGATCGTTTCAATATTATGTTGTTGTTGTTCTTGTTCTTGTTCTTTGACACGTTTTTAAAAAGTCGCTTTTCTCTTCGAATACTGGACCAATTGCTTTGAAATTTTCAGTGGTTAAAGATTAATTTTTTCGCTAGAAGGCTATTACTTTTGTTTATTCTTAAATTTTATATGAATCCTATGAGATATGATATTTCATACAAAATTTCGCGGTATTTATTTTTACTCATGGGAACACTGTTTTACACTTATTTCAAGCGGTTTCGCGATCGATTGTCTTGCTCAGTACTACAGCTACTGTAGGTCGGTACTGGTAAGTTGCCATACCGGTACCGTAACGCAGTGAAATTGACTTATTCCTTCCGCGGTATTACTAATGCTGCAATGCAAGTTTTATAGCCTATCGTATGCGGAACGGAATATCAGACCTACAGGTTCGGTACCGGTACTGGTAGCTCAGTACGTAAGTACGATACTGGTACTGGTGCCGGTACCGGTGTCTTACCACAATGAAATTACCGTAACTTATTCTTTCACGGTCCTACCAGTGCAGTAATGCAAGCGTTGTAGCACTTGTAGCCTAATATATTTGTTTATTTTGATGAGAGTCTACTGGAAACAACATAAAATTTGAAAGGGAAGAATTGTTCTGTGATCAATTATCTGTCCTAAAGTGTAAACAACATAAAATTTGCAAGGGAACAACTGTTCTGTGATCAATTACCGTATATGGCCTACAGTGTACAGGTAAGATGCTGGCTGACTGCTAACCGGTACTGGTAGCTCAGTACGTAAGTACGATACTGGTACTGGTGCCGGTACCGGTGTCTTACCACAATGAAATTACCGTAACTTATTCTTTCACGGTCCTACCAGTGCAGTAATGCAAGCGTTGTAGCCCTTGTAGCCTACTATATTTGTTTATTTTGATGAGAGTCTACTGGAAACAACATAAAATTTGAAAGGGAAGAATTGTTCTGTGATCAATTATCTGTCCTAAAGTGTAAACAACATAAAATTTGCAAGGGAACAACTGTTCTGTGATCAATTACCGTATATGGCCTACAGTGTACAGGTAAGATGCTGCCTGACTGCTAACTCAGTACCGCACCTACGTTAGGTACCGGTACCGCCGTGAATTCAGCTCTCATCTCTTTGTTGGACACGTAATGAACATAACGATCGTTTCAATATTATGTTGTTGTTCTTGTTCTTTGACACGTTTTTAAAAAGTCGCTTTTCTCTTCGAATACTGGACCAATTGCTTTGAAATTTTCAGTGGTTAAAGATAAAAATTTTCTCCAGAAGGCTATTACTTTTTTTTTCGCTATGACGTCATCAAAATTATGTGACTCTACGTGTCCATATATTTGAGCATAGCTCTCTTGTATTGGATAATGCTGAAGTTTAATCTATGCATTACTGATTGCATAAAAATATATTGGAGCTACGAAAACTGCCGTGGAGTGAACTTTATTGGATTATACAAGTCGCGAGATAGTTCTCGCGGAGATTTATTTGTATGCCTCCGACTTCGTAACGCCATCTAGCGAATGAATGCGTGGAGTGAAAAACTGCAGGTGCACGTTCAGCAATGTTGAAAAGCCGACGAAATACGATCGCTACCTTATGTTGCAGTATTAGGGCGGTTTTATTTTGATTGTGCATGTCTTTGGTATGCGTTCTCCCGGTATTTTTGGTGGATTCAGATTGCTGAGCGAGAACTGCAAGTTGATTAATACTGGAAAATCCCTTTATTCGAGTGAAGCTCAGAACGAAAGAGGTAAAATCAAATTAGTGTTGGAATCTCAAAAAACTGCTCTGTTGCGACGTCTACAAAATTTTAATGACAAGTACGAAGAATATGTCGGACTTGCGGACGTCCAAGCAGCGCAAAAGAAAGTTAAAGAGGTAAATTGTCAATCCCAAAATCTTTTGGAATGCTCTATTTCTGTCTTCATCAATGCACACTCTCGTCTCGGCAGTGCAGCAGTGTGGCTCATCATGCCAAGTGTTAGAAATTCGGTTATTGCTAAGGGATTTTCTTTGATTCTGTTCATTTTATTGTCTTAACTAACTGTTCCTATCTTGAGCTGACTTGGATCCCTTCCGTCTTTATCAAAAACAGTGCGTCCATTTCAGCATTTTGTTATCAAAAGCTTTAAACAACATAAAGTAAACAACGATGAGTCAATCTAACATATCAGGATTTTCATGTGAACTTTTCATTTTAAGGCTGAATTGATCTTTCTGGGTGCTCGCTCGAAGGAGAGAACGATTCTACGACAGATGGTTGCTACAAGAGAGAAACTAAAGAATGTCAGGGAAAGATTAAGTCATGTTGATTACTCGAACACAATGTATTTACAACTTGCTTCTGAGCAACATGAACTTGTCAATATAGAAGAGAGGTTAGTTTTATGAAATTGTATAAGTAAAACCTAACCCTTTGCTCTGAACAAGGCCCTGTACAGTCTTATCATTCACTCCGAACAAGACACAAAAAGCCACTGATATCTAAGAAGGTACTATTTCAGTATTTACTTGGAAGGACCGGAATCTTTCCTGTTAGGCATTGCCTACACAATTCATTACACCACACAAGGTGAGGCGGGAAGTATGGTATTTGAATCTAAGATGTTTTTAATCTGCAATGTCAACGCATTTAAGTTTACCACTTTAATCACTAAGCCATCAAAACAAATTGTAAAATCTTTATTGGGAAGTAAAAGCACACACATTAAAACGTAATGTACAGATATTTGGGGTTATGATATATTTATAAATAATAAAAAATATTTTTAAATTTTATATAAAAAAACAACAACAAGAGTCTGTTAAGACGAGATAAATTTCTCGTCAAGAAGGTTATTGTTAAATAGGATGGGATCATATCAGTCGCATTCCTAACTCCCTATTACACTTTCATAACAAATATAAAGGATAGCATTATATTATCCATTATGAAATTTGTGGATATATATTGAAAATATGCTGCCTGGCTTATGACAAAGGTATCTGAAGACTTTTATCCATATTTCAATTACATTTAAGTTTAACTGATGCATTTCAGTCAGAGAAGGGAACTTGAGGAAGCTGAAGATTTGGAGAGAGATTCTTTTATCGATTTGTCGAATGCAATGAGAGAAAGTTATGAACATGAGAGAGCAAGAGTTGAAAGAACAAAGTATTGGTCGATTATTGGAACTGTGATTGGCACATTAATAGGTTAGTGTATAAAATATGAGAATTCAGTTGTCACTATAATCTTGAATCTCTTCTTAAATTATATTCATCGAGCTTTGCTAGAAACAGCTTTTATTGGCTTTCACATCTAGTCTTATGGTTCTCAACCGTTGTTGATAAATTTCTCTTTGAATCTTTTCTCTCTGTTCTTCCCTCGACAATATCAGTAAAACTATACCAAGGGTCTGAAAAAATACCTGTTTGACTGTTAAATAATTAGATAAATCTGAAAAAACTCAGATAAACTTTTAAGGCATGATGGGATCAATTTACGTGAACAGAGTTAGAACTAAGGATTTGATGAAAGCTGTGAAAGAATCTGGAAATAAAAATGACCTTGCTGCTAAGATTGATACAGTGAGTTGAACTTTGATTTCATTCATGAATTTGATCTCTGGCGTGTTCAACAACTCCTTATACCTTAAAGTAACCTTCATATTTTAAGTTGAAAAATAGTTGCACATGCATTAGATCAACTTATTCCGCCATCATTATCTGTCCTATAATTGTGAAGTTTATTTATACTTAAATTTGATAGATTCAACCAGTCTCGCTGCCAGGATTTCCCAAAGGGTGGGAGGGTGTTAGGATTTAAATATTTGAAATTCCAATGCAATGTTTATTATACCTCGTTTAAGAACAGACTTTTTCAGCAGATAATGATTTTTATGTTGTGTAAACCTTTCGTGGCCGATAAAAGCATTTAAAATGGACTGCCAATTGCATATTGGAATGAAAGTAACCCTTGCATGTAATTACGGGGCCCCAACCCTCACTACCATAATCTTATCTAGGCTTATCATGATGCTACTGATTAAATTTTATTGTAGCTGTCTGCATCTAATGAGGAGCAAAGAGTTGCTTTCACATCTGCCTTGAATATCATAGCGGAAAATATCGTGGAAATGGGCAATGCTCTTCAAGTTCAAAACTTACAAGCTATGGCCGGTTTTGTCAATGAATCACTGACTGACCAACAAACAAGAGCCATACATCCAAGCCAACCGGATAAAAAATCAACGCATGTACCCCTGACAGCACTTACACATGAATTGTCTAATTATAATGTAGCTTTGACTTCACTCGCAAATGCAGTAACCGCTCTTTCAAATGCCGGGGCACCGTTAGATAGCAGTTCCTCGATGAAGATAGAAGTTTTGTTACAAAAACAAATTGAATCTACAAACCTTCTTCAAAACAGATTAGATGAAATGATAACATCGGCAAATGAGCTCGGTTTATCTGGTATAAACAGTCAATTAAAAGAGATCAAGTCCAAATTGTCATCCATTACATTTTCAAATTCCATTGAGTCAGAGTTTGACGATTCTCCCATTATTCGTGAATTACACAGTGAGGATGAGACACCGCCGAAAGAACCTAACTGGGGTGTTGGGGTTAAAGATGTTGTACTCTGGGGTTCAGTACTGTGTTGTTTATACATGTTTATTAAATTTTGATTATGCTGCCTGCAATAAATACACTGTCTCTTTGGTCTTAATTCGAAATGTCTGCAGGAATGACTGTTCTGTCATATGGAATATCACATAAATCTTGTGATTGAGATCCCATCTACAGTGTTTGAAACAAACCCCAGTAGATGGGATTTTTTGCGAGGACGTGAAGCTAATTAAAAATATTTATTAGATTTGATCTTGCCTGCCTTATTTGGGATATATTTTTGATTAGACTAGAGATTGTGAGAGTGAACATACTTTCGCCTAACTATCTTTAACTGTTAGCTGGTTATTTTTGATGTGGGGCGCAAGACTTGAAAAATTCTCAAAAGGGGGCTTAAACAGTTTTTAGAACTGTTTAAATATGTAATAGGAGAAAAGATCTGAAAATCTAGATGTGTAACAAACACTAACTGTTTCAAATTGACCCATCAGGGATTATTAAGTTTCAGAAAGTTTTAGTGCATATGCATAACATAAGTCTCCCTAGTCTCGTTTACATTTAGTGATGTCTGCAACTATTCAACGAGAATATCGGTTGGAAACCGAAGACTTATCGATCGATAGTTAGGGGATCCCCCAAAACAGAAACTGCAGTTTCGATTCATCCGCTCTTGTAACTTGCGCACTGCGCATCGCACACACACACTCGGCGGGTTTCAAAATTCTCTCGCTTTACAAAAATCTAGATCACTATATCAATAATTGATTGATAACTCGCTAATTATACGACATAATTCGCCCAAAATCAATAGGCTTCTGGTCCGAGATAAGATGAATGCACATGCAAAATCTGGAGCAGATTCAATCTCGCTTTCGTGAGATATCGCGTGCATCTAACAGACAGACACACAGACAGACAGACATACAAATACCTATCAATATAAATACCTATACCTATAAGGATACCAAATACCTATAAGGATGGATTCAGTATTGCATCTTGTACAAAAGTTGTGAGTTGAAATGTTTCCACCCATATCCTCTACAAAAACGTTCTAAATTATTATGGTAAGTTATATATTTGCGAAATCATGATTTACAGTGGACATAAAATTCAGATTAAAAGTAGAGCAGTGGAATATAATGCTATGCATAAGTGCATGAAATAAAATTGTATAAAAGATTGCGAGATGTTTCACCATTGTGCGCCATATTGAATTAGGCCATTTGTTGTACTGCTGTTGACAATGTGTGAATATCAATATATGATCTGATAAGCATTCAACAAATGCTGCAAGTATCTTTTTGCACTGGATAATCAAAGTGGTCATCATCTTCAAGCTTTGGTGTGCCATCTAAAGCTTCAAGTGTGGGTAGCTTCTTGAAGATGCTAAATAATAAAGAATATCATTTTTAGTATAATAGACTTATTGCATTTGGCAAGGTTGTAGGTTACCATGAGACTTGCTTGAGCAGTGCTACTTACAATATTTGAAAATATCAACAGTCTAACTAACCTACTAATAGATTTTTGGCCTGTGAGCTGCAGTTGACCCATCCCTGGACTAGTGGATACGCCATCACCTTGCATCATGAGTGCTAAGTCTTTACATTTAAATATGGTCACCAAGTAGAATAATGTGTGCCCTCAAGAAAGATATAACAAGCTGAGAAGAACCTACTGTGGTCTGTAGTCAAATGAGTAAGAGATCGGATTCCTGGTGAGATGAAGTGTCTTGAGACGTTTCAATTTTTCTAGTCCATCATTCGTCTTTATATTATTTTCTGTCATATTGAGGTGTTGTAGAACTTTGGTGGACGGTAGATCCTATGGAATTATTAATTAAAATCCAATATAATCAACTGAAAAATAAAAAAAAACATTGCTGCAATATAAACATAAACGTACCTTCAATGACTTCAAGTGATTTGAAGTCAAGTTCAGAACTTTACACATGGGCAATGAAATCCTGCTCAAGTCTCTCAGTTCATCAGAAACAAGATGTAGCTCTACGCATGTCCGCAGCATTCCGATAACTCTCATGAAATTATTGATTTGAAAGCTGTCCCCAAGATTTTGATATGACAAATTTACAATCTACCAGAATAAAAAAATTGTCACATTAAAAATATGTTACTTCTCAAGGAGATGCTTTGGTATTGCTCCGATGTGCTGTCAGGTCCAGATATGGATGGAACAAAACCATGTTATATTTTTCAAGGACTCACAACAGATATAAGAGTAAAACAAAAAGGGACTTAAAACACAGACAGAATAATCATTTAGTAACTTTTTTTACTTTGGCTTCTTCCCAATTTTCATGCTCATCTCTGTGATTTCTCCGGAATTTTAACCAATTTCTATCCATTTTCCTTTTTTTCTTCACACTCTCTTCATCATCACTTTCACTATCGCTACTGCTGCTAGATGAAGATGAATTTTCGTCATCTCTATCCGAGGGATACGGTCCTAAATTATATTATTGGAAAATCTGTTAAAATTTCAAACTCTTTGGTTTATTTATTAGTATACAGGGTATAGCAGAAACTGAATTTTATAACTTTATAACAACGGTTCCTATACTCCCAAAAAAATCATATCTTGTTTGCATTCAAAAAATGCTCGTAAAATAGTAAAAATAAATTAATGATAGTGTAACAGATGGTATCGCACATTCAGCCGTGTTATAATCATGAATGTGCACAAAAACTGGCTCACATATTCAATAGATGTGCATATATTATAAAAATTTCGTCATAATTTACTGTCAATAATATCAATTTTTTATTCCAGTGTGTCATGATTTGTATTACAAAAAATAAATGCACTCTCTCTAAAAGTTTGGATATCTGTACTGTACCATATATCAGTGTTGAAATAAATAAATGAATTGAATTATTATAAATTTGAATTATTTGACATATTTGTAAGTTACCCTTTCTGATTCTAGGATTTTTCAACTCATCAGCATCGATTGTATTGTTCTTTATATCATGCCATACATCATATTTGAATTTTGAACTTGGTAACTAAAACATGCGAAAGTGATGAAACACAATGAAAAACAGTTTACCAGATTCAGATATTCATTTTTCGTCACGCAAAAACATTGTACATTTAAACAAATAGTAAAAATTAAAAAAGATCATTGAAAGAAACAACAAACAATATTTGAACTGCAATAGACGAGGGGCTATCAAAAGTCATCATGTCAGCGACACCCACCAGTTATACTGAATTGCATTGAAACAATTATAACCGTATAAGGTTCATATTCTAATTCTTTTCAAGTTCTGAAATTCAACCAGTAATAGAAGTGCCAAAATCAAGCAAGTATTCTTACATCACTGGGTTTTATAAATGCATCTGATCCTTCTCTGTGTTGAGATAAAACTAATGTAGGCACAGCAATTGCCCCTCTGAAAAACAAAATGTTGAATTAAAGCTTGGAAGGCCTGAGGTGACAAAAAGGCAGTACCGGTATAGAAGATGCATATAGACTAGTAAGTTTAGACTCCGTTTTGGAGGAACCAATTCTAATTGCTGAATTGTCCAACTACCGGTACGGTAGTGCCAGAATGCCTAAAGTTTGTTTATTTCACTTTTTATGAAAATACATACCCAAATGAGAAGTATTTTTTCTATTACTGTATTAAAAGTAATCTATGATACATCTAAATTCATGTGATTTCTTACCCTTCTCTTGTCATGTTTTCACCGTTTTGTTTCTTTACATATATAGTTTAGTCGAGCAGGAACTGGCCAAACGACAGAAGAACGACGTACGAAGATGAAGATCGACTTGTTTATTTTGGCGTCCTTTGTCGCCATCGTTTTTATGACATGCATGGCTGCACGAGGGAATACAGGGATGTGATGAAAAATATTGGTTACCTTCATAATTGAAAGTACAAAAAATGGGAATAATGTTGATATTTTTATTTTAACTTCCAAGGTTGAATATAACTGGCGTGCATTTAGTGTTGATAAGATAAGTAACCATCGGTCCCATTTACCTACTCTATAAAGTAAACAATGCATACATGTAACGTAAATAGGATAGGATTTACATGAGCCACACCGCACATTCCTGGATAAGTAAAATTATACTCAATAATGATTAAATATATTATCTGTAGTTAGTCGATAAACATACTTTTAGCGAGCGTTCGTGGCCTGTGTTAAGAAAAATTAAACATAAATTACCACCGGATAGCGCTCTCAAATTAAACCCAAAACAGCAGGAAACCGACGTGTTCTTCATTTACGTCATAAACAATATTGCCCCATTTCTTATGCTGCGTTGGTCGGGTCAGCAGCGTTTCAGGAACAAGTTTTCGCAGGGAAATTTGGTACTAAACAATTACTATTCTGAGGTATGGAAGACGATACTAACGGTAGGGGGGGATATAATAATGGAGGGCAACCCAGTGAAATGTCCATGGAGGCGTACGTGTCGACGGTAGGTGCTGGAAGAAACATGTCTTACGACAACATGGGTGCACAGAGCGAGTTTGGGGATGATTCAGGAGATCGCAAGAGTTGGTGGGCCGGTTTGAAGAAAGGTGTCCGTGGCCTATGGGGTACTCGTCACACAGAGGATACCACAAATGATCGTGAATTATACATTCGTACAACCCTTCGTGAATTGATTATTTACGTTTTCTTCTTGGTAACTCTTTGCATCTTAACTTTTGGAATGACTAGTTCGACTCATTTTTACTATACAAAAGTGATGCAAGAGCTATTCCTTGACACCCAATTCACAGAAACAACCAACAATTTCCGAGGTATCACAACAATGCAAGATTTTTGGCGATTTGCAGAAGGGCCATTGATGAATGGATTATATTGGGAAAAATGGTATAACAATCAAAACGTCTCAGAAGAAGATCTTGGTTATATTTATTATGAGAATAAGCTACTTGGAGTTCCTCGAATGAGACAACTGAAAATTCAAAATGGATCTTGTCAAGTTCACCCAGATTTTCAGAATGAAATAACTGCATGCTTCGATTCCTATCATGCAGATAAGGAAGATACGACCCCATTCGGAAAAGAAAATGGTACTGCCTGGACTTATCAAACAGAAGAAGAATTGGATGGATCCTCTCATTGGGGTTTACTTGATGTGACCTATTCTGGAGCAGGATATGTTCAAGATTTGTTTTCAACAAAAGCAGCGTCGTTGCCCCTCATTGAAGATCTGAAAACTAACTTATGGCTTGATCGTGGAACTCGTGTTGTATTCATTGATTTTTCGGTATACAACGCTAACATCAATCTTTTCTGTGTCGTTCGCTTGGTTGTTGAATTTCCTGCTACTGGAGGAGCATTGCCATCTTGGCAATTCCGTACTGTAAAATTGATTCGATATGTTTCTACTTACGATTATTTCCTCATGGCTTGTGAAATTTTGTATGTGCTATTCATTGTGTACTACATTGTGGAAGAGATTTTGGAAATCAAGCGTCACAAGTGCAAGTACTTTGGAAGTTTCTGGAATTGTTTGGACATTCTTGTAATTGTCCTTTCCATTATTGCTTTTGCATTCAACATCTATCGGACTGTGAAAGTTGATAGCCTGCTAAATGGCCTCCTGGATAATCCTCATATTTATGCTGATTTTGAATTTCTCGCTTTCTGGCAAATGCAATACAACAACATGGTGGCCGTTGTTGTATTTTTTGCTTGGATCAAGATTTTCAAGTACATCAGTTTTAATCGAACGATGACACAATTGCAATCGACACTTTCACGCTGCTCTAAAGATATTGCTGGATTTGCGATAATGTTTTTTATCATATTTTTTGCTTATGCTCAGCTCGGCTATTTGGTTTTCGGAACTCAAGTCAAAGATTTCAGCACTTTTGAGGAAAGTATTTATACTCAATTTAGAATTGTTCTGGGAGATTTTGATTTCCACGAGCTGGAATCTGCGAATCGTCTTCTTGGGCCAATCTTTTTCCTCACCTATGTCTTCTTTGTATTCTTCGTTCTGCTCAATATGTTCCTGGCCATCATTAATGATACTTATTCTGAGGTCAAAGCTGAAATATCTGTCCAAAAAAGCGAGTTTGAGATATCTGATTACATCAAGCGTGGATACAACAAAGTTCTGGAAAAGCTTTCATTGAAAAAAGACCGAATTCGTGATATTCAAGATGCCATACAATCTGCTGATTTGAATCATGACAGGCAACTGGACTGGGAAGAATGGCGATTAGATTTGAAAATGCGTGGAATACCTGATGCTGAAATCGAAGCTGTTTTTGCAAAATATGATCAAGATGGTGACATGATTTTGAATGAGGATGAACAGAAACGAATGCATGCTGATTTGGAGAAAGAAAAAGCGGATTTGAGTAATGAATTAGATGAAATTGAACGTGAGAAAACCGCAGCTGGAGGTACTGGAAGTTCATCTTCGCATCGACCACCTTCCGCAAGATCCAAAGTTTCACACGTCAGCGCTGCGGAGTCGGGGGCAGACAGTGATGACGACGATGATGATGATGACAACCGCCGTATTGATTCTAAAAATCTCGTTTCTCAAGATGATTTCCAGATATTGACTCGTCGTGTAGACAGAATGGAACACAGCATCGGATCAATTGTCTCTAAAATCGACGCCGTAATTGTGAAATTGGAAGCAATGGAACGAGCGAAACTGAAACGCAGAGAAACGATGGGAAAACTTCTTGATAGCATAAACGAAGACAAACCAATGGAACGATATGTGAAAGAAGAATTTGACCAACTCGTATCGGAAACATCACCAAATGAAGAACGTCACATGGGACGACCCCAATCTGGTAGATCTACAGCATCAGCGGGTCGTGGGTTAGGCCTTGGCCTTAACCTGGGTGTCAACGACCAAAGTCACGCATGAAGATTCTCGAGGAAAATAAATTTCTTTTGTATATATTTTTTTGTATTTTTCAGTATTGTAACTTTCAGTATTTTGAAAATTTTGTTGTAATCATCAGTATCCCTCCTTACACGCGAATGATATTACAAATTTTGTAATGCTTGCATGGCTAACATAAGTTAATACCTGTTGTTAGAAAAATCATTGAATGTTTTCAAATGCTGATAAACTTAGTTTCCTTTCATTCCTTTCATTAAACCATTCCTGAGTGCAGTTTTTAATAATTAGTCTCAGTGCAAGACTATTATAATATATTTTTGTTGTTTTGAGTTTTCATATAGTTCCAATAGCTAGCTGCTTTTGACAAGTTTCATAAGGAAGTATTTGTGTTCAAATTTTCTGTATATATCTATGTTTATTTGTTATATGTTTATTAAAATGTAGATCACATAGACAAAATTATCAAAGTATTTTGAACTTTGTATGTATAAAATTGGAATTTTTCAAAAGTTGCTCATCATGCAAAGTCTATCACTTGTGATGGAGTATACAAGTTATATTCATAGGTATAAAGAGGATTGTTATAAATTTTACTGTGATAATTTTGTTTATGTGATCTTAAGTTTTTATCTGTGTTTTCTATTGTTCTAGTATGTGAAAAAATCTGGTTATTGGTAGAATGCTTCAACCAGTCAAGCACTGAAACTTAAATTTCATTTGCGGCTATGATTAATATAACAAGTTTAGTTTAAAATCCGTTGTTCAGATTATCTTAATATTCATTCTATTTGTACTGAAAACCTTTTGCATATGGTGCAGATATGTTGTCATACAGTATTTTTTTCCTGGTTTCTATATTTCTTTTCAATTTACAAAGGGTAATATTTAGTTTTCATGAATCCTGAATGGCTAAAAGTATTTGAAATGCGGTTTTAATTAGTTAATTTGCTGACAGCTTCGATATTTCCTAATCCCAATAATATTTTTAAATATTAATTACTAGTGCGGCAAAATCATGATAAATGTTTTGTATAAAATTCAATATATATTGTGATTTCATTCATAATCGATTGACACTTTTCAGTTTTTTAATTCCTTGCCCCAAATTCCAACAATTTCAATTTCACTGTTTTACATTCGATATCTACCGAATAATTGTGATACAAATTTAATAATTAGAGTTACGGTACATTTTATATTCTTATTGTTTGAAGGTGCTTTTTTTCTATAGGAGATCATATTTACTTGGTTTAATGGTTCTATTATTTGCCATTACTGACACCTTATTCAATCTTGCACTTGTGCTCCTATTAACCAAACTCTGTATATTCTCTAAGGCCCACTGTGAGTTTCCCTATTGTATTATACAAAAATGGTGTAATTTTAGTAAACATTTTGTTTTTTCTTAAACATATCGGGTTCTAAACATATCGGCTTTGGATCAAAGATGAATGCATCTTATTTAAAACATAACCCATGCTTAGTCAAACTCGTTTTTTTCATTCTGCATGATCGATATATAACAAAATGTAATTTGAAATGAATGTCTATGTAATTGCGATGTACAATCGATCTGTTTGTAATTGGACTTGTATATTGTACTACTTGTTACTGGCTGCCATTTTGGTTATTTTTATTTTACCTATGTTTTCAATTTAGCAATAAACTGAAATTTCATTCATTACAATTTTAATATAAGAAATAATTGATCCCTATTTTTCGTTTTAGAATTATCTCCAAAACAAACATGGTTGCTTCATATTGAATTGTGAAAAGAATTTGACAATAAAATATTTGGTACTGGTCTTTCAGCCTAATCTTATTCACACTGGCATGCGTACTATTATCTTTTGTTTTGTCTATTTTTGCCTTATTTCTATTTGAAACGAAGATTTTCTGGTCTGAAAATTTCCATATTATGGCTATATATATATATACATATACTTCTCTAGCACCCCAGTTATAATTTTCTTTTCATGGATTTTGAGCTAAAGCTAGTATGTACTGTGTCTGATTGATAGCTAATAATCCATTATCAATTTATATGATATATAAACAAAAGAATTTTATAACTGGGTTTATTATATCTCGTTTTTGACATTGCAAATTATTAGAAACTACTCGTTGAAATATTTGGTCAAGGATTGCGAACATTAAAATTTATCAATTTTGTTTCTCTCAGTTACAATTATATTTTCTCCATTCATGGCAATAGGATAATTAAAACTTTAAGTAGTTTCAATTATCACTTTGTCATGTTTGGTACAATAATGAAAGTTTACCCATTACCACAATAGATATTGTCATAATAAGATTTACGGTCTTATTTGCATTCATTCTTGTAATATATGTGTTTATTTTTCTATGTTGTAGAATTTATTTATTGTTAGTATAAAACGAAAAGATTATTGAGATCAGAGAATGTTAACGAAGTTTGAGACAAAGTCCGCAAGGGTGAAAGGTGAGTAATAATTTTTTTTAAGCGATTGGCTCTTGAAATTATTTAATAGTAGCATTCGATTGTATTAGTTAAAACTAATGGACCATGTTTATCTTAGTTTGGGTTCAAAGGTGAAGCAATATCCTAACCCATTTTGTCCCAACGTAACTTAAAACAGAATGAAAGAAAACATATCATAAAATTTCTGGCGGGGACTGTTATCTCTTTTTTTGTTCAAAGACTTAAAAAATATTTGTTTTATTATTCTTTAAAAATTGGATATGAAATTGAAATCTTACACTTAAAAGCATGGCTGCATATTTAAAATGTTTTTTTTTTCCTTTCAGGGCTTTCCTTTCACCCGAAACGTCCATGGGTTCTTGCTTCTCTGCACAGTGGTGTAATTCAACTGTGGGACTACCGTATGTGCACATTGATCGATAAATTTGAAGAGCATGATGGTAAGCATTGAATTTTTTTATGCTATTAGGTTAATAATATCTCATTCAGATGGTTGAAAATATTTTTTTGGATATAATTTAATTATTGGTAATGATAAATGTCAAAATATTATTCTTGACCAATTTTGTTTTGTTACAATTGAATCAAGCTGAAGATGATAGTTTTAAACATTTTTCATACAACTTATCTATATACCTTTTGCTCTGAAAAAGACTTTGCACAAGCCAGCACTGTTAGGTAAGGAGTTACTATAGTTTGGAATGACGGAAATCTTTTCAGGATGACATTGCCCACCAAATTTATTACACCCTGGGTGAGGCGGTGGGCATGATATTTGAACCCATGATTCTATTTGGCAGTGCCATCTCAGTTAAGTCTAACTCTTTATTCATCACAACCTTACATAGCAAAAAGTTTGTCACATATTAAACGAATGTGCTTAAATGAAAGGATTTATTCTTTCATAATATAGGCTATACTATTATGATTTTGTTTGCTTTACAGGCCCTGTTCGTGGTGTGTGTTTTCATAACCAACAGCCTTTGTTTGTATCTGGCGGAGATGACTATAAAATCAAGGTACATTTCGTCTTTTTTTTAATATTACATTCACAGCTAAAGCTTATCTAAAAATAGAACTTTAGTTGGAAAACCAATTTTTATCAGTGGCCCAAGGATTTATTGATGATGATCAATCTACAAAATTTAAGTGTTGTAGTCAAGTACCATATCGGACCTCCCTCTACTTATGAGGGGCTAAAACTTTTCAACGTTCCGTGTTGTATGAATCTACTCGACTGACCTATAACATGAGAAAAACATGTTTTTAACACTCAATAGTTTCAAATCTCGAGTAGCCATATTTCAAAGTGTCTGTTTTATTTTTATTTTTGAAGTGTAAAAAATACATAAGTTATGTTATACAATTTTTTTTTCATGTCCAATTCATATAACATGAAATTCTTTCACACAACTCTTCTCTCACTCTTTTTTGTACCTATCACTCTGACAAAGGCTTCGTATAAGCAGCCACTGATATCTAATTGCTAAGGAATCAAATGTTCGTCAAGTGCATAAATGCTTCAGCTACCGAGATCAAAACATCCTTTATCTTCATACATTTTTCATGTTGTCATCATCTATTCATTGTTATTTAATATTGAAATTGGCATTGACGTCACAGGTGCAGACGTGTCCTTTTTTCAATTACGTTCTGAAACTGTTAAATTATTAATATTTTATATTGTTATTATTCACAAAATGGACAGAAATTTTTGTTCACTACTTAGACTGACCATTATACCAATTGAATATCCGCGTTCTTTGTATTGAAACATGGGAAGCTTGTAATTTTCCATGTCACAATACATTATTTATAAACGATAAAAAGTTGTTATAGGAACTGATAAACTTTGTACTACTCTAGTTCGTATTCATACGTAACCATCTTAATTATTCAAATGAAACGATATCTCAAAATTATTATTTATTTTTGATTAAGTTCCAACATTCCACCATGTTGCAATACATTATTTATAAAATGTAAAAAGTTGTTATAGATGCTGATAAACTTCTGACTACCATATTTCTCATCCATACGCAATTATTTTAATTATTCATAAAAAACACATTACAAAATTAATATTAATTAATCTTCGATTGAGATCCACCCACCCCTTTGTAATAATTATTGTTATTGCCTTTCTCCCTAACCATTAGTCCAGTGGTTTCCAAACTTATGGCATTATGAAGCCCGTGAACAAGCTGACTATTATTTGCGGAGCCCCACAACCAATTTATAAAAATTAAAATTATCTATTGAAACTTATAGATTGTGTCATATTTGAATTACTGCCTTGTTAGTTGTTACCACATTTCGACGCTACCATTGTCAATTTTTATTATTGTCGTTATTGCTTCTTTGGACAGTTACAGAATTAGACAAGTCAGTATTTCAATAAGTTAACGAATAGCCTGCGGGGAGAGCCATCTCAAAGCCCTCTGGGGCTCCGCACAGAGCACTTTGAGAACCTATGCATGGCCATCTTGCCCTCTTGTATGTAAATGTTATGAATGGTAAAACATATGGATAACTTGTTTTTTGCTAAACCTAAACCTCTGCTTTTTCTCTTTTTTTGCTATTACTATTTATTTCTACCTCTATCCAGGTTTGGAATTACAAGCTTAAAAGATGTCTGTTCACTCTGCTTGGTCATCTTGATTACATTCGTACGACAATGTTTCATCATGATTATCCATGGATTCTTAGTGCTTCAGATGATCAGGTATTCTATTAGTTGATAATGAATGAACTATTTAGTTTTGCTATTTTTGAAGTAAAATTCAAAATTAGTGGCATTAGAATGCAGAAATGTCTATGTATCAAATTCATTTGAAAATTGGTTTTATTTGATATAGAGAATTTTCAATTTTAGTGATAAGACAGGGCAGCGGTTCTCAATGCCCTTTGGGGCCCCTGTGCCCCATCTGCCTTTAATTACAAGTCTCCATCAGTTATTTTACGGGCAACGCCACATTTAAAAAAAAAAATCTAATAAACAAAAGAAAAAGAATAAATGCATTATAGTCGAAGAATTGAACAAATGACATTCAATTAACTTTCATTGAATGCCCCTAGAATATCGCTCCTCAGACCCCAGGTTGCCCTACTCTCAAAGCAGGGCTAATTCTCGTATTTTTTAAATTTCTTTTGAAGAAGTTCTAAACTACTTCCATTTGATAGACATTCTATGAATAGACTCAATTTCATTAAGCTTCATTTATTATGCATTACATTTTATTTATTACGTTGCCTATAAAATTTATTGTTTATCGAACTTGGCATTATCAAGTGTGTTAATGGCAATGTTTTATATTGTAAACAAATGTGAAATGCAAATTATTTGGGTTTTTTCTTTGAAATCTATTTTTGGCTAAATATTTTTGTTTTATTTATGTTTAATTTGAGGAGGTCAACCTGTGGGTTTCAAGACGAAAGTCGAAATTCGAAAGAAAAATTATTTGAAAAGATTACAAAAAATTATTTGCTTTATAGGCTCGTTTTTTCATCTAAATTTGAATCCATATTCCCCAAAAATTTCAGTAAAAAGTTAGAGAAGTTCAAAAATTACTTTTTTCTCGTTTTCCCAAAAACTTTTTTTGTCAAATTTTGCCCTTTTGGGTTAAAGACTTCTAGTTAGTTTCCTATTTCCTATTTAATAACAATTTTTCATCAGTTATTTTATGGGCAACACCACATTTAAAAATGAAAATGCCAATGAATATTAATATTAATCAATTTAATATTAATTTAACATAGCTACCTTGAAAACTGACCCATATTAGTTAAATTATTACTTTCTTAAAATCAAAAATCTGTTCTCTTTGTCTGTAAAGATTTAACTTCTACATTTTTTTACTTCTATTTTCTTCATATATTTTTCATTACAGACAATTCGTCTATGGAACTGGCAATCTCGTACATGCGTCGCTGTACTGACTGGACACAATCATTATGTCATGTCCGCTAATTTTCATCCGAAAGAAGATCTTGTGGTATCTGCGTCTTTGGATCAAACCATTCGTGTGTGGGATATTGCTGGTATGTATTGTATTATACTCATGTGAAAGTATCCATAGATAGTTATAACTTAAAGCTGGGCATAGTAGGCCTAATTAACAAAACTTTACACAAATCTGGCCATATTTATCATTATTTTCCATTCAGGCTAAAGATTGAAAAATCTTTACCTTATACATGTCTTTCCTAGTTTCCCTAAAATTCAACCCATCGATCTATATGCCATTCAAATATGCCCTCTATGGAGGTGGCCGTTTCAATAGCGCTTGGCAGACCGTATATTCATCTCTATTCCTAAATTTAATATGTGTAATGATGTAATAATAGAACGTCAATTTTGATAATAATCTGAAATGTAAATGATGTGTTTATATGCCTCAGGCAATAGAAGGTTTTACACAGCCTAATGTGCTTGTGTTACCGAATTAATCAAAACTGTCTATATGGCAGACATACAATAATATGGTAAACTTTAAGTAATTCTATTTTGCAATTTAGTAATACGAACAGATTCCAACACCAGAAAAATTTGACTTCTAAACCTGATTATATAATATGCAGTATTTACTTCCTTCCTATTTTTTATGCTTATTCTTAACCCTTTATCTCACTATGTAAAGATTTAAAGGAATCGAAGCCAGCAGAACCTAAGACATTGTCCTTGCAAACTGGGAAAGATATTGCAAAGGGGTTAATCGAAGGCCCGAAAGCAGTTATCAAATATGTCTTTGAGGTTAAAAAGATACTGAATTATCAGAAATTTTAATTTGGTGTTCAATTTTGGTCTGGGATTGTAATTTGATCGTTTTTATTCAGTTGCGAAATAATTATTGCAAATATGGCTTGATCGATTCATCCTTTTTTTCTTTATAGTATCAGCTTGGATTTGGGTTATGAAGCATCCCATTTTCATTCCATTTTCATTATAAAAATTCGTCAGCAATTTTGAAGATACAGAAGCGTTTTGCTTTTTATCATTTTATTATGCACTATTGTTTATACATGTGCTTGATGGCTCGGCGGCTGACGCATCGTGCTAAGCGTTAAGAATACTCTTACCAACGCACCTCTAATTAGCCTGCACAGAATTGTTAGTTCCTGTGGAGGATTGTTGGACCGACTCCTCTGTGGCATGTAGGGTTGGTCATTTAATCGCTTGTTGATTATGACTTTCTCCACCATCGAGTCCATGCATTTAGCAAACAAAATGATATATTGGGGGGAAATGGTCTCAGCAGTTTCCCAAATTCTCTCCCAAATTGAGACTTCAAAAGCTACCAACTGCTCTTGATTCGAACAAGAGCTGCTTTTAGAATTTCAATTGTTTTTCGATCTGATTTTTTTAATTTGATACTCAGTATTTTGGTTTAGGTTTGAGAAAAAAAAACCTGTCGCCAGGTTCTGAGGAGACCAGGAATTCTGGGACAGGTCCAACTTCGATCGAACTTTTTGGCACAACTGATGTTGTGGTCAAGCATGTTTTGGAGGTGATTTTTCTTGTTTTTAGAGTGATCATTTTGGTTTTGGTTGAAGTGCATGTTTGCTAATTCGGTTGCGTTATTTGCAAGTTCTTTTGTTTGATTTTTAATATGATTGATATTTCCTGGATTAGTTTTCTGATGCTTCTCAATAACCTTTATTTTAACTTTTATCAGATCTTGAAAATGACATAGAAACCTTGAAAGGAATAACAATACTTTAAATTAGTCATGTAACAATTTTTTTTTGGCAAAGTAAACTTTATATCTCGTAAAATCATCATTTTCCTTAATCGTGAGATCAATATCAGCAAAAAAGAATAACATCGGGATGTCTCTAATAGCGACAAAATCTTTGAATCACATCGTAAGAATGCAATCTTTATGTAAGATTTCATAGCTTGATAAATTCTGGTTGAGAGGGGGGCAAAAAAATTTAAAAGATACATCAGTTTATTATTAATGCTATGTGTTTCCAATTAGGAAGTAGAGTTCATCTTCTTGAAATCATAAAAAATATTTAGTGGAGTAAGGAATGTGATGTCACATCACAAATATCAGATTACCATTCACCACCTGCGTTAAATTTTCACCACACGACATCTATTGTCTCTGAAATGATACACACACGATGATACGCTTGTACATATATCAGGTTATTGTCTACATTACACATGTTTTCACACCTTGCTTCGAGTTTTTGAATGATATCATGCTCTGTACATCTGAATATGTATTTTTATATCAACAAAGCAAGGCTTTGCAATTGTAATCTAACCTTACTCAATTATCACAATCTGTAAGATTCTTCTTATTTACTCATATCGGACATTGAAAGACATGGGGTATTAATATTTATCTGTTGTTAAATTTTTCATTTGTTTTTGGTGTTTTTATTGTTTTAATAATTGTTATTTTACGTAACTGAATTTTGGATGTTGTTTTACAATGCTCTTGGTATAAAAATAGGTACACTTGCTAGATTCAACATGCAATAATTTGGCTATTCCAAAACATAAAGATTCCAACTTTCAGACATGAATATAGCACTAAGACGGAACTTGTGTTCTGACTTCAACATCAACATATTCTTCTTTGTATATAAGTTGATACAGATGGTAATTGACACATTGAAACAGTAACATATAAACCGCATTTAACATTACATATTTAAAAAAAAAAATTTCACTCAATTAATCATAAACTATAACTATTACTTCATCTTATGATCGCTGGATATTCAGAACAAATGGAGCATTCTTTCACATTTGAAATTGATTTCAGATGATATGATAAATTTTTGATTTTAGGAATGGGAACAGGGCTTGGTAAAAATTAAAAAATATATATGCTATAATTTGGGATTGGTTAATCAATTTATTAACTCTTTGTGTGTAATCTGGTTGACATGTTAAATTATTTTCAAATTTCTCCTTTCCTAAAAATGATAATATTTTTTATTCAATCAATATTCTCTAAATATCAAACAGATTGTGTTACAAAACTGTACAAAATATTTGTTTAGTGATTGCTGTATAAACACCTCCTCGAAATGGTCGTTGATAAATAAAATGTTGTCTACTGGTTTTTGTCAATAATTATCAGAACACACATTTCGGGTTCAAATCTCATGCCCCCACCTCACCCAGGGCGGGATAAATTGGATTGACAATTCCGTTCCTTCCAAATGATTTCTAGGTATTCAGGGCCTTGTTCAGAGTAAAATAAGTATTCGATTACTAATATATAATGAGCTGTTGTCACTAGTTTGTTTATGTTCTGTTCAAGCTTAATTCATAACACGTAAAAATATAAAAAGATTACTCATTTTTGTGTAAGGCTGTTAAAATTTTTTTGCCCGACTAAAAATCGTGTTGTGGTCAGAAACACAGACTTAAATCTATATTTTTTCAGTTTGTATATGATAAGTCAATCACGTCCACAGCCTACTCCATATCTTCATATTACTATTTTGATAATTGAACTTTAAATAATATCTGAATCAGCTCATGCTATAAAATATACTTTTTTTGTGTCATCATCATTCAGGGTCATGATAGAGGTGTGAATTGGGCGTGTTTCCACCCAACAATGCCATTGGTCGTCTCTGCTGCTGATGACAGACTGGTTAAATTATGGAGAATGAATGAATCGAAAGCCTGGGAGGTGAGTTTCCATGAATATTTGTTCAATTTTTTAAAAGTATTTTTTCGTTAAATCAAAATGTTCAAATTAATTATATTCTCTCGCAGGTTGACTCTTGTCGAGGTCATTACAACAATGTGTCATGCTGTTCATTTCATCCAAAAATCGAACTCATCTTGAGTGCTTCGGAAGACAAGTCTATTCGAGTATGGGATATGAGCAAGAGAACTGGAGTGCAATCATTCAGACGTGACCATGACAGGTAAGTGATCACAGTGAAACTCTGTCTTGTGCATTCAAAATTTTATTTCTAAAATTGAAAACTAAGAAAGGGGAAATCAGTCAAAAAAATGGGGGTAACTGCTGGTTGGTTACGACTTCTTCCACCATATCAAGTCTATACTCTATACATCTGGATCAAATAACTATTTCCCCTCGCAATTGAGGTCGTGATTAGGTCTTATCAAGCTTACCTCCCCATTGTGATAAACAGGAACTTCCTATTCCAATCAAAATTGTAGCTGTTTTCTTATCACTGACTTGTGCATTTTAAATTTGATATGTTAATTGGAAAACTGAAAAGATTCTGATATCAAAAATATAGTAACCTCATTTTCTGCTTATACAGAGCCTTGTTCAGAGTAAATATATAGAAATGCCCTGTAAAAATTTTACTATGATAAACTGTACAATTTCCATCTTTATAACATGATCGAATATTTCTTTCTTTCTTTCAGATTTTGGATTCTGACTTGTCATCCCACACTCAATCTGTTTGCAGCTGGCCACGATGGAGGCATGGTCATTTTCAAACTGGATCGTGAGAGACCAGCGTTCGCCACAAACCAAAACATTCTCTATTACGTGAAGGACAAATACCTTCGCGGATTGGATTTCACGACTAGCAAGGACACAGCGGTCATGCAATTGAGAGGGTGGGTTTTAGACGAAAGAAAAAAAATACACACATAATTAAAATTTAGTGAAGTTGCCAAAACTTCAAACGAGGCTTAATGTGCCCGGTGGTGCGCCTAGTGGTTGAAGCGTTGGACTTAACTATGAGGGCGTCGAAGGTTAAAATTTCTAGTTCAAATCCCATCGCCCACCACCTCACCTAGGAGTGAAGTATATTGGGTTAGGCAATGCATATTCCAGTTTCTATGAACTCACAATGATTTATGTAAATTTCTCCGGTTTATATGACACGATTTAATTGATGTCTGAATTTCCTATTTGAAAATCTTATTTCAGAATATATATTCAGAGTAGCAAGTTTTTCAATTTTGCCCATTCTCACCTACAATGAAACTGCCAGATGATTAACAGAACCTCAGAAATTGTGAATCAAGATGTAGCAAGTGATCACTATTTTTTCTTCTAGGGGAAGCAAGGTGAACCCGTATTCCCTGTCATACAACCCTGCCGAAAATGCAGTTCTTGTAACATCACGACCATCTAATGTTGAGAACTCTACTTATGATCTTTATCAGATCCCTAAGAATAGCGACTCATCTAGCCCTGATGGTAAGTGGGTGATTATTGAAAGGATTTTTCGTAATATGTCATACTCAAAGACGTCCAGAACAATTTCATTTGAAAAATAATAATATTTGAAATTTAGGAATAGTTTCATTCGAAAAATTATCATATTGAGCAGTTAATATTTGGGAGAAAAGATGGGAAAATAAAACTAATCTAAGTATTGTTTAACTCTCGCAACTTCCACTTCAAACTCATTGAATATGTATTAACGTCTATGTGTCTTGGTTTATTAACATGACCCAATTATGACTATTTATTATTCTATATATTCAAAAATGTCGTTCAAAAGGTATTTCAAAAGGTAAAAGGCAATAGTAGATTATTCATTTTTAGCCATCTATCCCTGGCTTCACTAAATGCTTACTTATTTACGCCACGAGAATCTTTATATATTTTTGTGAAAAGTGTCACATTTTTGGAAGTTTTAAAAAACATTTAAAACTTTAAAAACATTATTCATATGAAATTCTCGTTCAGCATGGCTCAGTGATCTCCCGCGCATCTGAGTGAGTGTGGCGCCCATGACTTGAGCAAATTTTGTTGATCATAATGATATTCTCTTTTCTGGAATAGATTTTGGTTTTGGTATTGATGAGCCCCCCTTGCATCTGAGTGAGTGCATGTGACCTTACTTATCATTGAATTTTAGCACCTGAAGGAAAACGTTCATCCGGTCTCACTGCTGTATGGGTGGCAAGAAATCGATTTGCTGTGTTAGATAGGACCCATACAATTGTCATCAAGAATTTGAAGAACGAAATAACCAAGAAAATCCAAGTTCCAGGAGTTGACGAGATTTTCTACGCTGGTACAGGATCTCTTTTACTAAGAACAGCAGATGGGATCACCCTTTATGATGTACAACAGAAAAGGTTGGTATTTTTTTTATTTTCAAACCCTGTGTATCTGGTGATTATTGTTTTAAACTATAAATGGGTAGCAGCTCAATTAATAAAGAGCATACATTTCTTAGTAGGTTTTTTTTTCTTTTTTCAAATTTTTGACATATATTTTTATTTTCAAACTCCTGTATCTGGTGTATATTGTTTAAAACTATGAATAGGTACCAGCATAATTAAAGAGCCCACGTTTTTTAGTATCATCTTTTCCAAATTTTCAATGTTTGCCCTTTTTTCTCGAAACCCCTCGATTTGCATATTTGTGTAGAATAAATTTTGTAATAATGTCTGCCCCGTAAATGCCTACGCAAGTTGTCTACCAAAATATCTCGTCAAATGAATTTTTTATACCATTATCAATTTCATTGCCTAATTGTTTTTATGTTTCATGGCTGTAAGTGCACTATTTTTGTTAGTGTTTGATAGTTGAATGTAATTGAATTTTGTCCCTCATAAAAAATTTATCGTTTATCGTTTGGAAATAGATTACATTAAATTGTTTATCGTATCGAATACTCGCTGATAAATTTTTTTTGTATTTTTGAAGGGTTGATTGTTGTGCCACATTAAAACTTCATTATTCAGGCATGCAGTGCGTGATACATTACTTTCTTCATGAAAAATTTATCTAATTATTTTTCTATGGAAATTAGCTGTGAATTGGAGTATTAAGGGTGAAATATAATTTACATGCTGTATTTTTTTTTAATTCAGCTGTAAATAGGAATTACAATTTTTAACGAAGTTGTTGCGAAGTTTTTGAATATTTATTTGATCAAAAATATTGTTTTTTGTGTAGTTTTCCATTTTTTCAGTCAAGTTAAAATTTTACTCAGTAGGGACTAGGGAGTATAAATCACTTGGATTATTCAAGAATGAAATTACTTAGACAAAATTCTAGAATTGCGTATTGGAAATCGCATATGAATATTGCTACAATTTTTGTGTTATGTTGTATTTATACATTTTATCCCGGATGCCAAACTGGCCGGTTAAAGCGGTTAAAGTGTTAGACTTAACTGTGTTGGCATCACAGAATATATCCTACATCCCCGGTTCAAATTCCATACCCTCCATCTCACCCAGAGTATGATAAATTAGGTAGGCAATTAGGAACTGGAAAGCTTGCGTTCCTTCCAAATAATATCCTCACATATCGTTAGATATCAGTGGCTGATTACATAGTGTCTTAGTCGGAGCAAAATTTGTGAATGAGCGGATCGTGTACTCATACTTGAAATTTTAGATTACCATACTGTTTAATTTGAAATTTTTTTTTCTTTTTTCAGGGCCCTAGCGTCAGTGAAGATTCAAAAAGTGAAGTTGGTGGTTTGGTCTGGTGACATGTCCCATGTAGCACTCCTCGCAAAACATAACATCGCTATTTGTAATCGCAAGCTCGAATCATCAGCAACTGTACATGAGAATGTGAGAGTCAAATCTGGAGCATGGGACGAAAGTGGGGTCTTCATCTACACGACTTCAAATCATATTAAATATGCTCTTCTTAATGGGTAGGGTTTGTTATAAATAATATGATGCCATACACTAATAGAGATGTTCGAAACCGATCAATCTACCTAATATTCAGAATTCAGAAATAATATTTTTTTTAAATGAATTGTATAATCAACGAGTTTTAATTTGCAAATGCAGGAAATTTATATGAAAAGTGATTTGAAAATTTTAAAAATTAAATAAAGTTATTGTCATATCATGAAAATTTAATCGCTGGAATCACATAATTCTTTGAATGAAACTAATTTGATAAATTCTCAAAATGAAGAGTTTTAAATTTGGAATACCATCAATTTGAAAACGATTTGAATATGCCATTTGGTTTGGACATCTTTCTAATATGTATTTAGTAGTTGATTGTTAAATAGTGTTTGAATAGTAACAGTCGACTGCATAGTTAATAAACATTAGAAAAATAATTTCTTGTAATTAAAACGAGAATGTTTTTAGTGATAATGGAATCATTCGTACTCTCGACTTACCGATTTACATCACTCGTGTTCGTGGAACAAGTGTGTTTTGCTTGGACAGAGAGACCAGACCAAGAGTACTTGGTATCGATCCTACAGAATATCGCTTCAAACAGGCATTGGTAAGTACACATATACTCAAAACTAAGTCTGTTCTGTTGAAGGCATTATTGAAAACAAGCCGAGCTTTTATAATTTCAACATCATTAGCTACTATTTTAGTGCTGCTGTTTCTATCTCATAATTCCAGCACTGATATTGACAAATCTTAAATTGAAAATGGATTTTGTGTTTCATTCAGGTTAACAGAAAATATGACGAAGTGTTGAACATGGTTAGAAACGCAAAACTGGTCGGTCAATCGATCATCGCGTACTTGCAACAAAAAGGATATCCTGAAGTTGCGTTACATTTCGTTAAAGATGAGAAAACCAGATTTACTTTGGCGCTGGAGTGTGGTGATATCGAGGTATGGGGCGTGACCTGATAGTACTTTTTATTTTAAGCATATGAGAATTTTTAGTTATGAAAAGAGATCAACGGACTGTTCAAAGGTTATTTCAAGCAAATATTTGTATAATTCGATATTACTTGCAAAAAAAAAAGTGGGACAATGCCCTACTGGATGAAACTTTAGAATTAACTGTAACAGCATTTCGAGGTAAATTCTCATCCCCACCCCCTATCCAGGCTATGATAATGGACAATGCAGAACCACCTTGAAGATTCTGCTTTTTTCAAACTATAGTAGCTCCTTACCTAAAAGTGACTGCTTTTTTTTACCGAGCCTTATTAAGAGCAAATGGCTTATCAGTGTATGAAATAAACAATTTTTTCTACTTCATATAAATATTTTCTTTCGGGTTTCAGGTTGCTCTTGCTGCTGCAAAAGCTCTCGATGACAAGCAATGTTGGGAAGCTCTTGGTGAAGTCGCTCTTGCTCAAGGGAACCATCAGGTCGTGGAAATGGCTTATCAGAGAACCAAGAATTTCGACAAGCTTTCTTTTCTTTACTTGCTCACTGGAAACTTGGAGAAATTGAGAAAAAATGATGAAAATTGGTAAGATTAATTAATAAGTTAAAGGTCTTGCTGTCATAGATCATAGATGGAGAACCAACCTGATTTGTAAATATGGCAGTGCTGAGTGCAAGTACCCCGAACTCAAGTGATCCAAGTCTCGAGATGAGTTTGAAATCGAGACAATCACTGATCTATGTCTCGCTGACGATGAGTCCATGATAAGTCTGACTAATTCCAGTGAGTTGACTCGAGTTACTTCGAATTTTCAATAAATGGTGAGTCTAGTTTATGACTCAAGCCCCCCTAACCTCCCACTCAACACTGATATGTGGCACAAACGTTTTCAGGTAATTTTAAAAAAGGCCCCATGAAATTTTGATTCGTGAATGATGTTTATAGAAACTAAAATATTCCTTCTGAACACACAAATTGTACCTATATTTTACTTAAGTGAGCAAGTCTTAAACAAGTCCACTGACGGCATATTTGGAAACCTTCTAACCGTAAACGAATAATATAATTCTGTGATGAATCCGATTTTCATATCGTTTCCTGGTTATCACCTCTCACCTAAATTAGAATATGGACAGCACGATCCCCTGTACAATCACAGAATAAATATAAAAAATTTTTTTACTCAATTTCAGCTGAAATTCGCAAAGATACATCTGGGCATTACCAGGCTGCATTGTATCTTGGAGATGTGTCCGAGCGTGTGAAAATCCTACGCTCGTGTGGACAAACTCCGCTAGCATATCTGACCGCTGCCACTCATGGAATGAAGGAGGAAGCTGAACAACTCAAAGAGCAATTTGAGGATGATCAGAGAGTGCCTGAAATTCCAACCAATGCTGAGTTACTTCAACCACCTCCACCTATCTCTCAATTTGAGGAGAATTGGCCATTGCTAACTGTCAGCAAAGGTGTGTTTAGTATTATAATTATTTCATTCGAAAAAAAAAATGTGGGAAATTGTAATCTTCACAACAAATGGTCATCTTCACAACAAATGGTCACAATAAATGTTTTCTGACTAGGTTAATTTTTAAAATATTTCATAAAAATGTTGGACTTTGCTGCTCCAAATTACCTGCTCAAATTTTCAAAACGCTCGAAAGAAAACCTGATATAATATGCCCACCACCTCACCTAGGGTGCAATTATTTGCATAGTTATCGCTGAACTGAAATACTAACTAATTTTCCAAAAATTGTAAGAGTTGTTGGAGTAAAGGCATGAAAACATCAACAATAAAATTTTCATTTTGCTCATTTGCCCCCTCAGTTTATCATTCACTTATATTTACAATAGCATAATTTTTTTGTCAATTATTTTCATTTCATGTTCTAGGATTCTTTGAGGGATCAATGGCTGGTCACGGTAAAACAGGAGCATTGGCAGCTGATATGGATGCTGACATTGATACTGGTGGATGGGGTGATGATGCTGATATTATTCTGGATGAGGTAATTATTGCGGATTTTTCATCAGTTTGTTAGTTCCATGATTTTACTTATATACAAACCGGTATAACCAGTGCAGAAGATAATCTACTGATATTGTAAATTTCAACACTGTGACCTAATCTATTTGCATTGTTTGTCTGGTCGTCTGTTTTGAAATGGCTTTCTCACGTGGACTGGGGTTCGCTGACTAGTGTCCAATCTTATCTAAACCAGTGAAAAACAAACCTATGGCTTGTCGGGGTTTTCGAAGTTTCGAAAAAAATCTTTTTTACTTTGTATTTTTCAGTATTTGCTAGAGAGGATAGTGCTTCCAAAATTTTCCAAAGTCCTATGGGGGCTAATATTTTGCTCCAAATTTTATTCATTTATATTTCATTCGTCCATATTCTTATAACTAGAATAGATTACTTGACTTTATAATGAATGTTCCTCTTATTTTACCAATTAGATTCCCGTATTTAATTAGAAAACAATATTATGTTCAGGATGGTGCAATCGTAGAAGATTATGGTGATGCTTTAGATGGAGATGAAGATGGTGGTGGAGAGGGTGGAGGAGGAGGTTGGGATGTTGATGATGATGACCTGGAGCTTCCTGCTGATCTAGAGTTGCCAGATATTCCTGCTTCTGAAGGAGGAGAAGGATATTTTGTTCCTCCAACTAAAGGTAAGGAAGGTAGAGTTGAATTGGAAGACTCTCAAAGTAATTTGAATGTTTGTGTTCCCAGTAAATATGTGCAATTGCATCATATTACATCATTGCTTTAAATTGTTTTTCTCTGAAATGAGTATGCCAGTTATAAGATATAAACTATCACAGTGAATTGTGATTCCTGAATGCACTTCAGATATATTCATTGATTCCCAAACTTTTGAAACTTACGACTCATTTACCTTTGTAATTTGACATTCTGATAGATTTTAATTCATTTTTGTTCAGGAACTTCTCAAGCTCAAGTTTGGTGTAATAATTCTCAACTTCCCGTTGACCATATCTTGGCTGGTTCTTTCGATACTGCTTTCAGGGTATGTCTCGTTTATGATATATTCGTCATTTTGCTAAAGTTTTGATTGGGTTTCTCTGCTCACAATTCAAGTGTTTTGACCACTTAGGTTAAAACAATCTTAGTTTTAGCTAAGTCTCAAACAAGTAACTCAGGTTGCCCAAAATCATCAACTTTGTCAGGGTGAGACTTTCTTTGTGAGGAGGACTTGCGATTAACATGCAGTTCTCTAGCTTCTTTACTTTTTTTACCTCTGTGCTATGTCTCTTTGGTTTTGTTCAAGAATTCTCAGCATCATGATTAAATTGAAACGAAATTGACACAGTAATGTAATCCTAATTCTGATCGATTATGAGTATTACTATCTAGAATTATTACTGCATATTCGTTTTACTGACTTTCTAGTAGATCTTGAATTTAAACCTATGTTTTGTTTAATTCAGCTTTTGCACGACCAAGTTGGAGTTGTAAATTTTGAACCATACAAGACCCTCTTTATGCGAACCTATGCTCGTTCTCGTTCCACATACATCGGCATTCCTTCCATCCCATCCGTGTTTAGTTATCCTCACAGAAATTGGCGAGAAGCAGGGGGAAAGGCTGGACTGCCTCTCAATGGAACAAAACTTGCGGATTTAGCGAGTTGGTTACAAGATGCCTATAAATTGACAACCGCGGGAAAATTTGAAGAAGCCATCAAGAAGTTCAGATATATTTTGCTTTCTGTTCCATTGTTAGTTGTTGACAACAAACAGGAGATAAGTGAGGTGAGCATTCGTTTGTGAAAATTTTCTCGAAGCTAAATTAAATGTATTTATTCTCTTGAAATGGTCATTGTATATTAATCAAATTTATACTAAAATGCAACCCAGGTTGTTTGGAACATATTCTAGAAAGAACATAACTGAAACTTTTGGGTACATTCCGAAAACGCACATGTTCATTACATTTTATTAATTTTCGTAGAAGTAATTAAGAAATTTATAAATTCTGATTTTGGTATCACTCTGTTTGGGCAAATTGATCATCATCTGAAAATTTCTATTTAAGACCAAGAATGTATAATTGAAGTTTAGCATGCAGAAGGGATTGTTTGTATTATGGATTTCGTTAAATTGAAAATACACATGTAAGCATGATTTATGTCAATTTTTGTCATGGTTTGTTCGTTTATAGGCTCAACAACTGATCACCATTTGTCGAGAATATATTGTTGGTTTAACCATGGAACAACGAAGAAAAGAGCTCCCAAAAGAAAGCTTAGATGAGCAGAAAAGAAATTGTGAAATGGCTGCGTATCTCACACATTGTCAATGGCAACCAGTACATCTAATGTTAGCTCTGAGAACAGCTCAGAATCTGTTCTTTAAATTAAAGAATTATAAGGTCAGTTGATCGACTCTCGTTTATATTAATATTTGTTCCTGCTCAATTTATATGAACAGACTATTTGGAAATATAAAGTTGGGGATTTTAAAGACTTGCAGCCTGCTAATTTAAATGCTTGTATTTAGACTGCTGCTGGATTTGCAAGAAGACTGCTCGAGCTTGGCCCCAAGCCTCAGATTGCTGCGCAGACTAGGAAAATCATTGCTGCTTGCGATAAAAATCCACGGGATACTCATGAGTTGAGATACGATGCTCATAATCCTTTCGATATTTGCGGTGCTTCATACCTTCCAATTTACAGGTTTGGTCATGTTATTTGTACCTTTTGATTTTTTAGATATCTTTATTATTATTTGTGATGAATGAGAAACTGTTTTGCATATTTCCTTTATCCATGTTATACAAGAAAGGTCTTTCTTCTGAAATAATAGCTTCGATCCTGTCAGTGGCCGCTAGTCAAGACCCTTGTTCATAGTGAAAGTCTAGATACGCCTTTTGAAAAATAATTAATTTTGTTATTCATTTTCAGTAGGGAAGTTGTAAATACCACTTCAATTATCAATTATGACAATTATTTTCAATTATTCCTAATGATCGACTTGATTTTGCAGGGGGAAACCAGTCGAAAAGTGTCCTCTCAGTGGAACTTGCTACCAATCACAATTCAAAGGAGAAGTTTGTCGTGTGACTCTATGTACAGAAATCGGAAAAGACTGTGTCGGACTGCGAGTTAGCGCTATACAGTTCCGCTGACCAACTCTTTACCACTAAATGCTTTATAGTGCCCATATTTAACAATAATCGATTTATGCTCAACGGGGTGTGAGCCAAAGAAGACAGTTGGGTCTTATATTGTTTGTCTTATTTGCTGTTCAAACATGCTGAAGTAACAATGCTTCCTTCCAATCTGAATGCAAGATAGGAAATTTCTGATGTGTTAACTATTAATGCTTCTTATAGTTCATTATGTGATAAAGTGCAAAATATACTGGTATATAAAAGAATATAATCTTGTGTCATTGACTGTTGTGTGACTTATTTTACTTTAATAAGGCATGTATACTCGACTAAACCTTGGACTGGTTAGACTGCACACTGAAGGCACTGACGCAATTTTTTTTATGGTAACCAGATGTGCCGAGATTTTTGTTGAATTTGGTTATAGTTATTTTTTTCTTGCTTGACCTGATGTCATAATGCAATTATATTGCAGGCTCTTGCCTGATCTTCGAATCTACTGATTTTTGCTTATCGCATTTTGAATCCCATTTTTCTCAAAACAGCGACCAGCCCGCCTTATATGCCGATGCGCATCGTATTTTATGGACTTTAATGCGCACTTCGAATCCCTTACCGGTATTGCTTTTAAAACCGCTGCGTCTTACAGCCCGATGCTTTCTGCAAAAATTGAGACCCTAAACGGTTATTTTTCATGCAGCGTTGCTGATCCGTTAAAATAACGGTTTTCAATACAGATGTAACGTCTTCAAATCATGGATTTGTTGAGATGATATGTAATTAATAATCTACAAAAAAAATGACAAACTGTATTGAAATATGGCAGTAACAATTAAATCTGTGACGTCTATGCATTATCATTCTTCAAGATAGCAGATATCCATCCAATTCATGTTCATGGTAGTCGTCGTTTTCTTCCTCCCTAGGATACATTACTGGATCTGTGGAAACGTATAAGGAGTAATATACAGTAGTATCAAAATGTTAAAAACGGGTTCTCTTTTTTATCGAACACACTAACAACAGGTTCCCTCATTCCAGAAAATATACCTATGTCGTCTCGTAAGCTGCATTAAGATGATACGCTCTGCATACATCTAATACCATAACTTTCGAAATGCCAACTCCCGTATTCAGCTGCTGTGTCGGCATCCCATATGCTGCGATCGTCTAATATTCAAATCGAACAAATTCAAAACAAGAACTGGTTCGCTGACTATTACAATAGATATTCCAAGAACGGGTTCAAGCGGACCTATGAATCCCTCTACTACTGATATGTATGAAAATGAGAACAAGAAAATTTTTCTAATTAAAGTCTAATTATCCAATTTTCGAAAACTTGCCTGGGCCCAGTGGCCGCCTCGACAAACAATATTGTATCTTCATGCGGAAATTTTAGTTCATTAGATTTGGACTCCGATAGTATGTTTTATTTACTCATTCCTGGTACCCACCTTGATCATGTTCAATAGTAGCTTCTTTTTCATCATGTTCTGTATATATGTCGAATGCTGGCGGCTTTTGCTGCTTCTGTGACACATTTTATTTTTAGTGGGCAATAATCAACAATTTCTCCCTGTGTTTTGTTGTTACTCGGTTAATTGGACTAAGAAAGGTAAAATAATTCCTAAAAATTCGTAGGAAGGCCTGCCTTCAATCTGAAATTTTGTGAAATGTATTAGTTCCGGTATGGTAACAACAATACTGATACAAAATTTATCATATACCAATAAGACTGAGCTGCTTGTTTCTAGCAACTCCAACAGGTTAATGTCGAGCTTCGCCGCCCGTTTATAACATGGATTCCTTTTCGAAGATAAATAAAGCAGAAGAGTCCCAAAGAAATTTTTATGGTATATTTCTTTTTTATTCATTGTAGGCTACTCCTCAAAATTATGCATAAATACAATTTACGAATTAAGCCTGAAAGACAGATCCGACACTTTATAATTATGAACCAAATAAATGTAGGCTAAAACATTGTAACGCTTCAATTAAAAACACGATTAGGTTTAATAATTTTCTCTAGAACGTTTGACGAAATATACAATTTTCTCGGAGTGGATTTTCCCTGCAAAATCTTTTGAAACCATCTTTTGCCGTTTTACCATTCTCCTGTTTTCGTATCCTTGCGAATCCATGTTTTCACATTTGAAAGCTCAAAAGTAAACATCGGACCAGAAATACACGCAAATGCGTTTTGAAAAATTAAAAAATATTGATCTCCGCACAGTAAAATATCAGAATCCAACATTACTTACAATTGAACAAATAACAAGAGAGCAACGCTCAAATATATGGACACGTGGACTAGAGCGAAGCAGGGTTTACCTTTGACGTTACCGGTACCGTACCCTCAAAAAGTTCCGGGTTTTCAGTCGCAAGAATTTTCACAGTCAGCCGTCACGCTTGGCGGATTAAAAACCGTGTTCCCATAATTAAAAATTGATACAGCGCAATTTTGGATGAAATATTAGATCTCATAAGATTCATAGAAAATTCAGGAATAAATGAAAGTAATAGCCTTCTGGCAAAAAAATCAATCTTGAACCACTGAAAATTCCAAAGCAATTAGTCCAGTATTCGAAGAGAAAAGCGATTTTTTAATGATAATTACGAAAGAAAATAACAATAACAACAAAATTTTGAAACGATCGTTATGGCCACTAAACGTGTCCAATAATTAATCGAAATGGCTGAATAAATGATAGAATCAATTGCATACCGGTAACTTTGGTGATGGTAACGCATAGTAAGGATGATTGCGGAAGATTCTTGGTCCAATGTAACGCCCTCGATTCGATCTATGAACAAACCAAGTGTCACTCACAAGAATGTTGGCAATCGTGATTAATGAGAGTATATAAACCTTTTAGAATCTCATTTTTCTTCGATTTTGTTCAAGTAGTATTGTTCAGTTTAGCCCCAACCAACTGCAATAACGTTCCTTTACAAAGAAAAAGGCAAAACAATTATGAATTCTTTTTGTAGGTTTAAATCGATTCACAAGAGGATGATAACTAAATTTCCCTATTCCAAAATTTGATTTCATTATTCATCTTGCTCAATGTCATTTTGTAAAATTCAGAAATATTATCAAAACAATTGCGACTAATACGACTTTTGTTTTGTGCATAGGTATAAAAAAATATTGTCAATGTAGTGCGACTACTCCTTGAATACATTCAAAAATGAAAATGTTTGCCTCTAGTTTACAAAATATTCGATTGAACAAAATGCGGTTGCGATTGGATTATGGTATAAATATTTAACCGCGCCCTGTTTACTGAACTCGAACTGTTTACTGAACCAAAAAAAAACAATTTACAAAGCACAAAATAAGCGATTCAATCTCATCTCTTTTTTTGTAATAGATTTTACTCGATTTTATCATAACCCTCGTGGGGGCTCCCGAAGTATGCGAACCAAGATGGCGGACATCGGAATGTAATATGTGTACTAGGTTAGGGTTAGGCCATAATTTTAGGTATAAATACTACGGGAGGCTCTTGGCTAGTCTTCGAACTGATAATAGGACTAAAATAAGGAAAATTGGAAAAAAATTTATTGCCTAACCCTAACCTGTTATCCATGTTACGATCCGATGTCCGCCATCTTGGTTCGCAAACTTCGGGAGCACCCCCTCGTGTCTAAATTTCTTCTCAACAACCGCTTTTTATGAAATACTTTTTCATATCCTCGAACTGTATCCCTTGTTCAAAGTAAGAAGCAAACTTCTGAAAACAACACTGCTAAAATTGTCTTGCAATTTTACTCACATTCCGTGTTAAGCTTAAAATTGAAAACAGCAGTAGCGCTACATCGTTAATTACTAATAACGGATGTTATGTACATCCAAATCATCCCGTTACTTTGAATACTACGTCACAATTATTTTACATAGAAATAAAATTTCATATTGTAGCAACACAGGATGTTTATACAGGATAAAGGATGTTGATGATTATAATTCCTTATTCCATTCGTACGGTAACTACTACTAGCTTTGACTGAAATGAATATCACGAATCACGAATATCATCCTAAAATTGTCACTGATAAGCCACTGAAACGTGGTTTGACAAAATTTAGATATTTCACGTGACTCTCCGGGTCCAGGGTTTCACATCAATGACATTTTTAATAATTTCGTACCGTTAGCAAACGTTGCAGATAATGCTTGGGGAACGCAAGGAGTCGCGCCATTTCAAAGTATTCTTCTGAAAAAAGTGATTTTACAAACTCAGCCATTTTTAACACTATTTTTCTATATTCGTTAGCAATTCACTGATATCTTGGCGTTTCAGGGGTTATTACCAATCACCAATTGCCGTCTTCTTTAGTTTGAATATCTTCGACAGTCAAGTGAGTCTGAGAAGAGCTTCTTTAGGTATCAATGGCTGTTTGTACACGGGCTTGTTCGGAGCGAAATATGTAAGGAAACGTCGTAATAGGAAAAACATTTAATATTTTGGCTGGCTACGATCTTGTTGGTAATCGGTATATTATTCCGACAATAGCCTTTATATAGTGCTTTACGTGAATCCTAAAATAGTTGAGATCATTTCTAACCTTTGTGAGACACGATAATAAGATTCAAGAAAAAAAAAAATGCCATGTCACAGCAGGCGCAGTCTAACATCTGCTGTACTGTGATTGCATTGGCCAATAATCATGTAACGATCTCTGGTGATACTTCAATGAAAGTGATATCAAATCAATTGTACAACTTTACATTCAATATTAACAATATAGTATTATGTTATAGGGACAAGCGATGCGGGTCTTAGGAATAAAGACCGTTCACCCTAGTATTCAAAGTTCGATTCCCACGTTATTAAATTAACACGTGTTATGGGATGTGACTGAAATCTGGATTCCCTAAGACGATAATAAGCACACGATGTTGAATGTCGAATTGCTGTATATTATTGAAAAGATGCACGATCCAAATTCCAAATACAGATAAAATTGTACACACTTAATTCTTAATGCAGTAAGATTACGGTCAGATCACAAGTCAAACAAAAAGCACAATATTTTAGAGTTATCTCGGCAAACCGGAAACGATACGTCATCAAATTGGTTGAATCGAGAAAGGCAATACATGGAGCGAATGCATTATCGCTGGTGCGAAACATAATGCGGCCTATTTTGTGAAATATTACATGCTATTAATATGAAAGGGTTAAATACATTATAATCCATAGTTACACAATGCACATTCGCTACAATATGAATATTTCAAGTCAAAGATCTCGATATCATAATTTAAAATCACACTGATTATCTTGCAAAAGCGATTTGCCCGTTTTCGTCAACAGAATGAGATCACAAAGGAATGTTATTTTACACGTATGAGCTAGAGTCTGTTATTAAAAATTTATCCTTCACTATCTCCCAAAGCATTTACCTCAATCTAAACTGTCTGCAATAAAATTAGCAATTATCATTTCATTGAGTATTTATATTTCTTGTCTGAATAAAAATGCAAAAAACTGAAATCGAGGTCTAATCAGAAAACACAATCGTTTGGATCTACAATCAAGCAGGCAATAATCATTTAATCTTCTTGAAGATTATCGAAAAAATATTCCGCTTCGTCGTTGTCATCATTGGCATCATCTTCTCGAAGTCGAAGGATTCTCAATTCATCTGACAATAGATTTTTATTAAGATGAAAAGTTGCCATTGTGCAAAATTGGAAAACTATCAAAGCCCGAAATTGATCGTATAATTTTCATGTCAGTTTTTTAAAACGACTGACCACTAGTTCACAAAAGCAAATGAGGAACCTTCACTGGGTACGCAATTTTTATTTTTGTTGACGCAATCGCACACATAAAACGAGTCCCTTAAAGCCGACAAAAATCTTTGATTTGTATGTCCACTTCGTATTTAACGAACACGCCTAAAAGCCATCTCACCTGGGTCGAGATGCTCCATTTGCTCCTTAGTTTCTTGATCATCATTGTCAGACATCTCTTCGTTCATCTGTTTTATTTTAAATTCAATAAAAAGTAGAATATCATAAGGGGTGTATCAAAGCTCAAAAATTTAAAAACTATATGAGTCAAACTGCGGGAAATATTTACATATTACAATATGAGCGACTGTATCAATATGCCCTTTCATCATAAATGCTTAGACGAAAAGCATCCATCTATGGCTATGCCATTAGAGGCTATGCCATTTGTGAGGTCCTTTTTAACAATGACGTCACGAGACCCCACGAAGTCCATTATAAATAAAAGTTGGACACGGCTCATTAACCTGATTGAAAAATTGAACAAATACTAGTTTTATAACTATAAAATGTCAAGTCGGAGAGATTCTGCAATAGGCTTTTAAAATTAAAAATAGACTCAAACATGAACAGTAGTTCAAAATTGAATGTTGAGGCATCTGGGCTTCACCTTGCCTGGTGGAAAAGCCAGCCTTGACTTGAATATAAAACAACAAATTTCATATTTATTATTGCAACGGATTCAGTGGGAATTGCAATCTTACCATGCTTTTCATTTTATTTGCGTTTTCATTTTCAGCATCAACAGGGATAGTAGGTCTACGGGGCCAAGTCCTTCTGCGTGACCATAGACATCTGCAAAATCGTCTTCGACGCAGGGACTCCCCGAACTCGAAATTGATCACGGCAATTATTAGGATAAATGAGGCGAGTTTAAAATTCATATTCGTAAATTAATGTCAATAAACCAGAGCACTCGCCTTTCATGCAAAGTTCTTTAGGCTGGCACAAATGTGTTTCATAGTAACATATTCTTGACTATATATACCTTTTCAAAAGGATGTTGGTATTAGCATTTCAAGCATAAATTATTATTATTTTACAGATGAAAATATATTGTACAGACTCCAATTTGGAATACCTAGCTTGAATTGTATATAATGTGCATTTTAATTATCGCCTTGTTGTTTTTTGTAGGTTTGGTTTCGGTATGCCCTTTTATGCAACGGAAAATAACCTGGGTGGGTGCCAAAAACTTGTATATATATATACAAGATCGATAAACAAAAAGGGTCCTGTTTTGACAAGGACAAATACCAATCAGCGAGCCTCTTGGATGTCTCTGCTGCGAAAACCATCAATCCAAAACAGGGGTCGGCAACTTACGGCTCGCGGGCCAAATCAGGAGCTCGGGGTAAAAAAATCCCACTCGCGACGCTGAATTATAGCGACGAAATAGCAGTTTTGACGATGAATTAATTTTTATAATCCACGCTCGAGGAGTTAATTATATTCTCAATTAATTTATTGTGAGACAAGTGCAGATTAAATTATATCATAACCTAACAATTTAGTGAACATCTATCTACTCGTTTAACCATACAATTTAATATTATTAGACAAATGGCAACACGCAGAAAAGTTGATGCTAAGTGCAGAGGGTTCAAGGGGCAGAAAATATTCGAATAGAGCTTCTTGACATAAAATGCAATTAAATGAAATCCGTATATATTCTAGTCGAGAGATTTATCACTGCTCGATTTTTATAAAAAATATCTTCTTGGAGGGAATCTCAATACAAATTTGACAAACCATGCGAAAAAATACACAAAGATGTTTGGAAGTACTGTAGCGAATGTGCATTGTGTAACTATGGATTATAATGTATTTAACCCTTTCATATTATTAGCATGTAATATTTCACAAAATAGGCCACATTATGTTTCGCAACAGCGATAATGCATTCACTCCATGTATTGCCTTTCTCGTTTCGACCAATTTGATGACGTATCGTTTCCGGTTTGCCGAGATTTCTCTATAATATTGTGCTTTTTGTTTCACTTGTGATCTGACCGTAATCTTACTGCATTAAGAATTAAGTGTGTACAATTTTATCTGTATTTGGAATTTGGATCGTGCATCTTTTCAATAATATACAACAATTCGACATTCAACATCGTGTGCCTATTATCGTCTGAGGGAATCCAGATTGGAGTCACATTCCATAACACGTGTAATTAATGACGTGGGAATCGAACTTTGAATATCAGGGTGAACAGTCTTTATCCCTAATACCGCATCTCTTCTCCCTATAGTACATATGCGTGAGAACAGTTATTTTCAAAAATGAACACTACAGAGAACAATCTGAGAACTCGGATTAGTGATGCACATTTAGAGAATGTTCTAATTTTGGCTTCATCCAGTGTGCCGCCTGATTTCGGAATGCTATTATGCGTGATGCAACAAAAAGTGTCACATTAATGTCATTTGTATTTTTTTTTCGTTTAGTAAGACGACTGAGTTGGGTTCACGCTATGTTTGAAATCTAAAATTTCAACTTCTGATCTGAGTAAAAAAAAATTTGAGCCATCGCCCATCCGTTCGCTTTTACAATTCTCAAAATATATGCTGCCCACATATACAGAAACTTGTAATCCTAAATTTTGGCCCTCGTGCAACAAAAGGTTGCCGACCCCTGATCTAAAAGGAAGGTTGTAAGAAGCTTTCTAATAGAGACAGCGGTTTTGAGGTCATACCTGTGACTGCTCTTGGTAACCCTCTAGGTCCGTTTCAAGTTGGACTGCCCTAAAATTCCGTATCATACCTTTCGTATTATATATGAATGAAAGCGCTCGGTAATAAAATATTATTGAACACAATGTCTACCTGTGGATCGTTTAGTTATTATTTTGTTGTTTTTCTTTTTGTTAATGTTCTTCTTCTTGTTGTTATCTCGTGAAAAAAATCGCTTTTTTCATTATCTATTGCTTTGAAATTTTCAGTTGTTGTATTGTATTTTTTGCTGAAAGGCTATTGTTTATTTCAAAACTTTCTGTGCGCTCTATGAAGTGCGTTTTCATTCCAAAATTTTTTGTGATGACCTTGTCTCCGTGCCCATATTTTTGAGCAACGCTGTATTGTTTTTTGTCCTAATTCGTTTGGGACTAATAGATTTAAAATAGAAATAGACGAAGTGTATACAAATATGGCATTATGTTTATGTCGTTTGTTTCGATTGATTCAGTTTTAAAGTTTGTAGGTGGTATTGAGTGATTGCAACGGATGTGGGCAAACTTGGAATATACACGATGTCGATACCATACACACAAGCAAATGACATGTTAATACCACAATACAATAATATAATACAATAGGCGGAAGTGGTGCTGCTGCACAGATGCGGTTTGTTCTCAAGAATAAGAATTACAGGCAATATCATTTATGGAAACCCCCATTGCAATAGCAAAGAACTATAGAGCACTGACCAAGGGTAAATGAACAAAAAATTTACACGGATTCTAGCAGTAGGCTAAAACAAGTATTTTATTACCAGCGCATCATTTCTTAAATCACCTGTTGAATATGCAGGCATAGTAAAAACAGCGTAAGTTGCTGCGAAAAGTAGAGTTTTATATATTTTATCGACACGTATTTATTTATGCTGAACGTCTGAATCGAATAATTTCTAAACGTTTCTTTGATCATATTACAGTTTTAGGTTTCAATATAGTAGGGGGATTACTGGTAACGCCACCACAATCATGGCTTGTTTTCCAGTATCTCTTGACATTTTGACGTCACTCTCAATTGAGAACTTTTTAGCTCTTCTTACTTACTTCTGAGTAATTGAGTGAGGCCTTGCTCGTAACAGACGTTGTTTCTTACATTTTTCTTTTTTTGGTTATTCTCTCTTTGTTTGTTATATTACCTGTTTTTCACCGAAGCTCTTTTGAAATTTTCATATCAAAATATTGTTCAAGAGCACCAGGATGGCAAATTCCAATCAATCACAATAAGTCAACGATTTGAATACATATAATTATGTAGTGTTTTGTATGATGAAGAAAAATTTAATCATTATACATTTGGCCTAATAATTTCGATTTCCCTCCAGAGGCTCCTGCTAAAGTTAATTTAAGTTTGACCACTTAGCATCATTCTCTAATTTCCATGAACATATAATATAAATTGTGTTTATTATTATGATAATCAAATAATAAATCTAATAATTGTTACTACATATCATTATTATAATATTTTTATAGTGTAATTCAAATATATCTGGTGCACCATAATGCTGCCAATCTGCACACGTTGCAAACATTTTCTATGAATGAAGTTACTCCCACGTACATTTGTACCAATGGATATTCACACCCACAGAATTCACATATATCAGCACCCGTGAAATTTGTACAACATACAACTAAGTACATTTCCATCTGTCATCTTCACCCACGAATACTTTTGTTTTGGACAAATTTTATTTATTTACCGAACAATATATAAGTATATATATGCGCTGATACTCCAGGAAAAATTGAATTTTGGGCAATATCCCCATTTATTGTGTATAAATTTTTTACTTTTAATACACTCGTTTTTTTTTCTATTTGCTTCAAAAATTTTGCAAATAGAACATACATTAATTTGAGTTGGGGTGCGCGAGACTAACTTCCTATCTTTTCCCAATGCCTTTATGCTAGTGGATTCGTATGCGTATACTGCAAGGATACTGTAGCTGGAATAAACATGACTATTCTATCAAATTAAAGAGTCCAGCTGCACACTAACACAAAAACGTGTTAGTGCGTTAGTGCGTTAGTGTGTGCGGTTTCGTGTTAGTGTGCAGCTGGACTCTTTAATTGGATAGAACATATATTGTTTGGAAAAAGAATTAAAGTGGAACGATTCAAACAATCAAAAAAGGTTTATAAGAGTATAACTTTCACTGTATATTTATGGCAAAGTGTTACTAATGATAAACAAGAGAGTTATGCTCAAATATGTGGACACGAGGCAAAACTGAATATTCTATCATCAATTCCCCGAATATATTCCCCCAATCATATGCGGTAAGTTACCAGTAGCCGTATTGGGAGGCGGACAACTCGGCAACAGTAGCCGTAATTTTTGCCACAAGTAGACCACAAAGAAAAAATTTAGCCACAAGAAGTGTTACAAAAAGGACTCATTTCATGTCTAGATGCTCATTTTCATTAACGAAAAAAACGCTCAAAACAGAAGGCATCCTAATTATGAGAAAAATTCCATTGGATGATAAAGAATACTCGCTTACAACATTCATTGAACGATTAACATTCATCCCCTTTAATAATAGATGGAAAAAAGACTAGATTATTCCTTATATATTCAAGTTATATTATAATTGCATTACTGCTTGTAGTATCAGTGTTATACTAATATTTGATTTGATGCCCATGCTCTTTAATTTAGAACTTGGAGAAAAATACAAAAAAAATGCCTAAATCTCAACTATTTCCCTCGTATAATAATAAATTTTGTCACTAGTACCCAATTGGAAAACAGCCCTGTAAAATATATTAAATTCGAAATATAAAAACAATTGCCCATAATTTGCCTAATGTAGTTTTTTTTATTGTTCATCTATTATTAGCTGTGATACTTCATAGGGTGTTACAGCTAGCGGAACCGCCACAAGATGCGCACATTTCGATGACGTCATAGCACACAAAAACGAATCCCATAGAGGCATAGCGCTCACAGAAATATTTTATATAAATTAAAGTCATAGTAAAAAATATAGCTTTAACCACTAAATATATCAAATTGGTCCAATAATTAAAGAGAATCCATATGATCCATGGATCCATAGGTCCACTCTGTGCCCAATAAACTAATTATGAAAACTCTTTACATTGTCATAAAAATAACATGGTGGTAGTTTCATAATGTTGGTCCTATATGCCTAGCATGTTGAAATGTTAACCTGTACCAATTATAAGTAAATTTCACTAGCATGTGAAGAGCAGAAGGAATAAGATGGCTTAACTATATATTGTCTGCATTTATTAGATATAAGACGTACACATGAAAAAGTGTTATTTACTGTGTTTGGGATTTTAAATGTTTGTTCATCATTGCAATATATTCTTATCGTATTAAAAGTATTATTTGCATTGTAAAAATGTAAAATATCTGTTTTCTTTAATAAAGTTTCATCTTTACTGCGTCTTTATATTCAAATTTTAATAAAACGTGAAAAGAATCTTGTAATATAAAACTAATCAAAAGGTCAACTTTTTTTTCAGCTTTTTCTCAAAATTGAAACTATATTAAGAAGAAAACCGCGTTTTAACAAAAAAAATTTAACACTTTGAGCTGGCTACGCCTTTGCTGAGAATCGGTATATACTTGCGACACGAGTGCCTTTATATAGCGCTTTACACGAATGTGCTTTTGCGAGAGACACAATAATAAGATTCGAGAAAAAACACTGTCATGTCACGTCATTTATATTTCGCATCAGTCTATCATCAGCTGGACTGTGGAAGGAATGTTCCTTTGAACATGTTAGGTAGAGTCTGTTATTACAAATTCATCCATGGGCACAAAAGCCTTATTGCGTCCTATAGTATTCACCTCGAACCAAACTATGTCCTATGATAAAATTAATAATCATCATTTCATCAAGTATTTATATTTCTTGTCTGAATAAAAATGCGAAAAACAGAAATCGAGGTCTAATCAGAAAGCAAATTCGGTTGGATTTACAAACAAGTATACAATGAAGGAAGTTTTCCAATCATTTAATCTTCTTGGAGATTAGCAAACAGATCTTCCGCTTCGTCGTTGTCATCATTGGCATCATCTTCTCGAAGTTGAAGGATTCTCAATTCATCTGACAATAGATTTTTATTAAGATGAGAAGGTGCCATTGTGCAAAATTGGAAAACTATCAAAGCCTGAAACTAATCGTATAATTTTCATGTCAGTTCTTCAAAACGACTGACCACCAGTTCACGAAAGCAAACGAGGAACCGTCACTAGGTGCGCAATTTTCAATTTTGATAGACGTAATCGCACACACGAAAACGAGTCCCTTATAGCCGACAGAAATCTTTGATTTGTATGTCCACTTCATATCTCAAAATCCATCTTACCTGGGTCGAGATGCTCCATTTGCTCCTTAGTTTCTTGATCATCGTTGTCAGCCATCTCTTCATTCATCTGTTTTATTTTAAATTCAATAAAAGTAGAATATCATATGGAGTTTATCAGAGCTCAATAATTAATAAAGGAATATGAGTCAGACTGCGTTAAATATTTATATATTACAATATGAGCAATTGTATCAATATGCCTATTTATCCTAAATGCTCAGACAAAAAGCAGACTATCTCTATATGCCATCATAGGCAATGCCGTTTGGGGCAATGCCTTTTAACAATGACGACACGAGATCCTACAGAGTCCATACTCATATTAAGCATAATAAATTTATCCGAATGCATCATGACGTCATGAACAACTTTTTTTAAATTGCTTGGAATACGAAATTTTAGTCACAGGCACGCTGAACACTCAAGCCGATTGGATGGTAATTTAAATTTACAAACACTTTTAGAAAAAATCAGAAAATCTAAAAGCTAATACCCGTTAACATTCGCGATGGTATCGTCCGATTATAGATAATAAAATATTACCGATAAATAAAAGTATCTTTCCTTTTCTTCAAATAAACAGGTATGATGAAATAAAGATCCAAAAATAGTTATATTTTTAATTCCTAGCTTCGTTGTTGCTTAGAATTTAGATAAAATAGTATATATCCGTATTTTCTTATCTTTTTCAAAAATGGGGATTATATTGTGGGCGAAAAAACTGTTCTATTAGTTTGAATTAGTATATATATTTTGTTTTTAAGTTAAAGAGATAGATAGTTTTTCAAACTTAGATTAATTCAATTATTTGACCGTATTTAATTTTTTAAACGGTAAATATTTTGGACAAGACTTAACCTGGTTGTAAAATTAAACAAGTAACAGGTTTGCAAAATTTTAAGCTGGTTTCACCTGAACCACGCCTTCAAAATTAAAAAGAGACTTAAAATTGATTAATAGTTCAAAATTGCACTTTGAGGTCCCTAGCTTTAGTGAAAATTGCATTCCTACCATGCTTTTCATTTTGTTTGCGTTTTCACTTTCAGCATCACCAAGCCAAATATGTCTTCTGCGGGACCAAGTCCTTCTACGTGACCAAGTCCTTCTGCGTGTCCAAGTCCTTCTTCGCCAAGTTCGTCGTCGCCAGGTTCGTCTGCGACGCCAGGACTCTCCCAACTCGAAATTGATCACGGCAATTAACAGGATGAATGCAAAGGTAAGTTTGAACTTCATTTTCCCTAATTAATGTGAATAAGCCAATGAAATTAGACCGTGAGTCGATGGTGCAAAATGAGTATAAGTCAAATGTTAAAAGGACACTCGCCTTTTATGCAATGTTCTTTAGGCTGAAACAAATGTGTTTTATGGTAATATATTCTTGACTATATATACCTTTTTAAAAAGGAAGTTGGTATTAGCATTCCAAACATAAATCATGATTATTTTGTATATGAAAATATATTGTTAAGGTTTCGATTTTGAATAACTGACTCAAATTGTATATAATGTACATTTTAGATATCGTCATATTGTTTTTTGAAGGTTTTATTATGCTTTTTTATGCTAGGAAAAATAATCTGGGTGGGTGCCAAAAATTGTGCAAGATCAATAAACAAAGTGGGTCCTGTTTTGAAACGGAAAAATAACAATCAACAATCAACAAACCTTTGGGCGTATCTACTACGGGAACCATCAATCTAAATAGAAGGTTGTAAAAAAACGGCTGATGTGGTCAGCGGTTTTGAGTCCATACCTGTGACTGCGCTCGATAACTAACCCTCTAGGTCCGTTTCATATTAGACTTCCCTAGGATTCCGTATCATACCTTTTGCATTATATATATATGAATAAGAGCGCTTGGTAATGAAATATTTATTGGACATAAAGTGGACCTATGAATCATTTCGTAAATATGTTGTTGTAGTTATTTTTGTTGTTGTTATTTTCTTCTTCGCTTTTGTCATTAACAACTGGATCGATTGCTTTGTATTTATTGTAGTTTTCGCTAGAAGTCTATTACTTTTATTATTTTAAAACTTTTTGTGGGTTTTTTGTGATTCGTTTTTAACTTTAAAATTTTGTGTGATTACCTGGTCTTCGTGTCCATATATTTGAGCATCGCTCTCTCGTTTAATTTCAATTCGTGTGTGATTGACATATTCAAAAACTGTTTAGAACTAGAGGAAGTTTTAACAATATGGCATTAAGTCGTTTGTTTTGTTTGTTTAAATTTCATAGCTTGTGGCAATTAGTGGTTGCTACGGATGTGGGCAAACTTGAGAGTATATACGATACCATACACATAAGCAAAACACATGTAAATCATAATACGATAGGCGGAAGAGGTGCTGCTGCACAGACGCAGTTTGTTTTCATGAATAAGAATAACATATAATTTTACACGGCTTATTGTAATAGGCTTAAACAGATATTTTATTACTAATTACTAGCACACCGTTTCTTAATCACCTGTTAAATAGGCTTCAAACGATTATGAATCGAAATAATATCATTCCATTTGGTCATTACTCCAGATCGAAAGGTTCATATGAAAAATAAAACACAACTATATAGGCACAGTAAAATATCGTAAGTTGCATCCAAAGAGTAGGAGTTTTATATATTGTATAAACACGTTTTGAACAATTCTGATATTTTGAATCGAATAATTTCTACACGTTTTTTTGACCGTATAACACGATCAGTTTTAGGTTTTAACGTAGAAGGGTCACTACTGGTAATACCACTGTAACGCACGAATTGGAGTCTCGAAAACTGCGCTACGTTTATACCCAACCACTGTTAAGTACCACGTCCCGTTTCTCCTACAATTTGCAATGCAAACTCGTAACAATCAGCCCCCACTCCCAATCTTGAACAACTGAACTTTTGAACCCCAACACCTCAGAAGATCACACCAACTGAAAGAACTTTGTTGTAATATTCCACTTGAAACTCGACAGAATAGTACGGCAATAACACTCAAAAATGCACACAGAGTTTGATTCAACTAACGTTGAATATGACTGATGAGTTTGTAGACAAAATTTGACTAAATATTATTTTGAGTTTGATTTCAAATATTGATAGATTCCGGGATTAAATAACTAGATAAAATACATAAAAGTTGCGTCCATTACAACCACCATAATCCCGGCTTTTTTCAGTATCTTCTGGCATTTTGGCTTTACTCTGAATTGGGCACTTCTTACTTCGGAGTAATAACAGAATACCCAAAGAAGAATATTAATAGTTAATGCTTTTGTTTCTTACGTCTTTCTTTCTTCGGTTATTTTTCTCTTTGTCTATTATATTATCTGTTTTTCACCCAAGCTTTTTAAAAATTTTCATATCAAAATATTGCTCAAGAAAACCTGTATGCCAAATTCCAATCAATCCTAATACGATTATGATTCGAATGCATTTAATTATGTAGTGTTTATATATAATATAACGAAAAATAATTTAGGGTTCCATTACATTTGTACCCGTGTACATTTGAACCCACGTACATTTGAACCACGTAGGCCTACATCTGAACCCACGACAATTGCACCTGCATACTATTGCACCTATGGAAATTTTTTTTGTTTTACGGATATTTGAACCCATACTAACCCTAACCCATGGGTTTTAGCACCCGCATATAGATTGAACCCGCGGATATACACATGGGTTCAAATGTACGGTCACCATAATTTAGTACATAATAATTTAGATTCCCCCTCCAAAGGTTCGTGCTAAAGTTAATCCAATTAGCATCAGCATCATGAATATACAATATAAATTGTGTTTAGTATTACGATAATCAAATATTAAATCTAATAATCATTACGATATCGTCATTAGTATAATATTTTTATAGCATTGTTTGAATGTACATACGTCCTGGTACTGTAATTTTAGACATTCAAATAATAAAAAATTTGAATATATTCATTCGAATTCAAAATATCACGCCAAAGTCTCAATTCTATACCAAAATTGTAAACGGATGGGATACTTCATCTGCCCAACATAAAATGCGAACTTCCTCATAAGAGTTGAACTTGAATTACATAAATCATTTCTTAATTTGTAGCGGATATGGCCAGTGGGTTTGCAATCAATCCTTTTCTACGAAATTTTGCGCGTTGTTTTGTGGACGCCCATACTGCTGCCAATCCTAGCACGTATCATACATTTTCTATAAAAGAAGTTATCCCCACGTATATTTGCACCCGTGGATATTTACACCCACGAAATAAGCAATCGCATACATTTGCATCCGTGCAATTTGCAGCTACTGTAGGCACATTTGTACTCGCAATCAGCTTCACCTACGAATATTTGTGTTTCTGCCAAAATTTAATTTATATCTCCAGTAAAAAAATTAACATGCAATATTAAGACGAATACTATTGAATATATATATATATATATATAAGTATACGTAAAGAAAGAAAGGGTAAATAATGTAATTAGTAATATTTAACGTTTTATAGCCATAACAAGGAAGAATCCATTCCACCTTAGCCTTCCACGTCAGACTTAAACGTGGATTGTAGAGTCAACGTCACAAATAGATTAGTGACTAAAAATTAGCTAAAAGCACACAAAAGCGAGCACTTGGAAATCTGTCTGTGCAAAACTAGGGCTTGGGCGGCTACCAATACTTTAAGATAGTCATCACCGTACAAAAATAGGCGAGGAATTTAATGCTCGGAAAAACATCCCGGGAAATTTTATTTTGCGTAGATGACGCTAGTGAGCTTTTGTTTATTTTCCCCAAGCGAAATTTTAGTATCCCTGTCGGGAAATCCCCAACTTGGGTACCAATGATTGTGTGGGCGGATTTTCGTTTTATTATTCTGTTATTACCAAATGAGCAGAAAGAAACTTAACGAAACTTTTTTTATCCGGTGATTACAGGACTAATACCGTACTATATTCGTTTTAATAAACCAGTCCAAAGTGTCGTAAGGAAATGCGTGTTTCCAGTTCCGCATTTCAACATTTTGATTAGAAGGCAATTGGTGGTTTGATTAGACAGTTATAAGACGACTTAGACTTTTTGATTATGTCTTCCATTCTTGTGAAGAATTTGCCGCCCAATATCAATGGAGACAAGCTAGAAATTTATTTCCAGAAACAAAAAAATGGAGGTGGAGATGTAAACGAAGTTCGGATGATTGAAAATGGATCACAAGCCATTGTAGTTTTTGAGGAGAAACAAAGTGAGTATAAAGATATACATTTGTATTTTTTTTATCTTTCTTGATAAAATACCAATATTGCATAAGGTATTCTCATCCCCCGTTTGACTAGTTCATCCGAAATTACGTCACTCACTTTGATGCTTTCACTTCACATTTACATAAAAAAAGTGTAACGAAAAAGCAGAAATGCAGTCATCAACTCTATACTATACACAGTGGAGCGCTTTTGGGCGGCAGTTTGTATATATTTGGCGAGACTTTTTATGCCAGTGTGAGTTCATAGTGATATGATTTTGGATGATGAAATCAGATGTTCTGATGCTCTTGGGAAAACTGAATTTTTGGGTCCCATTCCCATTTCCTGTGTATAGATTTTTAATTCATCCATTTTTTTTCCTTAGTTGCTTCAAAAATTGTGCAAAGAGAACATACAATGCTTGGAAAAAGAATTGAAGTGGAACAATTTGAACAACCGAAAAAGGTTCACAAGAGTATAATTCTTTCTGTTTATTTATGGCAACATGTTTCCAATGATTAATGAACCAATTGTGCAAACTCTTTACATTGTAATGTAACTGACAAGGGGTCTAGTGTAGTTCAGTACCACGAGTACTTTCAGTTGGCATAGCATAACGAATTTTGCATATGTTATACCTAACCCCCACATGACTATGCCATCCAAAAATTACTCCGCTACGATGTCTACAATCACCCGAGATGGCATCTGCACCACCGATGAACGAACTCGCGAATGGCGACGATCTCTCTTATATCGTGATTGTTGCGACCAGAAAACGAAAGAAAAAGCTTTCTTGATTTCGGGTGATCATCTGTGCGTTTTGGACGACCATCCGTATACTTTGGGGGGCTTTATCACGAAACTGTGGCATAGAAATGACGTAATATTTTGGTGGCGTAGTCAGGTGGGTTTTATATTGACATATGCGAAAATAGTTGAGCCAGGCCAACTAGAAGTGCTGTGGTACTAAACTATACCAGACCCTAAAATGTTCATTTTATAATTCTGGTACTGTATGCACTCTAGAATAGTTGAAATGTTGGCTTTTGCCAATTATAAGTAAATATTATTAAATATTATAAGTAATAATTACTATTATGTGGAAAGGAACGTTAATAAGAAAGCTTAATTTTATGTTGCCAGCATTTTTTAGATATAAGCCAGGGTGCACTCATGAAAAAGTGTTATTTCTTTTGTTTTAGGAATAAGAAAATGTTTGTTCATCATTGCAATATATTCTCATTATTTATATTGCAAAATATCTGTTTTCTGTAATAAAATAATAATTATATTCAAAATTTCAATAAAACATGAAGAGAATCTTGTAATATAACACTGATCATAAGTTTTTTGTTTTCCCCTCAGCTTTTTCTCAAAGTTGAAGCTATATTGAGTTCGACTACCGTAGAATTCCTTGGAGAATATAAAATCGAGTTGTTGACTCAACATCATAAGAATACTGATTGTCAAAAATTGCAGAACGGACAAATGTTAATCAAAACAGGTAAATTGAGTTTTTCAATGATGATGAACATACTTCGTACTTTGATCTTGAATAAATGGAAATACCATACATCTTATATTAAGCTATTTATTTTTTTATATTATGACATAGTTTTAGATGTAACATTGCAACTCATGCTGCTCTAATGTGGAACTACTGGAAAATAATAGTTCTGATACCAATGCTAACTTCAAGCTAGTTGACCAGTATGAGCAGCCAACCAGTAGGAGACTCAACTGTAGTTTTATCATGCTTGATGCACCTATAATCCTAATATTTCATATCAGCATTGTTATGTGACACAAAAAAATTTATGTTGTGATGACCACGATAATAATTTATGTTAGATACCTAATTTCTGAATATCTTTCAAATCCATTTTCTGCATTTCTTTAGAATAAAATGATCCACAATTTTGTTTAGAATAATTTTCGAGCTGACGTTTAGCCATCCTTTCAAGTTTTAAAAACAGTCATGGTTAGGTAATGTTTTACCAATTTACCGGTAGTTCTCTTTCATTAAGATTCTCTGGAAGAGTTACTACAGTTTAAAAAATCATTAGAGAATTTGTTAAAAAAATCCAAGACACTACATTTGAGTCAATCGTCATCATCACCTGTTAAAATGCAGCAAACAAATTATGGTTTTGGGGAACAACCTGTATTTCATCCACCAAATATAGAAAGAAGAACATCAGTGAACTCATGGGATCCCGTATCACAATTTTCTGGTGATTATTCATATCTTTTTGTTTAATGTTTTTTTTTAATAGAAGAAGATTTGCAAACAGGATTTATATATCAGAAAAGCAGTTGTGTATTCATAACTCGAATATAGATTTTTTATAGGTTTTAGATCATCTTTTTCTAATTATTCAGGGCATTCTAGTCAGTGTTGATATTAAAAAGCCAAAAAATATTAAACGTTTCCTTTTATATTTACAAATTTCTGACATTTTTGCATTGCATATTGTTGATGTTTACATGCTTCCTAAATGTAAAATGAAAGTGTCATTAAGGCATGATGTTTAGTTTAAATATTATCTCGGATATCAAGTTGAAGATTTTGTAAGGTATCTAGTCAACTACAGTTTATAAGTCATTATTTTATTAGAAATGAAAGAATCGATCAAGTAATATTCTAATAAATAATTTGTTCAATACATTTCTCTACATCCAATTTTTAGTTATATAAATTCTACATCGCGAAGTTGCGTAAATTTACACAAATTTTTCCAAATTAGATAATGATGATTTAGTCTCTGTAGCTCTTGGCATTTTAATGGCTAGTCGTAGCTTCACTCAGAAATCAATCTCCTTATTTTCTGACTGAGTGAGTGCCTGTGACATTGCTTTGAGTGAATTTTCTTGAAAAATATGCTCTCAAAATTAAAAAAATTTGTGTCCGAAGGTTCTACACGAGATCCACTTCTTCCTGAACTACGGGATCCACTTCTTCCTGAATGGTCAGATAGTCCTTTACCGCAGCCACAAGATGGAAACATGTTTTGGCAGAATGTGGATGTCGATGGCCAGGCAGTGATTAAAGGAAAATTTTGTTTTCCAGAAGGAGAGATTTTTGTAAGAGACAATACTTTCTCAAAATAATAGATCTAGTATATGATATGAATAACAATAAAATTTATATTGATCCAAGTAAATTGTACAAATAAAATAGCATACGAATAATAAATAAATACAAAAAATTTACTACTCTGAATATGAAGGAAAGCCAATAACATTGCTTAATCATATGACAAACTACGGTGTCTTGTCCAATCACCGGTCCATGTTAGGCATGATAATCAGTATTTTCATTATCCAGTGATTTCGTGAACCATCCTACAGCGGCGAAAGGGGTAGCAATTCTCTCTCACATAATTATTCCCTACAGGATCCGGATTTAAGACCTCATGTAGGGTAATTAGAGGTGCGATGGTGAGTGTCCCAGCGCTTATCATGATGCACCAATCAGGTTTTTGGCAAATCCTTGAAATATTTTGATAATTTTTTCTTCCTCTTTTTACAGATATTCTCAGATGTTATTAGATATCCATCATATGACTGCATTGTCAGGCTTCCTGCTAGTTCTCGTGGAGAAATCATTAAAGAAATGTTGAAAATTGCATTTGAAGAAAGAAAACTGTTCTATGTAAGAAAGGATGTTACAGGGTGTGGATTTGTTGTACAGTCTGCTTATGACGTTTTTGGAAGGTTGGTGTTATTGACATTGACATGCTTCTTTGGCTCGGCAGTGTGGTGCATCGTTCTAATCGTTAGGTATATGCTTGCCACATCACCTCTGGATACCCTGCGTGGGTTCGCAGGTTCGAGACCTGCGGGGGATGATTATGTGGGAGAGGATTGCTGGACTCCTTCGTCGTCTTAATGTCTTTCTATTCCCCCGGGATAAATATGCAAATCCTATCTTATTTAAAGTTGACGAATTGAAAAAAAAATTTGTGAATTAGACCTGAATCAAATATTCTTCTTTATGAACATAATATTTTTGAATGAGGAATAGAACATTCTTAGGTGAGTCATGTTAAGCAAAAAGCCATAGAACTCAATGCAAAAAAATTAAAATAAAAGGATAATGTGTTGATACTTCAATTGTTCAAAATAGGTAATAATTTTTCGAATTCAGCTATTATAAATTGTCTTGAATTTGAAATAGTGAATCAAATTAATTTCTTATCAATTCGAATATTCTATTCATTTTGGATATCCCTGATTCTAATCTTTTCTAACAGTTTCAAAATATAGTATGTAGTTTGTGCTGAAATAATTTGTTATAATCATTTTAATCACCATAATCTTTTGAACTATGTTATTAAACTTTGCATCTTTTGTCAAAATACCTTTTTTTGGATGTTGGTTTTGTACTAGTTTGTATAAAAAAAGATAAAATTACTATATAGTATCTGCTGTGACTAAGTATGCAATCTCGTCCTAAATTTAAAAAAAGCACAGGTGCGCATGATTATGATATATTTTGAGTGATCAGCCCCAACCCTGTCATTCTTCTATTTTGTACTGATATTAGTGAATTCTACAACATTTACCATATAAATTAGACTACACAAGACCGTAAATAATTGACTTTGGTATATTGTACTGGAAGCCACCTTTGTTTGCCTGGCGATATTCTCTTTATTTGTGTTTAGGTAAATATTAAAAAGTAGGCAAACAGAGTAATTGGAATAAACTATGTATCAACAGAAATTGCGTAATCATTTCATATAACGCTAATTGGAATTCGTGTTTCCCTCAATTTTGAAATATGCAAAAAAGTTTTAGTTTGATTTTTTGTTGCTATAGAGATTCAAATAAATTTCTCTAAATATAGCAGTTCAAGAGTTTAAAGACAAATGGATATTCAAAATTGAAATTTGGGAAAATTTTAAAAATGGGTATTCTTCAAGCTGGTGTATAATCATAATGTGAAGCAATTTTCACCAAATTTTCTCGATATAAAATTGAAAAGTTGAAAATTAAAAATATACGTTTTCTTCATTTTCAAAAAACTGATTTTTCAAATTTGTCTTTTTTAGGTTAAAAGTCTCTCATACATAACTAAATTCACTCGAAAATTATCACTTAAATATTTCAAAATTGCTTTTGTTGATAATGTCCAGCAATGACAAATTAATAATAAATACATTACTATTATAGAAAAATTTTCGGATTATGGAATTTTGTTCTTATTGCTTCAGAATATTGATTCCTCATTCACAAAATTTTTATGCCTGTTTCGCTGTTTGTATCATATTATATATAGCGTAGAAATATTTTTTCACTGCGTTTTCTACACTAACTATTTTTGTTATATTTTTCAGTCGGAATACAGGAGATGAAGTTGATTTGTCACATAAACTCGATGAAATTAAATCGCGTTTAGTTGATTTGAAGATCCCTCTTCCAAGCCTCACAATAACAAGACCTCGAGAAAGTATGTCACTGTATTGATGCTCTATTATACTTGAACTAACATATACTACAACTTTTTACAGCAGCAATGTAAAGGTATTTAGGATAAGATTTAGATATTTATAAGGAGGATAGAAAGCTGATGAGACGGGTTGGTCATATGGTGAACCACACTCTCTAGTTGAGATACCAGTCCATGTCGGGTATAGAAATAGTTATCCAGATTTTGTTTCAGATGCATGGACTTGATGGTGGAGGAAGCCGTCACCATGTTACGGCGGCGGGCAATCCAGTCTTTTGTTCTCACAGATAAACTCCAGGAATCTTAGATATAAGATTAGCTCTGCAACCTGAATTTTATAATAGTTTTTACTTCCAAATAATTATCGCTTTCATATTTCACTACTTCAGCTGCCCCCGCCGTTTTCTCCACATATCCAGCCGAAACCGGACATGAAATGATGGATACTTCTCCACCAATACATCAAGTTAAGGTAAACATACTATTGTTGGTCAAAATTCTATTTTGTGAAGGAATTACTGTCTCATGGCAATGGAGTCTTGTGAAATTGTTTTTAGAGGAAGTTTAAAATTCAACTCAAAACCCTTTGACTTTTTTATTCTTTTAACTGACAAAGTATGATGATGCCAATGTGGTAGGGTACATGAATAGCTTTAACGAGATTAGGAATGAGAGACATGATAATTGTAATATATTGAATGTTGAAATTAACAAAATAATGCTTCCATGTTCCTCCACCTGCCCACGGTTTGAAGCAACATCCACTGAGGTACAAAACAATATTTTCTCAATATGCAATCCTATTTTCTCTTTTTTATTATTTTCTGTTTAGTTTGCAAGAATTACTAGCAATTCCATTATAGTTATTGAGCAGTCTCACTTTTGTTCTACAGAAGGTTACTCCAAAGCCGAAAGGACCATTTCCTCAGCCAGATGGCTTAAAAATCAATTCTGAACTTCATGAGAAAAGTTTATCTGGATTTCCACTTTGCGAGGCTCTGCATATGTACTTCAGATTTCCTGGTGGCATAATCAATACAAATGTGAGTGCAGTTATATTAGGGCAATACTGTAATGATATCAGCAAATCTTTGTAAATTTTATCATCAACCATGCCAAATATTGTATTGCGATATTATTTTAGCCTTTTAATTTAGCCTAGACTTGATACTTGGTTGATTTTGCTAAGCGTTGCGTAATAAGTATATACCACACATGCAATATTTTAGTTTAGTATTGAAGACAATGTAAAACCAAAAATGCCTAAGTCGTTTTTTTATTTTCACTGCTCCTGAGTATATATCACGGAGGTTTAAACGTGCATAATTCAGTTTAATTTTTTGGGCACTCACATACACACACAACCACAGAGATATATTTAGAAATAGCTGAAGAAAATATTTCAGAATAAATTTTATGCCACATCAGATTAAAAATTGTGCAATGATTGCCAAATGAAAAATTTTCATGGCTGTATTGTTGGGTATATGTCAGATGTCAAATGAAAAAAACACATCACATAATAATTCTGACTTATTGTGAATAGCTTTTCATCCCCTATTATATCTCATTCGAACCCTGGGGCGGTTTCAAGTCCAAATCATCTGATAATATTGTTTTCTATTTTGTCAGGGTGGGCAAACCATACAATATGTTTCCTACAATCGAACTGCATGTTTACCAGCAAACGCTGAAGGTAGAAAATTATCTGCAATGATATTAGAAGCTGCAAATCAAAGAAAATTATTTGTTGTGGCATTGAAAGCTGGAATATACATGATTAGAACAAAAGTTCCTCTACTTACTAGGTAAGATTAAATTCTTCATATCACCGTATATGATTTATTGTCACCTAATGGTTTTTGCATCTCGCTAAGCGGTTTCTATTTCTCTCATGCTATTTTAAGGTTCTTATTAGAATCAGCTGTCTTCAAAGTAAACTTTTAGTTTTCTATTCAATTTTGCTTTGCATGGCAAGATTGCAAAGCAAAGATGAACTTATATTTTGCTGTGGTATATATGGTATAACTGGATAATTATTACACTTCCCTTGACAATTTAAGTCAATGTATCCTTCAATTAATTTAACCATTGTGCCAATTGAGCTTAAAATATTTTTAAGAGCAAACTATTCACATTGATTCAGCTTTTTGTTCTAATGTTCAGTCAGTTTATAGTTGGGTCCATGCGCCATGTATTAAGCCATTGCGAGTGGGGCTCATGGATAAACGTCTCTTTCTTGTTATGCTATAGTTCTGTAGTCAATTATGCAGTAAGTAGTATTATGATACATTCCAAAGCTAATACCATCATTGCCTCTTTCAGTTCTCATTTGATTATTTAGTCTAATAACTCTGTTAAGCATATGTGGGTTCGATAGTTCAAATTCTGTGAAAGATAAGTACCTATATGTGTAAGAGGGTTGCTGGACTCTTCACCGACATAGGGTAGTTCACTCTGATAGCAGCTGCTCGGTCACAACTTTCTCCAACAAAATTTCATGTATTTGAAACAAATAACGGTAGCTATCCCCATACAAGATGTGGACTGGTTGTCATTTGATTAAGTGATTATTCCGACTTTATTCTCCTTTGGGATAAATATGAAAATCTTACTCCTAACCCGCTTATTTTTAATCTATTTTTATATTACAGTGATGACTACCCGAATGAAGACTACTTAAATCAGTTGTATCGAGCTCTATTAAAACTTGGCATCTCCGAACCATCAGTTCCACCTCCTCTTCCCGCTACATCCGAAGCCCATTATGAAGAAAACTCAAGCGATGAGTCTGATCAAGAGAGTAAAGAAACTTTACGTAAAGGAGGACCCTTTCCTCAACCTCAAAATGGAGTAATACGAATGGAAAGAGAAAACAGAAATCTCAAAAATTTTGGAAACTGTGGAACGATTAATATTTATTTTCGTTTTGCTGGAGGAAAAATGAAAATTGAGGTAGCCTATTGTGTTATTATCTTGTTTTGTTTTAGGAAGTAATTTTGCACGTACGTACCCTTGGTAGAACAAAGATCTAAAGCCCGGGCCCGACCCGAACCGAAATTCGGGCCAGGTCGAGCCTGAAATGTCAATCATTACGTTCGGGTTGGGTCGGGCCAAGCTTCTCTATCGCTGACTTTTTTCGAAAAGGAGGCGCTTCGGCCGTGTTTTGGCCATGAGAGAATGTGGTCTGCAAAAAAAACAGAAGTTGACTCATCAACACCACACATACTGTACTAAACTCTTGCAATGACAATTTAATGAACTCCTGAATAAAATATGAAATTTCGAGTTTGCTTCGGGTTCTGGCCTGCAAATCCAGTTAATTAGTCGCGCTCGGGTCTGGTTTAATACCCACGGGCCTGGGTCGGGCCGTGCTGGAATTTTAGAGCCCGATCTTACCTCTAACCCTTGGGTCTTGGGTGGCCTTTTTTTTTATTCTTGTACTTGTTTTTTGCTCCGAGCAAGGCCCTGTACACACAGCCATGGTTATCTAGCGATATATAAGGAGCCGGTTTTATCTGAGAGGACCGCAATCTTTTAGGTTCATCATTGCCTACCCAATTTATTACACTCTGTATGAGGTGGGAGGCAGCTTTCCCTACAATAAATATTATAAATATTTTATCCTATTAATTACTCTTGTGTACTGTGTTATGTACGTTGATGTTATGTAGTGTCATTCATGGTATGTAATATTGATCATTTTTTAATGCAACATATACAAATGAATTATACTTTTTCTTGGAATATATGATAAAACATGATAAAGCATTTCGATTGTAGAACTGGTCTAAATCGAGCCTAGTTGCAAGTCATTATTTTAACTGACTAAATTATGTTCTCGACTTCATATATTCTAGGGGTCGAAACCTTCAAAATCATTTGAAGTTCAATACAGTCAAATGTATATTGTTGCTGCATTGCCTGATAGCGAGAATGGTCTTCGTATGGCAATCATGTTGCGTACTGCGTTTAATGACAGGAAATTATTTCGTATTGAAAGAAGAGAAGGTGAACCATCTTTCCGAGCGCGACCATGCGTAACACTTTTGAGAGCGTAAGTTGATTATGGAAATTTTCAGTTAACCATAAAACTAGTTATGATTTAGTTTAGATATAGCATAGATCTATGCCATCATGTACCGATATATGCTATATTGGATCTCTGTCTAGGAGACTCTCGTTCTCCGTCGTTCTGTCTGTGTATCTGTCTGTCTGTGTGTCAACTGTAGAGTCTTAACGGCCGAACCAATCTGTATGGAATTTCTAACGTGGGTTATGCTGTCACACTAGTAATGTGCGTTTCACCAAAAGTTCTAATTGATGTTTCGTTTCCTTGGCAACAGCGAAAAACACAGATCATTGAAAATACTCCCATTTTCTCATAAATTTTTGCCATTCCCTCGTCAACCAAGTCGAATATTAAAATTCCTAGACTGCTACCCGTCGCGAAAGAAAATACTCTTTCGAATAGCCGTCTTTCATCTTGGAGTCCATAAACTGTGGCAGCATTATAAATTTTAGTGAACATGTTTTAATTATTAGACACAGCATAACTTTCGCCCATGGATACCGATGAGGCACACAGCGGTCAAAATGAACTGCCAGTTTTGGTACAATTTTTTCGTTACAGTGGCGTCTATATATTACCCGTTAGTAATCCTGAAATGATGCGGGCCACAAGCAATGGCAGAGATCCATACTGGGTGCCTAGCGGCTTGTGTATATGTGTATATATATATAAGCACACAAAGAAGATTGTGTTGATTGTTGGAGTGTATGACATGTACTCTGACAAAGTATGAAGACAGACAGGCGAAAGTTTAAATAAATAAAGTAGACAACCGATACAATAATTGCTATTTGACTAATTTGTGTAATCTTCAATATATAGAGATGAATATTCGAGAACAGATTATTTGGCACAACTCAAAAAGGAGTTGAAAAGTTTGGGAATCAGAGAACCAAGTTCAGAAGCTGTTGCTTCCCTTTCAATACCAAAATCAACGATTCCACAAGGTGGTGCTCTTCCACCTGATTGGGCTGCATCGTCATCTGCACAAGCTTTACCTGATACAAGTAAGTACGAGATTTGGGATTTTGAATAGCAATATCAATGTTCTAACGGTTGAAACGTTAGACATACCTGTGTTTGCGCCACAAGTCACAGTGACCTCACCGAAGGTGGGATAATTTGAATAGACCAGGGGTGTACAACAGGCGGCTCGGTGGCTGCAACCAAACAAGCCATTTAGGGGGGCCTTGACAACACTCAGCATTTTCCCCATTAATAATAAAAATCATAATGCGACAGTTTATTTTTAAAAGGTGCTGCTCATATGGGCAAAAATGAATAATATTTTTTTGCTCTTGTTGCTGCCTTAAATCTTTCACCGTTTTGCTCACTGCCTTTATTACTGTAATTTGTTGTGTCTATGGAAATACAAAATTTTTACAAAGTTGCCCAGTGATGTCTGAAGTTGGTTATATGTCCCACCGACAAAAAATGTTTCACACTACTGGGATAAATCATGCCGAACTGGAAATGTTCCAGTTTTTAAAACAGTAGCTCATCATGTATCTTTAGATATCAGTATTTGCTTATACAGGGCTTTGTACAGAGCGAAACATGTGAATAAATCTCATAAAAAAACGTAGCAAGTGATTTAATAACCATTCGATGATATTTTATTGCTCAGAACAAGCCGCTACACAAGAGCCACTTGCATCCAAAGTTGGGTTCATGTCCCTAAACTCGAGTTGCAAGTCAAGTGAATGCACAGGTCATATCTCTTGAATCGAGTCTGAGTCTCAGTAAATATAACACATCGAATTGCACGTCGAGTTTAATCAAATAAGAGTTGAAATAGTTTTTAGTATTTTAAAAAACAAAGTAGGATTTAGTTATACATTGAAAACATTTTTCTCGCATCAACTCTGTCTATTTTGAGTTATCAGTGCAATATGCTAGTGAATTAATATTTTTTCAATAATTGACATTCAATTTTCTCGTTGCACACAATGTATTTATAAAGTAGACGGCAGGTGTATTGTATACATGATGGTAGGTAGATATTAAGCGAACTTTCAACAGAGCATTTTGCAGAGTTGATAAGCTTAAAATATATAATAACTGGTCAGTTATGATATCCACTACCAATCACATTCGCCTGACTGATCCGGTCATACTCGACATGGACTTAGTAAAAGACATAGCTTCTGTTATGACAATGATGCTCTAAATCTATCCTCTATCCTAGGCTAGGATGAATATAAAAAAAATTAACTCCTCGTTTTTTTTTTCACATTCTGCATTTGGATAAGATCTCATAAGAGCAATACTGGAAATACAGGTTGTCTAATTCAGTGTTACTCAAACTTCTTAAGCCTTTTTGGAATTTGTGAAGTCTCGCGCCCCACCTTAAGAATAACTAGCTAACAATAAGCTACAAATAACAGATAGTAAGGCCAAAGTATGTTTTAACCAAAAAAACATATTAAAAAAAGAATGAAATAAATGAAAAGTGTTGAAATGTAAATATCCAAAATGAGGCGAGTAAGATCAATTGAATTAGCTTCACACGTCCTCGAAAAATTGTCTACGTCACCCTTCCTTTCCTTGTGAGCGTGCCCCACTGTTTGAGAACCACTGGTTTACTTCTATGTTTTATTTCAGTGACTGCACAACCGCAGCTCGCGCCAGCATTTAGACCCCCTGGTGCAAGACCAAAAACTCAAAAATTGATCCCAAATTCTGTTGATCCAATGAATTCACAACATCGTCTGGCACGGAGACCTCAAACCTTTGATCAATATTCACGAAGTATGCCTAGGCAAAAACAAATGAAAGGTATGTAATGTTAAGGTCAGTTGTGAAATATTATAGATATGCTATTAGTATAAGCCAAGACGATAATTGATGTATTATTGTGTTATTGAATTATAGTTAGTTAGTTGTAATGCTACCGATTTTAAGTGTGTGTAAAATTTAAACTAACTTTTCAATGTAATCGATGAAACATCATCTTGTTAGATTATTCAAACATGAGAATTAATTGTGAAACAAATCTGAAATTTTCTATTCAAATATTGAATGGTTTATTGCCAAAGGAGTCTATTTGAATGCAATCAATCAAGATAGCAGATACCTGCTTAGTCATATGGAAAACCTTGTCCTCTCATCCAGTTTGGTGTAGGAATAGTTACCCAGGTATATGTTTCACAAATATGGACTTGGTGATGCTGGTATCTGTAACCGACCAGTAGTCATGTGAGCCACTCTACAATGACAAGGAATGAAACCAGCAACCCTCTCATACCCCTATCCCACCCACTAGACTAGAGTATCATACCGTCTACTAGCTCAGACAAGGTAATCAGAAATATTATGGCAAGCTTATTGCTAACGATTAGCACAATGCTCCAGCCGTTGAGCCATAATGAATCTCCAGTTTTTGCATGCTTTTCATGTCTTAAAATTGCTATGATGTCCTGTACTGAGGGAAACAAACATTTTTTCGATCGATACCAAATAAAATGAGTTAACATAACATAGCAATATATATTTAATATTTCTGCAATTATAGGACCTCGTGTACTACAGCATAATGATTTACAAGCAGATGATAAGAAAGAGGATGAAGAAGAAGATAAGTGTGCTATATGTTTGGCTCCAATAAGTGCATTACCAACCAAAAAACTTTCATGCAAACACATATTTCATGCAAACTGTGTTGATATGGCCATAAAAGTAAGATCGTTGCACAGTTTGCCTAGTTGTTTTCATTCTATTTTTCGCCTTCTTTTAACAATTTCAAGATACGCTTGTATACCCAACCTGACAGAGGGACATGTCTCGCCATGTGATTGAGTAATCCTATCACCCTTTGAAGAGTTCATTTTTCTGATCCTCTTACACACGTATATCTGCCATAGATCTGAACCTGTCTTCATTCGAACTTTTCGTTCATTCTATTTTTTTTTGTTTGTTTATTCTGTGAGAATTTTTCACTATTCTGTATTTGTAATGATACCTTGTTGTTGAAAAACCATGTAGGCCAATATTATATACTGTAATTCCAGTGGTACAAAAAGTCAAACCAAACTTCAATTCCTGAATTACCGTATTTAAATATCTGTTTGTAAAAGCAACAGTTAAGGTGATACGATTTTAGTCCAGCTAATTTGTACAAGTCAAATCAAATAGTTGATAAAAACTGATTTGAAATTCATTCAGAAAATAATTATTTCAAACCATATTCTTTTTCAGACAAATCCCAAATGCCCAATGTGCAACCAACCGCTAGGTAATTCTCCTCAACGTCCTCGGCATCAAACACCACAGTTTTCTCCATTGGCTACTCAATATGCTGGAAGTAGTTCTAGCTTGCTATTGGGTTCACCTAACAGCCGACCACGTCAATATTCGGCAAATTCACAGTCAAGAAATGCATTTGGAAATCAACCTACCAATGGTAAAATGACAGATCACACCGATCCAAGGTCACTACCTGGATATACTGGAAGTGGTACAATTGTGATTAGATATTCATTTCCATCTGGAATTCAACAGGTTAATATACTTTTGTTATCAAATGAGTTTGTGCATGACTAAATACTTATTCTTCTTCTATGTTTTTTCATTGGTGGAATGGTATACATATAATGGAAGGATGTTGAAGTGTTTCAAGAGTCTTTGATGTACACTAACACAAATATAGAGTTGAATTATGCAGGTCTTAAGAAGTCTGACTTTAGTCAGATGAAATATTATTGGTATTATTGTGCAGCAAGTCTCCTGAATCATTCAGTTTTATTAAAATACTTTATTTGTTTTATCCGCAGATAGAGTGTAATGAGTTATACAGAGTGTTCATACAGTCTTCAAATGTCTTAAAACAAACCTGGTTAAGACGTATTGAGAACTGGCTTTATAGCGAAATTGTAACAGAACTTCATGAAGATCCTGCATATTTGTACCATGTAAAGCTATGTTTCTCAACCTCTTTTATGGGAAAACAAACAACTTTTGTGGAGCTTCATCTCCCTTTCTATATACCTAGAATTTCCGTCCAATGGTTATAATAAATCGTAGTGGCTAGATATACACAAGCAGCAATATTTAATGCGAAACTTGGGACATAAAAGCATGTTCTTTTTTCTTTTGTTGGTTATTCCATGAAATTTTACTTTTATAATTTCAGAACTGTCATCCTTCACCTGGATCTCAATATGGATCTACAAATCGTGAAGCGTATTTGCCTGATAATCGAGAAGGTCGCGATCTTTTAAAATTACTCAGAAGAGCATTTGATGCTGGACTTACTTTTACTATTGGTCAATCGCAATCTTCGGGCGAAGACAATCGAATTGTTTGGAATGGAATTCCGCATAAAACCAATATAAATGGAGGAAAGCATAGGTATGTCTGTCTATTTTATCAGATGTCTGATCTCCTAATTTTGGAGACTTTTTCTTCATTTTTGACTAAAATATGTATTTTCGATTTTTTCCTTATAATTTAAATCATATTTTGTAGATTAAATCACAAAAATTAATGTTTACAGCTTAGTATACAAATTTGTAGTAATATATTAAAATCTAATCATAAACAAATGGTACAATAAAGGCCGCAACGTAATGGAAATCAGGATGTAACCTAAGTATTTTAGTTTCTATGTATAACAATAGGGGTAGTTAAGTTTATTTTTCCTTAGCCAGTAAATCATGATTGTATAAAAAAAAATATGTCATTATGTTATGCAATTATTCATGTTGAATAAGTTCCTCACTGTTTTTATTTAGCTATGGATATCCAGATCCAAACTATTTAATTGAACTCAGACAGACTTTACAATTCATGGGAATCCAGTAAATATTTGGACTTGAATTGAAATCTACTATGATGATAATTCTAGAAATAAAATTTTTTATGCTATTTTTTTCACTAAAATGTTCTTCAATGTATATATGCATTTATTTATAAAATGAATTTGATTTAGTTTGGCTAGATATGTAACAATTGGATGAAATGGCCTAGCCCACATCTTCAAGTATCCAACTTGTGACAAATTTGGTTGAGCAATTAAGCCTTAATTGAATAAAACAATAATCTGACTTGTGATAGATTTTAATAAATATATACGTTTTAAAACCTTACCTAATAAGGTTTTTTCTGCACTTCTGCTTCTGTAATCAATTTTTTTTTCTTCATTTTATTATGAATAACACTTATATATTTGCTAAATAATTGCATTTTACCTGATGTTGATCTAATTTCTGAACCAACGTTATCGCTTACCTGTGGTTTTATAATATTGCTCAACTATTGATTCCTTTACCAGGTTGCATTAATTTGCTTCTTGTTATGTATTGAATTGTTCGATCTTTGACTAAAATGATTATACGCAATGCCATTACCGTGGTCATAATGAGCATAATCCACATTAGTTTAACAATTCCTGTATTCTTAAGAAGGTCTTATGTGTATAAGTATATTATACATTATTTGTCTCAAAAAATGTAACATCATCATAAAGAATAAAAAAAAGCAATGACTGGAAACTTTGTGAAATAACACCTTGTTGAACTTATATTGCACCTAGCAACCACTTAAACACGAACCTGCTAGTTGATCATATATACCGGTATATATATATTACAGACTTTCAATATCACTAGAAGATAAATTTCAAGTTTGATAATCGTTAATTAGGCAGTTTCATAACTTTATGATTTTTTCGTTTGATGCCATTTCTATGACATTTTTACGTTAGAACTTTATTATAGTCAGAAAGATAAAAATGTGCGTCGATGATTGGTTTTTGATAAACTTTAACTAAATATTATCTGAAAATATTTAATTATGAGATCTTTTTTTGTGTATTTTCTAAAAATTTACTTAATATCTACATATTGTGGTGCTTAATTATGCAAAAAATAGTAGTTATATGATTCAGTTTTTATTCGGTGCCTAATTTTTGCAAACCTTCAACATGTACTGCTGAAAACTTCACTTAGTTAATTAACTTTTATATTTTCTGAACCACTGAATTGAAAAATAAAAATTATGTGATCGATATGTACTATATATAACTTAATTTTGCTTAATAAATGCAATACATATGTTAAAATAAGGTTATATATTGAAAACTTAATGAGGCAGTCTGATATGGATAATAGATGGAAAGATGCTCACCCCTTCTACGCCTGAGCAATTTGTGGAGGTAATACGATTTCGTATTGTGAGATTGCCTTTTAAACATGCAGTATATTGATTATTTGGGCGACCTAGCTATTTTCAGAATCCCAGTCATATTAATAATCAGATATGAGACCATGACTGAGTACTCCCTAGGAATATACATAAAATTTTACTCGGGAAATGACCCGAACCAACACTGCTCATTAGATGTAAGTTCCAACTATATTAGGTGGTAATTTATGTGCAGTGAACCATGTCAACCTTATTTTATTCATAAACTAAAATGCACAGTGAATGAATCTAATTAGAATCTATCATGTGTACCTACCATCTTATCATATTGAAAGCAGTGTATATTTTTCATACTCACCATAAATGTTAGCATAGCTCTAAAGTATATCAGATATACACGCCCGCAAGTGTTTCGTTTCTTATGATGATAGCAGAGGCTCCCTCTTCCGACGCGCTGAGCGTTTGGGGAAAAGCCTTCGAACCCAATGTCTGATGAAGAAACCCCTCTTGTCATTTCTTGTCTAGTTTTAGCTGCGGCGAAGCGGTCTTTAAACGCTCGTTATAACGAGCTGTTTTAACTTAATCGTAGATCGACACTATTAATGGCAGTGCTCTACGCATTTGAGTCAGGTCCGTATATCTGTGATTACTGTTGAATAACATTGAAAAATTCTCGAGTAAAGCTAGGCATTTTCGAATAATTTTGCAGAAACGAGTTTTATAATACTTGGAAGTCAATGTTACTTTATTTGTATGGTGTTATTTGATATTCTTTCAGCGTATATTGAACAGACTGAATATCAAAATTAATTTCTATGAATTAGCGAACTATTGGTTAATAAAAGTAATTAATAATTAGTGAATTACAGATGGTCATATCAACGTAATGCGTGGTTATTTAATTAGCACCTAATTACGATCATTTGTGTAGTAATGACGTTTGTCTTATCTTCTTGAATTATGAGATACTAAACCCGTGGAACTTTGGTCAGCAAATTTCTGCACTTCCGTATTTTTATTAACTTCAGCCGTACTAATTTCACGAATATAAATTTGTCCGAAGTTTCAACACGGTGTAATAAGTTTTTCTCTCCCGAAGAAAGTTCAGCCAAGCGATGCGCGTGCATAATAAAAATGACCAAACAATGCCGGTACTCGTACATGCAGCACTAGCATACTTGGCCATGCGTACAAATTCTCATCGAATCACTTGAAAATAAATAGGCACGTATGGGTTCCTTGACTGTGTTACAAATGATGTACATTTCATACTTTTAATAGTCGGTAAAGTTTGAACATTTCAGGTGTTACGTGAACAATATGTATACGGTAGTCTTCTATCAACGGCGACCGATATGTTGTTTAATAGTGGGTTATATATGAGACAGTATATCACATTTAAAAAGTTATGAAATTCGAAAATGTTGATATTATATTTCGGAAAAATTTTCTGAATTGGATGCTTGATTTGATAGGTAACTGGTTGTCTTGGAAAATATTTTGATGTAACTTACATAAGCAACAAATGAAATCAAAGTTATGAATAAGACTCCAGCGATACACGATGCAATGATAACGTACATCTGTGGATTCGTCGACTCTCCGTTTTCATCTTCTGGAAAAAAGAATATGTTTAGAATAAATTATCCTGAAATTTCGAAGTTATCCAGAACTTGTTTGTAGCAGAATATTGATATAGAATGCTGAATCTAAAATTCAAAAATAAAGATGTTGTATGGCTCTATAATTTTTGATTATGACAAACAAGTTTTGATCAATCACACCCGTGCATGGCCATTGTAATAACCAGCGGATATTATTCATCGTTTTTCCCAGGTTACTCCTCCGCACATTTTCTTAAATGTGCATATCTACCTGCATTTCCCAAAACAAATGGCCCGATACTTCCATAAGCTTTCTCGTCTTCTTCAACACTATTGATTGATAGTTTTTCAATACCATCATTTAGTCTCTGTCTGGTGTTCACCATTTCTGATATACCAGATGTGCTACGTTTTTGCCTTTGACATCCCTGCTAAAACAAAATACAATAACTCGTTGGAGACGTAACAAGCTTAAATTACAACTTCAACGTCACACATAACGCTACAGTTAACGGTTAAAGCATTTTGCGTGGAATTCCCAGCCCTACTAAATACACTTGTGTGAACATAATTTCACCTCAAAAATGAGGGAAGTTCCAGTTCACACAGTGCGATTCGTTCATGTGTTTATAATGCTATTGAGTATTCGTTTATTTCCTCGCATATGTTTAAAACACTGTAAACTTCAAACCTGTTTACAAATTGAGTTGGCATCTGTTGAATTACACAATAATGCTTGGCAATGAATGAAAACTGAAGTCATGTTAGATGAGGAAAAATCAAAAACTTTGAAGAAAAATCTTCGCGTGACTTCATTAGGTGAAGGCAAGTACTGAAGAGTAGAGTCTATGATGCACCTGCAAGAACACGAGAAGAATACTTAAAGTACTAACAGCTTAGCGGAGTGGCTAGTAGGCCATACTTCAGGGAGTGTCTGGGAATACTTTTTCCACAAAAAGACCTGATTTACAACTAATTTTAGCAGCTCTGATGCCTTCATACCTCACCGCTTAAAGATGCCAAGTAAATTTTTGAGTAAACTCACAATTCTTTTTACAGTAACGTCAAATTAATAAAAAATACATATTAAATGCTTGATGAATAACTGGGCAACATTAAATGAGACGGTACTCCGAATATTAGTTGGCGGGTCTAATTACTATCTAGTCTTGATATGACTCGGTCACTTTTGCATCTGTACGTTACTTACAGAATAGAAATTAGTTATACCCATTTTCGATCATTTGATATTTGCTTGAGGTTCCTTCTGATACATTTGAAGAAGAGGAAGCAAAGCAGTTGTTGAGCATCAGATCCAGATCTAAGCATAAACTTCGACAATGAGTTACTTACTGTTTCAACCAATGTTATCTTTTTTAATTTGGAAGAATTCTATATATTATATTTCAAACTTTGGATATGGAATAAAATTGTCAATAAGTGATAATCAGTTAGCTGTAACTGCTTACGACTAAACATCACTGAATTCTTGCTCGAAATACTGTGAATATAGCCAAAGACACTGGGTGAAAACTGTGATTTGGACCGAACAGTGGCACCGCCTGAAAAAAGGTCATGGGGAAACATTATGCCAGATTTCCAAACATTTTAGCTATCTTAGTCGAAGAGGATCGACTATCTAGAAGCGACAATCTCAGATATTGTAAACTGCACTAAACTCGTACTTGTAATTCAAAAAATCACAGAATTCAGAAAGTTACTTCATTCAGTTACTTCATTTATGACATGACAACGCACTGTAAATCCAAACAACCAATCTTATCAACGTCAAATATTAGAAAATGAAATAGATTATTAAATCAAACCTTTAAAATTCTCGGTAAATGCTAAGCTCACTTCTAAGAATAGATTTTGACCCGTTGAAATAGTCAAGGGAAAATCTTCATTTTTATATCTGTAGCTGTATTCTGTTGAATTGTACGCGTGTAGGGACACTCTGGAATAGTAAAATTATATTATACTAATAGAGTGTCTAATTGTTTGGGATGAAGATGGATATATATCACTAACCCTCGTCCAATTATATTTTACAGGTTATAACGTTTATTTATTTATAATGTCTGTAAATTTGCTGATAGTTCCTATCAGCTGAATAGAAGGTTTTAGCGAATTTGCACTAATTTCGATGACGTTTCATTATTTATGAAATTTAATTCATATAATAAGATTATATTTTTCTTTATTTTTTCATGTTCAACTGATTTCTTTAATGGGCTACAACATTTTGACTATTAAGAAAAGAAGATTTTTCACCAATTGACATTTTTAATTGCGGGCAACTTGAAATCTGTTTCAAATGAAATGGTTCGCATACGCTCGTGCACTATGGATCAAATACGTACAAAAGCGTGCGTTTCTACTGTACAATCAAAAAAGTATATTATATTGAGATACTAATAGTATTATTCTCACAAAAATTCTCCCTCTTTTAATTCTGGCTGAAACTGTAGAACGGCAAGATCCGGAAAAATATCAAGAGAAGCTTCATCTTTTACCGAGTAGGAACAAGTTATGGGAATCTGAAATATATATATATATATATATATAGGTAGGCTATTTTATAAGCATTATAGCTGGTAGGACGATTAGTTCATTATGTATTTTACTTACGTCGTTAAATTTGTGTCTTTGAATTGTTTCATTTGATTCAATGTCAGAGCTTCTTATTGTATTCGTGAAATTTACTGTTTCGTTGTTCATAGATACTGTTGTACCGCATTCGTCTAGTCGAGACGATATAATGACGTGAGTGTTGTTGCTCGTAGATTTACACCTGAATGAAACAACATCTCTTGTGATTGCCATACTACTCATTTAGTTATCCTACCTTCAAAGCACTCACGTT